AATCCACTGCCTGGCTGCAAGCCTCCTCACACTGGCAGTGACGGTGGACGTTTGATCATACTTCACCACGCTGGTCAACGCGGTGTTAGTGAAGGTGTGTTGTTGGGGGGGCAGGGAGTGTTGCGGTGGGGGGGTCCGGCATCCATACCAAAATCTTTTTTTTAAAGCAGGAACCTGAAATGTATAGCCCCCTGCCATAGGAATGTGCAATTTCCACTCGTGGCGTGTGGGGTGGGGGGGGCCACCAACGAAGACGAGCACTGTCCCACGCTCGCTCGAGCACGGAGACACGCATGTGTCTCTGCGCGAGTTTGTATGTTTTTTTTTCCTCCGAGGTTTTTGTTTTCTCCCGCGAGGCGTAAGAAATGCTGTTGAACAAAGCGGGGGTGGGGGGGCGAGTATCGGCGTCGAAACCGTGCCCCCCCCCCCCGTAGCCGTGAGCTCATCGCGCGACGCGAGAGAGAGAGAGATGGGCCCTCCCGAAACCCGACACGAGGGCAGGAGGCGAACGTGGGCTGCTCGCCGCCCCGCGGGTTTGTCTCCAGTCTCCTCTCGAGTCCACACACGCTCAGCGGGTGGCCTCTCAGCTGTGTCGGGTTGTGGGTTGTGTACAGGCGGTGCAACTGCAGCGGCACCCACGGGGCAGGAAGGAGCAAAGGCTCCGGGCTAACCTATGAAGAGGAGGGCAGGGGGGTGGGGAGTGTGATCCCTGTTATTTAATCCTCGCACCAGGCCCAGTGCCAACCGGTCTGCGAATAATTGATGAGGAATGGCGGTATCGGTGAGTGATTGGGTGTGAGGAGCAATATGATTGGCCATGCACTCGGAACCAAGATGTTTGTTTTAGTTTACAAGTTAAAGCCCACCGAGCTATATAGCTCGTTTTCAGAAGCGACCTTGCCACAAATTATAGCTCAACGAAGACGCATTTTTTTAAATTATGGAGGGTAAATCCGGATGATCTGGAAAAAAAATACACGGAGAACATGCAACTCAAAATATACAGGTGTCAGGGTTGGGATATAACCCATGACCTCCTGTATAATGAGCCAAGGTAGTCAACATCTCACCACCATGGGACATCAACGTTTTTATCAAATGAATTGACCAACTCAAGGACAGCGAAGGTGGGGAATTAGCTGTGCACCATAGGAGCCCGTGGCCTGTGACTTCAGCTGTGTCGAGGAACACTTGGGGTGCAATTTGTGCGAGCGGTTGCGATCCCACCGTGCGTCTCCTCTCCCCCCACGACCGTTTTTTGTGGCCCATGCTCGGCCGATGGATGGAGATAGCGACTTGGAAGTTCTGAATGGAATGTGGCAATAAAGCGTGCTGGAGATGTAATCACGAAGAGGAGGATGCGATCAGGAGGGGCGAGGGTGGGAGACTCGTTTGCCCTATGGAGGAGGGGTTAAGTCACCCGGGCCAGGCACTGGAGTGGAACCCAGAGGTCGGCGACCAAAGGGAGGGGGTGGGGTGAGGGGGAAACTTGTGGAATGCAATGAGAGGCCAAACGGTTACATTTTCAAAAACTGCCAAGAACTAGCATAAGAAAACAATGATGAGGTTGTGGTGACATCATTACCCTCATTTGACCATTGAGGGCTGTTTGAGATGGGCCTTTCAACCAGTCGTAAAACGGTCGCAATCAACAGCTGGTGGGACTTTTTTTTGGCTCTCGTGTTCCTCCAGTGTTGCAATCGATAGCTCCATCCTTCGTGTTTTCACGACAAACACAAAGTGTTAAACACTGCCGACGCATTTAGTCACTAGGGGTGAGATTCTGCGTTATGGCAGCCGCCAGTGAGTAAACTGGGTTCTCAATTGTGGTGTGGTCATGTTCTCAGACTGGTTACCAATGACTCTCACGAAGACCCAGAGACTGACATGAAACCGAGTTGTGATTAAAACGCGTTCTCAGATGTAGTGAGTGAGTCTGTTCTCAGCCCGGTTACCAGTGATGGCATGGGAAAAACCCGTCCCGTAAAAGTTTGGTTCTGCACGTGACTAAATTCCAGCTTTGAGAATTCAAAACATCGAGTTGTCCGTCACAGACTTTGTGACCCATCCCCTGGGACATCCGCAGTGCGCATCGCTGCTCATGCTCGTCCCCACCGCTTCATTTCCGCAACGTTTCTCGACGAGACTTCCGTGCACTCGTTTACGAGGTGGACGTCGCCGTTTGCCAAATTTACGAGCCCCAATCATTGCGTGGTCGGGGCAGTAACCTGGTTCTCGTTTTACTTCCATTGCTCCGGAGTTCTATCCCATCGTCTCTCATTACCAAGTTTCTGTAAGCTCAATTCAAGAAACGTGCTGACTCGGTTTTTGTACTTTGAGGAGTGCTGTTTGTTGCTGGCCCCTTGGCGTTGTGGAGCTTTGTCCTTGTGCTCGGCAACCATGAAATACATACCACGGAACAGCACCCTGATCATCTGCCCGAGCCTAGGATCTCACATCTCAGATGAGACTTGAGAATATTGGTCGGTGTGCATGATGTGGCCCGGTGGCACCTCGGATTCCCCGCACCTCCGATGAGCACGGTTGGCTACGTACGGTGCAAAAGAAGTTCAACATTCATACAAACAAAACAAAAAATATAAACTCACACTGTGCTCCGTTTGGATAGCCTCTGGCCTGCAGCAGTCTCACCCATCGACCGGCCTGGGAGCGCGCTGGCCACGGTAGTCTGTTCCGCCTGCTGTATCGGCACAGCGCACACACTCGCAATCGGGAAAAATCACCACGTTGCGTATTTCCTTCTCGTCGGACTGGTTTTAAGCCCTTGTGGTGGGCACACGTATACACACACACACAGCCCCTCTACCTGCAGAGATGCCCATTGATGTGGTTCCATGAAATGAAATATCTGATCTGTATGGAGTTCCGGGTGAATGTTTGCGATAAATTTGTTTTCCAGCTGAAAACAAAATAACCGCGGAAGCGGCAGTGTAGACCCTCGCAAAGCCACCGCGCCTTCAGTCGGGGCTGTGCACGACTTGGAAAAGCCACGGCAAGCTCCTGCTGGTGGTTGGCTGGTGCCACAAAGCTGACTCGTGCTTAAAATAAAAATTGTTTTATTTACATTAAACATTAGCGGCAAGGTTGGAGACGCGTGACCTCCCAACGGATGGATGCAAGGGCTTGTTAGAGATGGCGATAGATGGCAGGCAAACCGAGTGCTGGTGCCACCCAGCAGATTCACCTGCACCCTCGCGGGGGGGGGGGGGGGGAGAGTTGGCACCCGTCCAGTCTCGTACGTTCCTCTATCTCCTGATCCTTGTGATATGAAACGTCATGCTTTTAAGGCACATGTGGAATGCAGTTTCATCGTTAGCCACGGTCGATCCACTGCTAATGAAGGCCTCCCCTCGCTGCCGGCACCCCCAACACTACCACTGTCCCACTATGTAACAATCCACCCAGCAGCTGCCCACGAGCAGATTCCTTGCTCGGAATGCCGGGAAGAGAAGTACAATTGTGAAATGGAGAACGTAGCTGCATTCGGGCCGCACAGTAACCCACTCCGGCAAGGTGAAATGTTTTAACCCCCGCACAGCATCATGGGACTAAAGTCACAATGCAATGCGCGCTGTACCCATGGGATATGCACGGTGCGTTTGCAAAGCGATCAGATGCAGCCTTTTAACGAAAAGTGAAACGCGGCAAAAAGTATAACAACCCCCCGCCCCTAAATTCTACATTTCTTATTTAATTGCACTCCAGAGGAAGAGGGTTTTTTTTTCTTCTAAGTGCAATGTGAGATATTGATCCGGAAACATCCACGTCCTGAACGGTCCAAGCCCTTCACCCTCGCGCAACGATCCGTATACATAATGCATGCAGAGTTAACGGTGGCTTCGCTTAAGCTAAGAACCGCCACCCACGTGCTCCGCAGCAGCGTGAGCAGAGCTCCCGTGCATTGGTGGTGAGCGGTGAGCCCGGGATGCAAGCAACACTGCTGACGAGAGAACCAGGTCTCCCTCGCAAAACAGAATCGCTGCGTCTCCACAGTCCGCCGCCCGGTTATAAACAAAACATGGTCAGGCCTGCTGTGCTATTTAGCAGCGGCCTGGTGAAAAAAATTATAGTTCTAGATTTGAAGCTTTCGTGACTGCAGGGATTCATATTCTTAGGTTTTTTCGGTAAAGTCACGTAGGTAAAAAATTTACATTTAAATAAAAAAATTCAAATTAGAATGAATAGCTGATACAGCTATCGTGCTGTGACGGTTCCACCTGAAGACGGAGGCTTGTGTTGCCTCCGAAACGTCGTGATTTTTTATTTTATTTTTATTTTACTTGGATTAATTTAAATTTTTTACCTACGTGACTTTACCGAAAATACCTAAGAATAAGACAAATGATAGCTCAACGAAGTGGCTTGTCATATTAAAATATATAGCAGCCAATTAATTACTATATACACATGTTTCTGAATGTGGAGGGAAAAACCAGAGGACCTGGAGAAATATCCATGCGATCACGGGGAGAACATGCAAACTCTAAATATTTTGGCGTCAGGTTCGGGATCGAACCCATGACCTCCTGCATGCCAGGCGAGGTAGTTAACATCTCGCTACCGTAGCGCCCCCCAGAGATAGTCACACGGCAGTCGGACGAGTTGCATAATTCTCAGAGCTGGAATTTAGCCAGAATTGAGTGCAAAACCAATTTCGTATTTGAAAAAAATGGTGCAGTCATTGGTGACCAGGCTGAGATCATGACTCACTGCACCGGGTGAACCTGATTTAACTCTGGCATTTTGGAAAAGTGGGAATATTTATTTCAATTTCGTTTTTTTTGTCTACTTCTTTTACGTTCATTAAAGAAAATGACCGATAAATCTGCAGTAATGTGGTGATGACGATGATTATGATGCAGATACTGCTGTTGGTGATGAACATTGTGATGAAAATAATGATGGTGATGTTGCTCCTGCTACAGACGACGATGATGATGATGACGGCAATGATCACCAATGCGCCCTCCTTCCCACAGTGGTATTCTCGGCGTGCCGCGGCGACAGTGAAAGTACTCTGCTGGAGGTCGGCGACCCCCGCTTCACCGTGACGTCGGACGGCACGGTTCGCGCGGCACAGCGGCTCCACCTGAAGACCGGGGTCACGGCGTTCGAGGTCACGGCTCTCGACCCTGGCACGGGGCAGACACTGAGGACAGTGGTGCAGCTGCAGGCCAAGAAGCACATGCACGATGAGGTACGCCCAAGCCTATCGACAAAACCTGGCTTTCTACCGCGAACGCTGGTGCTAATCCAGACCCTAATTTATAAACCTGGCTCTAACAATAATCCTTGTGCTAAACCAGAGGTTCGGCAACCCTGCGGCTCTGGAGCCGCATGCTGCTCTTTTAGGGACTGCAGTGCGGGCTCTTGAAATAAAAAAAAATAGCTGCTCCTGTTATTTTGGTCACCGACCCCTGACCACGAAAGTCCAGTTCACCACGGGTGTCCGGTTTACCATAGGCAGTGGTCAGCAACTTGCGGCTACGGAGCCGCACGCGGCTACGGAGCCGCACGCGGCTCTTTAAAGACTGCTTCAAGATGGTATTTATTAAGGACCGTGTCGTATTCACCAAATGCATTGCGGTTCTTGAAATAGTGAGGTTTTTTATTACAGATTATGTAAAAACATGGCTCTTATTATTTTGTTTGCCAACCCCTTGTGCTAAACCCTGACCAGAGCACTAAATCTGGCTTTCACCTCAACTCTTACCACGTTCATAACAAAGTAGTCCGAGAACACGGTCCAACAATTGATGCGGTGGTTAGCGACTGCGGCCCGAACCCGGAAAACTGTTTTCGATTCCCGGCCAAGGCTAACATCGGCGGCAAGTGAATTGTCAATCAGGCATGGGCTTTCCCTAGGTTCAACTCCCCCTTGTATGCATATCTGGTGCAATATATGTGAACGTCGGTAATGCAGAGATGAAGGCGGCCAGACGTGGTGCCAGCCGCACCACCGTCTCGTACGCCACTCCGGCCTTAATATGCGCTCTCTAACGGTAACGGCTGCGGGCGTGGGGTGGATGCTTGCGACGGTGCGTGTGCAGGACGACACGTTGGTGCTGATGCCGTGGAGAACCGACCTCGGGTCCCGGAATCAGCGGCGCCACAAGCGTGCGTGGGTCATCCCGCCCATCAGGATCACCGAGAACGACCGTGGGCAGCTGCCTCAAAAACTCGTGCAGGCAAGGCCTCCCACGCCGCAGCATCTGGCACCTCCACCACCAACGTTAACACACAAGAGACACGTGCGCGGGGACCCCCCCCCCAGACTTCAATCAGGCCCCAAAGTCTGTCCGTCACTGTTTCTGTCCATGTCTTTCTTTTGTATCTTTCATTGTGTCCGGTCATCTTGTGTCTCTCAGACACACAGTGGCAAAGACAATCTCCATATTTCTAATTGCGCCTTGTCTTTTTGTATGTGTCTGGCTTTCTCTGTTTCCCTTATCACTCTCCCAAACACCTTTCTGTGTGTCTTCAAGTTCCCTCCCCCCCCCCCCCCCCCCCATCTCTGTATCTCGGTGCATCTCTGTCGCTCACTCGCGGCTCTCTCTCTCTCCTTGTGCTGTGTCTCAAAGGCCCTTCTGCCCCCAGTTGTACAGGGCACCACTTTGTGTTGAGCCGAGTCTCTCTCCCATATGGGTGCCCATCCCCTTTGCATGCGGCGTGGGTTTTCTCTGGGGTCTTCGGTTTCTTTCCGCACGAAGCTAAAGGCCAGTGAATGGGATTTCCTTACTATCCCAATGTAGCCAAAAACCCTCTTGAAACGCGTGTCGTTGAGACACGACTCTCGAATTTCCTGGTAAAATTTGTTTCTATAATTTCCATCGTACGCCCCTGTGCAGATGTTTCTTTGACGCCAAAACTACATCTGCAGCAAAAACGCCAATGACGTGATTGTCGTTCCCCGCGTGCAAACCTGCGCGTTTTCAGATCAAGTCGGACAAAGTCAAGACCGGCGTTCATTACAGCATCACGGGGCCTGGGGCTGACCAAGCTCCCATCGGTGTCTTCTTCATCGAGGCCGGCACCGGATGGTTGTTCGTGAACAAGATTCTGGACCGTGAGGAGATCGACATGTACATGGTGCGCAGAGCAAACGAGGGCTCGTTCGCGCGCACGCACACGCGCTGCCACAGCCGGAACACGTGCCCGGCCTCTCATTCACCAAACAAGCAGCTGCCACACCACCCATTCACCACTTGGTGGCCGTGACACGCCACGGCGTTTGTGCCGTGCTAGATACGCACAGTGAGACCACATGAAGTGGAATATTGCACATGAGACGGAGCCAGTTGATAGAGGGTGAATATCTGAAGTGACTGTGCTTCCTACTGTGTCCAATAGTTTTGTTTTAGCTGGCAGGAACTCTGCTCGTTGTGAGCATCGCTCCTCTGGCCCTTCGTTGTTGCTGGGGTCATGGCTGCCCCCAACTGCCCAATCGTGTCCTTAACGAGCCTTTCTCTACAGAGGGCAATGGTAATCACTGATGATCAAACCCATTTCACTATAATCATCGTGCCAATGCACCAATCACTCCCCACATGGATGCACACAGGCAGCCCAGCATACATATACGGACACATCACACACGCAAGTCCCTATTTTCACCTCGATAGGCTGTTGAAATATTTGCTGTTATCGAGTGCTCATTGACGCAACACATTAATGAGTCGTGCACTCAAGGAGCAATGAGATCGGCTCATGTGCAGGAGCTCGATAGATTTTTGCACTGTGAGATTGCTAGAGATGGCAACAACTTTAGGAGACCTCAATCCAGCATAAAACCAATGACGATAATGGTGATGATGGCTCTGCTATGCATTTTTTATTGTAGATTGAAAAGTAATTTCTTTAGAACTGTGTTCAGTTTATTGTCCTTCCCCCGCACCTCCGATTAGCGTGTTTGGCTACGTATGGTGCAAAAGAAGTTCAAAATACATTTCCAATCGTATACTGTCGTGCCGGTTTCTCCGAACCTTGCAGCTCAAGGGCTACGCAGTCGACTCAAATGGGAACAACCTGGAGGACCCGGTGGACCTGCAGATCATCGTCATCGACCAAAACGACAACCGCCCCCAGTTCGCTGAGACGGAGTACTTTGGCACCGTGCCCGAGGGATCCCTCCCAGGTGTGGACCTCAACTTCGACCTGTAGGGCAGGGGATGGCTGCCACGATGTGGCGGCACTTTTGTGTATCGTACGTAGGGTTGCTGCAATGTAATATTTCAAAGATGCCACGTGACATGAATATACTCAACTATTTTTCATTTTACCAGGTAAAGCCCACTGAGCTATATAGCTGATATATAACCAATTTTACTGGTAGGAACCTCCTGGTTACACCAGCCCACAGGGAATTATTGTGTCCGTCCGTCGTGCATCCAAAAATGGGAGGGGTGGGGCTGGGTGGGGGCTGGGTGGGGAGGTTGGGGAGGGGCTGGGTTGGGAGGGGCTGGGTGGGGGGTGGGAGGGGTGGGGCTGGGTGGGGAGGGGCTGGTCACCCCGTGGTGCCCTTTTAAAACTAAACGTTTAACCTACTCACGCCGGCTTGTGCCCGCCCTCAGTCGGGCATATTTGCGGAATACACCACGCCGCGTTGACCCTGGCCATTGACCGAGCAACCCAACGTTCCTACCAGCTCCCTCTGCAGGAATGTGTTCCCCTAGCAAAACAGAATCTCTGCGTCTCCCTAGTCCATCGCCCGGTTCTAAACAAAACCTGGTCAGCTCTACCGAGCGATGTAGCTCCTTATCAGAAGCGACCTGGCCACAAATGACAGCTCAACGAAGTGGCTTCTCACGTGGCAATTTAAAGCAGCAGCCAAATACTGGAAGGCATGTCATGAAATTAAACGTCCTGATATGCATGATATGAAAATTATCGAGATGGTTTCTGATAATATTGTTATTGTATTTAACTTACATTTGTATCGTCCTGTTCCTATGCCTAGATGTACTTTTAAGAACGAATGAAGAATACTTGAAAGTTATTTGTATGCAGTGAACGCAACACAAGCGTCTGCCATAGGCCTTGATGATCATTATAATCTGAAATTTCATTATTTTCGTGAAATGGCATTCCTATTATTTTATTAGGTTATTGGGGGAAAAGTTAGCCATGATTATTACAATAAGATGTTAATTTTTAAAATGGACATTATGAATGTCATGGACCCTGTATCGTGCGATATGGCGTAGTATCAACATCGCAGCAACCCTAAAAGTACAGTTATTTATATAAAGCACCTTTCAAATTGATAATTTCAAAACAGTTTACATCCGAGATAATTATTTTTTAGAAACACAAAACACTGACACACCAATAGTAAAAAAAAACAATCCTACAATAAAGTCAAAAAATGAAATAAAATCAAAACACAAAGGCAAGCTACTTAAAAAACTATTTGTGCTAATCATACTTTTGTAAAAAATTTATATCGTATTGCGATGCGGCAAGCCCGAGTCAACGGGGGCAGTGCCATGTGTATCCTCGCGTGCCCGCGTTGCACTCCACTCTGTACGCTTGGCCGGGTCGTGACGCGTGCTCCGCTCCGTGCGCTTCCGACAGCAACGTCTGTGATGGACGTCACCGCCACCGACAAGGACGACCCCAACCAGGACGGAGGCATCCTCAAGTACAAGATCCTGAGCCAGGAACCGGCAAACCCGCTGATGTTCACAATTAATACGGCCACCGGAAACATCCGCACCCTCGCCTCCGGCCTCGACAGAGAGGCGAGTACCGGAGTTGACAAAGCTAAATTATTACAAAACAGTTTTTTATTTTACTGAGTAAGGCCCACCGAGTTACATAGCTGTTTTTTGGCAGTGACCTGGCCACAATTGATCGCCCAATGAAGTGGCTTATCATGTGGAAACGTATACCAGCTAAATACTTTAACTGCATGTTTCTAAATGTGCCGGGAAAAACGTGGAGGACCCGCACAACTATGGGGAGAACGTACAAATTTTAAATGTACAGGTGTCAGGGTTGGGATCAAACCCACGACCTCCTGCATACCAGGCGAGGGAGTTAACATCTCGCCACAGTTGCAGCCCCTGGGCCCTCGGATTTGGATTTTCTCTAAGAAATAAAGAAATGCTGCTTTCTTATAATTGAGATGCATGTAGGTGATTTGCTCATTAAAGCCATAGCATCACCACGTGCGTGTGCGTGTTCCGAAATAAAAATAGTCACGTAGTGGGGCGGATAGCAGCGTGTGATGGACGAGGTACATGTGTACGAGTGAACGCCACGCAGAGCGGTAGGGTAGCGGTTGGCATCCTGCGCTACGAACCCCGCGCCCCGAGTTTGATTCCCGCTAATGGCCAACATCCGAGATGATTATCTGAACCGGTCCTGGTCCTCCCCTAGGTCAACTCAGCCTGAAATGAGTACCTGGTACAGTGTGTAAACATCGCCACTAGGGAGACAAAGGTGGCTTGGCATAGTGTTGGCCACCCCACCCCGTCGTGTGCTGTGCTGGCCTTCATAGGTGCTCGCTAACAGCACTTGCCCTAACAGTATGTGAAGGCTATAAGGGGGGTCTTTGTCTTTGCCTTTGTTTGCCAAGCAGAAGCAACATTTGACTCATTTATTTGCACGTCCCGTCACGTCATCGCACGATCCCGGCCTGGCTTTGGCCCAGTATCTGTGTCCCAGGTGAGCTGGCTACAGCCGTCCTGATGTGGCTGTCCCTTGAGCAACTGCAGCTTTGCCGATAAACCACGCCAGCTTATATAGTCTTTACAATCCTTTGAAATATAGCTCATGCTTTGTTTGCCGCCAGAGTCCTTGGCTGTTGCTGTACACTACACTTATTTCTCAGCTTCAAAAACATTTTAAAATATTCTTCATTCTGCTTTGAAAGCCACTCTAAGTCTTGTTTAAAATAATTAAATGCACAGTCATGTGTGCACTAGTTCATCACCTAACACTTAAAGAATATGTTACCATTCAACCCATTTTTCTACAATTAATTTGGTCGTTTGTAACGTTGATTTATATCTTCACAATTTGCTCCCCTCCTCGTGGCAGTAAAACGAGCGATGCTATCGCTCCGTGTGCTAAGTCTGATCCTTTCATCGCGGCACTGTGAGAAAGGGTGACAGCTTGGGGGTTTGTGGGGGGGGGGGGGGCGGAAGAGGGAGGCAGTGGCTAGATCATTGTTGTCCTTCCCCTGCGCCCCTGATTAGCACGGTTAGCTACGTTGACACCTTGTGGCTTTCTCCGATTCCCAACTTTTGTTGCCTTGCACCAATTGAACTTTCTTGCTGAGCTAAGAACGGCTGCTCAGTCTGCATATTGCCAAGAGGCCGTGGCTTTAGCTGAGCCGTGGCTTAGCCGGCACCGGACAGGCCGTGGTCTCTAGAATGTTTTTTTTCTTTTTTTCTACGGGTGTCATGCTCGCTCACGGGGCGTGGCTAGGGCCGGTGTCGATTTGGTTGCCTTTGGGCGGTTGTGCCTCTAACCATCGGGCTCCAGAGCTGCAGAAATATCTCCTCGTAACCCCCAGAGGAGCAGGGATGCGATATGTTTAAATGTTTATTAAAGACCCAGATCTTCAGTGCACCTACATGGTGCATGCTGGGTATCCGCTTATACAATGTTATTCCTTGTCTTATAAACTGCTCTTAATTAGAATATAGATTTTATTTCATATAAAATAAAATTGCCTAGGGGTACATTGCTTTGTTTAACGCGTAGGCTTTTGCGAGCAACATTATCCATAATACAGTTTGTTTTGGGTTAGATCTCGTAAATATAAATTTGTCGTTAAACCCGCCACCACCCGACACAGCCAATAAATAAGATTTGTCATGTAAACAGAACATTGCTTTATTATTTTAAAGAAATTATTTTATAGATTCCAAACGTACAAATATTATCTCACGCTCTCGAGATGCTTGGCGTTGATGTGAAGTGCACCGTGTAAAATGCGCACCCATGGGTCGGTCGGCACAGGTGACGAAGACGTACAAGCTGATCGTGGAGGCGAGCGATGGGTACGGCAGCACGGGCCTTTCCGCCACGGCAACCGCCATCATCACGGTGACCGACGCCAACGACAACCCACCCATTTTCGACCCGACCACCGTGAGCACCGCACCACACTGCACCACTACACTACACCACTACACTACACCACTACACTACATTGCACCACTACACTGCACCACTACACTACACCACTACACCACACTACACCACTACACCACACTACACCACTACATTGCACCGCACCACACTACACCACTACATTGCACCGCACCACACTACACCACTACATTGCACCGCATCACACCACTACATTGCACCGCACTACACCACTACATTGCACAGCACCACACTACACCATTACATTGCACCACACTACACCACTACATTGCACAGCACCACACCACACTGCACCACACTACACCAATACATTGCACCGTACCACACTACACCACACCACTACACCGCACCACACTACACCACTACACTACATCACTACACCACTACATTGCACCGCACTACACCACTACATGACCACATTGCACTGCATCGCACCGCACAGTCAACACTTAGGGCTGCCACCTCATGGTTAGCAAGGTTGGCTACGTACATAAACTATGAACTAAACAACTAAACAATTTTTTTAATTTTACCAGGCAAGGCCCACTGAGTGAGCTATACAGCTATTTTTAGAATCTTATCTCGTGGAAATGTATAGCAGCCAAATACTCCAGAATGCATGTTTCTAAATGTGGAGGGGGAAAACGGAGGACCCCAGAGAATAATCCACGCGACCACGGGGAGATCATGCACATTCCAAATATACAGACGTCAGAATTGGGATCGAACCCATGGCTGTACATACATAGGTACAAGAATACTGGACACATCTTGGGAAGAAGGGTATCTGGCAATGCAGGAGGGGGGGGAGTGGGCTACATGTTGATGCATTGTCTTGAGTGGAGTATTATTGCGCAACTGACAAATGTCCCCCGGGAAGTCTTAGAAAGAGAGGGTGGGGGTCGATCCTGAGACAACCAGGATTAGGTGGCGACCCTCAGTGCGTTTTTGTGCGGCTGTTCAGTACAACTGCAGGGTGCCGGAGAACGCGGTGGACGTCACGTGCGCCACCCTCATCGTCAACGACCTCGACGACCCCCACACCAAGGCCTGGACGGCCCGCTTCATTGCCGTGAGCGGAAACGAGACGGGGAACTTCCAAATCCCGACAGACGCCTCCAACAACGGCATCGTCACCGTCGTCAAGGTGAATGTCCTGGGGGGAGATGGGGGGGGGGGGGTTGCTGGGTGGGGGGGTCGGCACTTATCCGTGCCTGTGGAGCTGAAGGGGCCTCAATTCCAACACGGTTCGCTATAAAGGATCATCGATGTGCACATGTACTATGCCACCACCTTCGTTTGGACTGCCGTCTATCTAAAAGCGATTTAACGTGTTAAATGTTTTGGGAAAAGATCCTTTCCAAAGGAAGTAGCGCTGGCGACGGACATCGGTAGTCCGACGGAGATAAAGAGAGGAGGCTGTGATTGGTGGCATCCGTGTGCAGGATGGATGAGGGCAGGTTACCCAGACAGGTGTTGGAATGGAACTCAAATATTGACAATCACAGGGAGGATTTAAATCCAGATGGTGGTGGTGTTGAGAGAGTAAGAGAGCAGCCCTTGGATAACAAATGCTGACATTACAACCTGCTGCAGAATCTCTCCGTGGCATTGGCCATGTGGACCTCTTGACCCCCCCTCCTCCTTTCCCTACTCCTTGCTCCCACCAGGGCCTGGATTACGAGACGACGAAATTGGTGAAGCTGTTGGTGAGGGCCGAGAACGAGGTGGAACTCCAGACGAACGACAAGCTGAGCACGGCGACCGTCACCGTGGTGGTGGAGGACGTGAACGAGGCCCCCGAGTTCACGCCGCTCGTCAAGAAGGTGACCGTGTCGGAGGACGTCGCAGTGGGCCACAGCGTGGCCGTGCTCACCGCCAAGGACCCCGACAAGGAAATGAACCAGAAAATCAGGTGCAGTGCATCGCAGTGAAGCGCGGCGCACGCACACATGCAACCCCCCCCCTCCTTAAACGTTCACCCTCGATCTCTGATCTTCATCAACCAGTGGCTCACACTTAGTTGGGAAGGGGGTGGGGGGGGGGCATTCTGTGAAAGCTTGATCGACCCTAGTTTTCTTCTCGACCCTTATCTCGTACCAGCCACTCTGTAAACGTGAGCATTGGCCACACACCACCCCCTCCTGTGAAGTGCCGGCCTCAATCGTAGGCACCCGCTCACGGGTCTTTTGCCCCAGCAGTTCATAAAAAGGCTATGCACGAGGGGGGCTCTTCATCGTTGTCTTTGTTGTACGTCACAGCTACTTCATCAACAACGACCCAAGGGGCTGGCTGGCAGTCGACGCCGACACGGGCTCTGTGACGACGGTGGCCAGGCTGGATCGCGAGGTGGTGACCAACGGCGTCTACGCCGCCACCTTCCTCGCCAAGGACAATGGTAGGAGCTCGCGCAGAGGCGAACTTCAACGTCCCCAGCGTCAACGCCACAAACGCACCGAGCTCTGTACCCAGAAAGGTGGTGTAGGGGGGAGATTTTGCCCCCAGTTACAGTGAAATTGTTGAGTTCGGGACACGTGAGGAGGGTTACAGAAGGTTGGCTTTTATTCACAAGTTCCAGATGTACACCAATGGGCCCTGACCTCTCCTCTCCCCGTCCCTTATATACTCTTTAAAGCCCACTGCTCCTAGAACCTTCTATCAGTCGGTGACGAGATGTTAACTCCCTCGCCTGGTATGCAGGGGGGTCGTGGGTTCGATCCCGATCCTGATGCCTGTATATTTGGAGTGATTGCGTGGATTTTTCTCTGGGTCCCACGTTTTTTTTCCCTCCACATTTAGAAACGTGTTTAGATGATTTGGCTACTATAAATTTCCACGTGAAAATCCACATTGTTGAGCTATAATTTGCGGCCAGGTCGCTTCTGAAAAAAAGCTGTATAGCTCGGTGGGCCTTACCTGTTGAAAATAAAAATAGTTTAATAGTTTTTAGGAATTAAGTGTAAAAAAATACCTAAAGTTTAAATGCCTGTCTTAATTCTCACATGTCCCTTGCCTGTAAAACAAGCCATGTGTTTTAAATTGGGCAAGCCTGCACCACACCTCGATTGGCCATGTGGCTGGTGTGCATTCAAGTTTTAGGGGGTCCACACGAGTCATTCCCGGACAAGGCAAACTTATTCTTGCCCACACCAGACACTCTCTGGTGCTCTTGCCACACCCCCTTTTTTATCCCCTCTCCATTCCTTCTAGAAAGTTCCACAAGGTTCTGTCTGCTCCTCCGCTTCTGCACCAATCGCCTTCTGTCTTCCTTAACCGACTCTAACCGTCTTGCTCCTCGGCATCCCATTTTCCCACCTTTTTCCCCAATTGAACCTCTCGGTCAATGCTATGTGTCCCGCTTTCTAGCAACTGTCCCACTCTAATCCCGTAGTTTATTTAAGGTCTCCTCTTTTTGCCCTCACAAGGTTGCTCAAGTGCCCTCCCCCCACCCCAACCACCTACTGATAAGAATCACAATCGACCCATGTACTGTGTATGCAGCAGCAGTGTTGAAACTGTGTTTAGTTCGTTGTCCTTCCCCCGCACCTCCGATATTAGCACGGTTGGCTACGTACGGTGCAAAAGAAGTTCAACGTACATATGAATAGAAACATTCAAAAACAAATCCAATTCATAACTACGGAAAACAAAACATTTTTATCGGTGCCCATTTCTACTGCGGCGCTTAGTAACGATAATCGTGATGATCTTTCCTCTCGCTTGCTCTGTCCCGTGTGTCAGGTTCCCCTCCGGCCACGGGAACGGGCACGCTGCTCTTGACGTTGAAGGACATCAACGATAACCCGCCGGTGCTTGACGTGCCGCAGCCCATTGTCGTGTGCGCGAGGCGCAACTTGGAGTCCATCAACCTGACGGTGTTTGACGCCGACGCGGCGCCCAACACGGGGCCCTACATCTTCGAGCTCCTCACGCAACCCGGGCAGCCCAGGGCATGGTCGCTCAAGCAATTCGGTAACGGATACGAAGCCGCGAGGGTATAACGGCGTGCATTTTGTGGTGGCGATTGCTTAAATGCCTTAGCAAGTCAAAAGGCGCCTAGCGTTGTATCTCCGTCTGAACTATTCCAATGCTCTGCTGTGTTCTAGCGTAGGGGGATAGACTTGGCACGATTACCTTGTCTCCTGTAATAATTTAGCGTTACAATTACGTTCAATTGATTAGTCGTTAGATGCATCATAGCAGGCGAGAGCATGGGGGGGGTCCTGACCCAGTCGATTCTCGCACACCCACTGCTCATCTGCTCCCTCCGACCATGACTCTCCGCCCCCAACCTTGGGCTTTCTCCCAGTAACCCTCCGCTGCCTCCTCTCCACTCTCTACCCCTAACCTCCCCCCCCCCTAACAGGTGACTATGCGATTGTGAACTCTATGAAAGAGAACCTGCCTGTGGACACCTACAACATATCGGTGCGCATTACGGACAACGGGTTACCTCCGATGGGGCAGGTGTCTGAAGTGGTGATCAAGGTGTGCGAGTGCAGCGACCATGGCGTGTGCAAGGCGGAGCGGCAGGCGGCCGGCCTGGGCATGGGCGCCATCATCGGCATCCTTACGGCGTTCCTGCTGCTGCTGTGTGAGTCGAACGCTCCCATCGCCGGCTCTCAGCTGCAAGGATGGCACGGCGCAGGGAGAGACGCGCTTGGGGCGCCGACTCCGAAACCCAGTCATGGCCAGCGCCTCGATTGATAATTATTTATACCAGCGCCTCCCTTGGCTGCGGTACCTTGCAAGGCGCTGCAACAAAGTGGTGTTGGAGGTTATTATAGAGTAAGGAAGTGATTGCAAACTAAATGGTGTTTATAAACAATACAGTTTAGAGTAGCGGTCCCCAACCTTTTTGGCACCAGGGACCGTTTTCGTGTAAGACAATTTTTTCATGGACCGGGGGGGGGGGGGGGGTCATCATTGGGTCTTTCTCCCTTTTCAAAGAAGCTCTCCAGCGACGTTTGTTTTTTACTCATGTTGACTACTAGGGCTTAGCAGCTTGTGTTGTGGGCTTACCAACACTGTGACTGAGACAAGTGCGCAGTGCGGGAAAGAGGCGCGGACAGAAGTGGTGAATAATAAAACAATGGGGGCGGGTTCCACGCGCGGACTCACCGCTCACCACTATGCGGTGTGTAGAGTGTGTACACACACGGACTCACCGCTCTCACCTCCTGCTGCTGTGCGGCCCGGTTCCTAACAGGCCACGGACCGGTACCGGTCCGCGGCCCGGGGGTTGGGGACCCCTGGTTTAGAGGATATGCGAAAAAAGTTAGACGAAATTAAGTTTGCCGTCCTCGCCGTCCTCGCCGTTCCAATATCAGGGTCGACCGTCCAGCCAGCTGAGAGGGGGGTGGGGGGTATTGCTGCAGCTCTCTGGTGTGTTTTCTGGTTGTACTGCATTTTGGTGGGCACGATGTCCGACATTCCGTTCCACTTGCTGGGAGCTTCACATGGTGCCGAACAACACGGGGGGGGGGGGGGTGAGCTACACGGTGCCACTGCTATAATAAAGCCCACACACTAAGGAGCTTTTCTCAGATGCTGTCGCACACAACAAAGACAAGCATAATAATCTCCCTTGTAGCTTCCATGAGACGGTTGGGATGCTGTTAGCGAGTGGCAGTGACGGCTTGTACGGCGCACGGCGGGGTAGAGTGGCTAGCGCAGGGGGTACCGCAACCAAAATAATGAGAAAAGCCATTGTTTTCGAATTCCGTCAAAAAACCAATATTTCACGAGCCGCAATGCATGTTAATACGAGATGGTCCTTAATAAATAACGGGCACCAAGGAATCCTTAAAGAGTCGCGTGCAGCTCGGAGCCGCAGGTTGCCACGTCCCACTGACCTTTACCAGACCTAGGGCTAATTACATACAATTGTGTTTGTGTCAATCATGATGAATTGAAATTAAAATGTAATTGTAAATTCGGCTGACAAAATGCTGCATTAATTGTTAATTACAATTGATCCCAGGTGTGTGATATTTGCTCATCACACCAGGTGTTCAATTAAGGGCGGAGTTCGACCTCGGGTGAGGAGGCCCAGTCGTGGGTTGGGATGACGCTTACCGAACTCCTGTGCGTTTGTGCGTGTGCAGTGCTTCTCTTGCTGTTCCTGGTGTACCGGAAGAAGGGCCAGCAGAAGGTGGTGAAGGTTTACTCGCAAGACGAACTGCGTGACAATCTCATCAAATACGACGAAGAGGGCGGTGGAGAGGAGGATCAGGTGGGGACACTTGGCACTCAAAGTTATCATGTACCGATGTATGCGCTATCTTTAGCACGGTTGTCTATGTAAGGCCTATGTCCATTCCAATCTCTCACGTTCTCCTGCACACGAGTTTATAACTCATCGATCCGGCTTCACGGTGGGCGTCCTCTCACACTGGTTTCCCTCCTCTCACACTGGTTTCCCTCCTTTGGCTGCCACTTCATCACCAGTTTCTCCTATCGGCCATCATCCAATCTATCCATGTGTTCTACTCAAGCCCACTTGATGTAATAGGCCGTACTTCTTATTCTTCCACTGCCTTCGTGCCTAAACACTAACCCCGATCCCACCCCCTCCCCCACCATGTCATGTGCCCCCCCCCCCCCCCGCTCACCTTCCTTTCCCCACAGAAATACGACGCGAGCCAGCTGCCATACCTGCTGAGCGAAGAGATGCCGGTGCCACGGCCCATGATGGTGGGGCGCTACGAGCAGATGCCCGAGGGCGAGCGGCCGCGCTTCCCGGCCCGGCCGCCTCGTGACGGCAGCGCTGAGCCCAACATGAGCGGGTTCATCGACGACGTAAGTAGAGCGAGCGAAGAAGGGTGGACACGCACGGACGCTCGTGGGAGAGTTGGGGGCACGCGCACCACCTGATGCGAAATGTCAACTCCACGTGGCAGTGAAACGAACGCTGCATTTTGGTGAAATGAGAAACATTGTGAGGCCTGATGAGCGATGATTGGATTTCAGAGTACCCAACCCTTGGTGACCTCTGCCCATTATCTAATTGGAAGTTGCCATGCCAGTCGCCCACTAGGGGGAGCGGCAATCAGTTTTGTGAAAATATTTATTTGTCCCAAGTTGAATTATTTTTTGCGTGCAGTGAAAAATGGTTCGGCAACTATTGCCAGTTACGATCGCCCTAAGACGACCTTAACGTGCCACGGTGAGGTTATACAGAAAGGGATCGTTGTCTTTTTGCCTTCGTATCTCCATCCCCTGACATCCTCACCTCTCGCTCCACCACGCAGAGCCTGAAGGTGGCCGACGGAGACCCAACGGCGCCGCCGTTCGACACGCTGCTCGTGTTCGACTTTGAGGGCGAGGGCTCCGTCGCCGGTTCCGTCAGCACCATCAACACGGCGAGCTCGGACGAGGATCAGGACTACAAGTTCCTCGACAACTGGGGGCCGCGCTTCCACAAGCTGGCCGATATGTACGGGGGCACGGAGTGAGCACGGCGGGGGGGGGGGGGGTTAGACGAGCAGGAGGTGGTGGTTACGAGTGGTGCATGTATGCAGGGTATGGTGATTGATCGGAGGGAGATGAGGCGTTATAGAAAGAGGGGAGGGTACTAAAGGGGATGCTGAGAGGAGTTATAGAAGGCAAGTGGTCATGGGGCTGTGTAAAAAATTATATGGGAAGGGATGGGGGTTTGATACGGGTAGGTTAGGGTTCAAAGGAGATGGGACTAGAGCTTCAGTTGTGTTTGGGGGGGGGGGGGTATGGGATTTGGCAATCAGTGGAAACAAGTGGGTGTAGGTTGTGCTGGGGTTAGGGTGGTGGTGTTGGGATTGGAAGAACCCTGCCTGCATTGGGAGGAAAGGGGCTTCAGGCAAAACTGGGTTGAAGATGACAGGAAAAAATGTCAGGAACTATGGTAAATAACGAACAGGGACGAAGTTAGAAGCTGTTACAATTAATTAGGATATATAGTTGAGTGGTTGTTGGGTTAAATTAGGTATACGAATGACATGGAGGATGTAGCGATATCAAAGAGGTTAAGAATTAGGAAGAGAAACTGATGCTGTTTGCAAAATTATGGGCCGTGGAAGCAGTGATGTTATTCGTAAGGTTAGGAGTTTGGGAGATGGTAGTGGTATTACAGAGGGTTTTCGATATAATTAAAGAGGTCGTGAAAACATGAATGGTCTGGGTTAGGGAAAATCTGGGGGCAAAAATGCCTTACTGGCTTGGCACAAACGGGATGCAGGTCGACAGGGCATTCGACACAACGGTTAGGGACGGTACTCGCATGGAGGTGATGAAATCCTCGGAGCGCTCGCCACCGAAAACAGAACCTGGGTGGTCCGGCCCACATGGCGGCACAGCGGCACCGTGGACGTATGAGCGTGAAAAATGCATCTCGTCGAATACATCGACACGAGGAGTGTGTGGACCGCCATGAAACGGAATGGGCCTTTTGAATATATTATAACTAATTTTACCAGTAGCCTCCAAGTACTTTAGAAAGGCGCGCTTGTATTTTTAAGTTTCTTAATTTGCCGAAACGGGGATCGTGCATGTATGCATTTTAATATAACGAGATTCCCCAAACGTGCAGGGGTTTCCTGACCTTTGTGGATCCGTAGTCCACCGTCAACTCAACGTTTTCACGGACTAACGTGCACCCAACAAACGAATGTGTTTTTATACATCAAAACTACTCTTATATCAAGTATCTGCAACAGTTATGTGGACCACTTCTGTCGCAGCCTTACGGTGGCAAAACGCCAGTGTCCCCCGCGGGAGCGCAGGTGAGGAACCGACGCGCTTAGTGGTTGGTGGTCTTGTTAAACAGGGTGCTGTGGGTTCTCTCATGTAGACACGCTTTGCTTGGTGCCTTTTTGTATGCGCGTGGATTGGTGTGTTATTCGTTTGCATGTAGACTGACCAGAGTTGACGAAACTTTAATTAAGTTTTTTGTATTGTTGTCAGAAAGCTTGACTTTTTAAGAATGAGCCTTACAATAGCCATCCCTTATACAAAATGTACAAACGGTTGCTAAGATATGGTAATGTTATCAATGTTGCCTAATTGTACAATGCATTAATTGCAACTCCAAATCAATTTAAATAAAAATGTTTTAAATGTTTTATTGTTGGTGTTTTTATTTCTTATCACATGCATCAAATAACATTGAACTGGCAGAGCCAATCTGAATGAAACCCCCAATCCCATGAGCCTCTACAGTATATGCTTGCAATTTGAAAATAATGTTAATCTTTTAAGCGTTCAACAATCCTTGTTAAAGTACTGGGGACTACAATTTACGTGGGAGAAACACGAGAAGGTGACCGCAGAAGATCCATAGCTTTTGCAGTATTTATTATACAGTCCAGGCGTTCAACTTAAATTAATTTTAAACACATGCACCCCTCTTAATGCCTCCTCCTCAGCCACTGGGTGTTTCCCCCACTCATTTGACGGCTGCAGGGCAAGGCACAATGCACAGGACAAAGTTGCACCACCTCTTCCAGGCTGCACAAAAATGGTGTCCCATTAACATCTATCCGGTTGGATCGGTGCCACTATTTTACTTTTACACAACTTTTGGCGGTGTAAAAAGGCAAATTGGGAAATGTTTTCTATATCCAACAAGTCCATGTAAACTTACACCTCCCTTATTTTGGCGAGTCTACATGCATGCCATTTGTTTGATCCAATATTTTGTTGCATGACACCAGGAATAGTAAAAGCCAGATAAGTGTTTTGGCTCATGTCCTGTAAATCTGTTAAGAATTGCAGCTGATAGGTTGCGGACTGACAAAGAAATATCAATTTCCATAATTTTAAAGCAAAACCTAAAAATTATCCATACCCATTTAGGCATAGCCGCCCATGTCACTGGAGCACCACAATGGCCGTAGTCTTTTTCACATCAAAATTACATTTCCCACCCCCTGACACAGTCAAGGTTTGTGTATTCAAGAACGAGAAGCAACATCTCAAATTTTCTGTAATCTGTGGAATAATTGCAGGTCTCGATTATTCCTCCAGCAATCACAAATCAAAACTGCCCAGAAATACTAATTGCCCACATTACCAGTGGGTTCAGATTTGGTTTCTCCTTTACCAGCAAGAGGTAGGCATTTAGTGATTAAAATTAATTCTCATGCTACCTTCAGAAATTGTCTTGCATGGAAATAAATGATTTGTAATATGTTGTCCCATGCTATTGAATGGCATACACCCGACAGCCATCAGAGCTACCACAATCACAAAAGGGGAAAAATACCATTTATTGAACTGAATCGCAACCCTCCAAAGGGAGTGACTCTCCAAGTCGAGTTTAGCTTGATGTGATGCAAGCTGGGTGGTTTTGTGATTGCCGCCTCCAGTGGCAGTGATCATTAGCAACAAAACCCAAAGTGTAACCAGTTGGTTCTGATTCTCAACAGGCAATCGGAGATGGATTCCCAGCCATGGCTAACATCGGCAGCGAGTGATATCAGAACCCATCTTTTCCCACCCCTACACCAATCCAAACTAATGAGCATGTGGTTAATGACGGTCAACAAACCCCCATGAACGAAAGTGTGGTGAGGTTTTCACCCAGCAGTGAACTGACAAAGGCCTACATTTTAAAGCAATTTAGTAGGGTGAGCACGAACATATTTTTTGGGGGGGTCTCGTCTCAATGGCAAGAACGTCAGCAAGGTTGTTGCTTCCTGTGTGGTAGACAATGGGTGGGCAGGCAGCAGCAGTGCTCAGTACTGCAGGAGCGGCTGCAGCACACAGCGCTGGCACTCAGTACTGCAGGAGCGACTGCAGCATGTCAGCCTCCAGGAGCTCACGTCCACGCAGCTCCACGAGCTCAATTACCACGAGGCACTGCAGCACGGTGCCGCCCAGCTTCTGGATGAGCTGGGAGGCGGCCGCCATGGTGCCTGTGGAAGGAGGGGGTGGGGGGGGGTGACACCGCAAGTGTAAGCGATTGCATGAGCTGACTGGACGGATGGATAGTCCGATTGAGAAATGGTAGTGGTGGTAGGATGGATAGATATTCAGATGGACAGGCTTTCTTCCTGAGAGACTGGGCACATACCCCCTGTGGCGATCAAATCATCCACGATGACGACGTTCTGTCCAGGCTTCAGGGCGCCTACCTGCGCCTCCACCACATCCTGTGGGACAGAGCGGAAAGCGGTGAGAGAATAACACGGCTCGGCGAGAGCACAACGGGGAGCAGAGCGGTTCCAGTGTGGTACAGGTAAATTGGGGGCTTTGACAAAAAGCCTTGGTATGAGGAACAGAGCGGTTCCAGTGTGGTACAGGTAAATTGGGGGCTTTGACAAAAAGCCTTGATTGGAGGAACAGAGCGGTTCCAGTGTGGTACAGGTAAATTGGGGGCTTTGACAAAAAGCCTTGGTTGGAGGAGCAGAGTGAGATTAAGAGGTGATAGATGTGAAGGTGAGTGGAGTGAGATGAGTGGTAGGAGAGTGGATAGAGGGGGAGTAAAGTGAGATGAGAGGGGAGAGGTAATGCGAGGGCAAGTCCCTGCAGGATTTTGAAGAGGGTTAGTGCAACTTTGAAATTCATCTGGGATGAATCGGGAGCCATTGGAGTGACTCAAGTATTGGGTTCATGTGGTCTCGTTTACGGGTGCGGAGTGTGGCAGTGGCGCAGCATGGCAGCGGTGTTCCAGTTGCGGTGGCAATTGGTAGAACGAACCTGCCCATACTCCAGGGTGTAGCTGACAGCGACGGTCTCGCCAGGCAACTTGCCCTTCTTCCTCAAGGGGATGAACCCGACCCCAAGACGCGCCGCGAGCGACGGGCCGAACAAGAATCCGCGAGCCTCCAGCCCTGCATGCACGCAGTCACGTTCACGATTCAAAATCGATACTTCGATCAGATTGCTACAATAGCCACACATGCACGCGTCAAGTCGTGAAGGTGTAAATTGATCATTCAACATGAGATTTTGGCTGTGCAGTCATTGGCAACTGTGCTGAGTACACCAACTCACTACACTTGAGAACATAGTTGAATCATGGGCGACTGAAACCCAGATTCGAGCTCAGGCTTCTTGGCAGAGCTGGGTTGATGCCTTGACACAGCCATTGAGCCCCCTCAGAGCCACCAGGCCATCTCTCTTCGTGGAAGTGTGTGAATGATGCCACCAGACAACTATAAAGCCCATGATGCTCATTACGAATGTAACTATTCATTCCTCAGCCACTGTACGAATTGTCACAAAAGAGCGTTCAAGTAACATTTATATTTTGCATAACTTCTTACTTATGCATCGGCCTATAAGCAGCATAGCATCAGAATAAGCCAAGATCTATACTCTACTGGATTAAAGTCTCCCAAAGCTGTTGCTAACTCTCATAATCCAGTGATGCATCAATCCATCCAACTTCCTTCACACGAGCTGATCATATTGTTCAGTTTCCATGGTAGATGTTCTCTCGCGCATGCTACTTAACATTTCATCTGGATATATTTAGCATGAAACGGAAATGCTTGATTTCTGCTCGCGTTAATCGATGTGTGGATTGGGATCGTATGAGTCTATTGCAATACACGCGTTGGTTGATGCATTGTCACACAACTAACGCTCATAATAATTCTACATGCGCATGGAATGCAAGCAAACCATTACTAACCTTAGTGGGAGGTTTATGGAATCATTACCCCACAATTACAACTCTCATACAGCAGTGGAACCCACATGCACTTTATCCTCATGCCCCTGTAGCCTCTAACTTTAGACTCTGCACACGTGTCAGCTCAGTCTAGAACGATTCACCTACCTCGCGATTCGACGACTTTCATAAGTTGTATTTGCAAAACCGGTTATTTTATAGTTTGGTGAACATAGCGATTGTTGCATTGTGGGACCATAAGAGATGACAACAGCTTGGGAAGGCCTTCATCCAGCAGTGGACCGATTATTGCTGATGATGTATGGAGCAATCTCAATCAGCTACAGGTGTCACGTCAACATACAAGACATACGAATCTGAAAAGATGCGATCCTTACAGTCATCTTGCAATGCATGTACTGCTGGCTTTAGGTTCCATTTTAACCGATTAATCAATTCATCGTTACACCCATGGGTGTGCGTGTCTGCGGGCTTAGCGTTGACTACACCTGCTGTGAGCGTTGCAAAGGCTTTGCAACAAAACTACCACAAATGAGTGACTCAGGATTTAACATGTGTAATGACAGGATGACACCTGTTGGCCTGGAAGGGTAATCATGGGTATGGGCAAGGTTATGTAACAACCAATTGGAAGGGGGTCGTATCTGGGGTCAAGGTAAAAGGTGGGGTTAGTCAGCAAGCTCCAGGAACCTGCTCGAAGGTTCTGGAAGGGGGCATGGCCAGAGGCCACGCCGAGAGGTATATAAGGGGGATGGAACCAAGGATTCAGGGTTGTTACAGGGTCCTGGGTCCTGGCTGCGTCGCTGCTCGCCATCATCTCTCTCCGTCGTCCGGCTGCATGGAAGATCCTCTGCACGGCTCCCATCGCCGTCATCGTCACATTAGTCAGTCAGCTGTGTGGTTGGATGTAGGCGATTGGACTATGTAGAGAGGTCGGCTGTGCGTAGCTAAAGTAGAGACTATATATATTACCCAGTGTTGTGCCCAGGAAGAGGAGACGTGTATATATGTGTATCGGCCTGTGTTGTGCCCAGTGTGAGAATAAATAAGAAGAAGCCCTCTACACGACGTGTCTCGGAAGTCGCTCATGACACTTGTATGATAAAACCTTAATAAATGATTACTAATCTACAACTCGCATCGTAACAATAGCCCGATTACTAATCTAGTATATAATTACAATCACTCCCCCCTTGAATCTTTGCACCTGATGAGTTAATGATGACGTCACCCTGCTGCTGCTCTATATAAGAACGGGAGACACAGCAGAGCCTCACCATTCTGGCGAATTGCCCGATGATGCTGGTTGCAATAACCAGCGAAACGTCGTACTCAAATTGTATATGTTGTGGCTTCAACACACCGGTGGGCTAAAGCAGTGAACTATTTGTCTTTGTCAACGTGACACATTTTTACTGATTGGCCGTGTCGGGTGGTGGAGGGTTACGACACATTTATAAATAAACGCGATCTAAACCCAAAAACGTTGATTATGATTATAATTCCTGCCCACACAAGTTTGTCATCTATGGGAACAATACAGTGTTAGCACGAAAAGTGAAAAGCAAACTAATTTTAAAAGGACTGGAAAATTGCCAAAGGTAAGACAACCATTTTTCTACCGACACAACTGAGCCTAGCCAGCGCAGGGCCCAGTGGCTGTATAGGTGGTTTTCCACTAGCCATTTGCCGTGTTGAGCTGGAACCAAACCATGCTACCCTGGCCTCATATAACACATCTGAATCTGGCCCAGGGCCAAGCACGACCACAGGCAGGCTTAATAACGCGTTCATTGCGTGTGACGTCAGTACATTGTGAAGATCCCTGGGTTTGACCTTCCACGAAGCTCATGGTCCACCCTAAACCGCATCCACAAAAACCATGGCAGATGTGGATACTTGATGCACAAAGAGAAAATAAAAAAACTCTCCAGTGTGCGAATTTGGTTATCCAGAACAGACCGTACAACAAATAACGACGCAATGCCCGATCCACAAATACGATGGAGACATCACGGCAATACACTCCCCGCTGCTCCTGACGCGGTTATCTGGCTTGACCACCTGAATGTGAAAATTGTAGTTGTTGCTCTGCATCTACATCAGCCATACGAAAGACTGAGGAAACAGTGTCGCCGCATCATCTACACATACGTCTCATCATAGGCATGTGACGTCAGCGGCACGGCTTGGGTACTGCAGTGGAAAAGCACCTTCAAAGTCGAGTTGGGCTGGCTCGGCTGGGCCCACCACGGCGCTGTACGATTGTACAGTGGCAGAGTAGCATAAAAGGATGTTTACCCGCAATCAGGTCCACGCTGCCCACGTGTTTCTGCAGCTTCTCCTCCAGGAGCTCAATAGTGGCATTGAAGGCCTCTGGGTCCTTGAGCAGGGGGCACACATCTCTGCCATGGCAACACAATCACGCGTTAAACAAAATAAACGGCAGTCAAAAGCATGCACCGTCTACGGAGCTCAGTCAACCGAGCTGCACCTGACATTGGAGCCTGGTTAGTAATGTGCTTTTGTACCATTTTTACCAACTCGGGAGAAATTTCCGAATACCAAATCGTATTGAATATGCCCAACGTCAGCTGAGTTTAGCTCAGCAGAGTTGAGAGCCTGTTTGGGAGACTTGGAAATAGGTGTAGTTGTAGACTTGGGTCGAGGCAGCCAGGAGATGGCAAGACAACAATGGATTATTGCGTCTATCCGTGCGGAGCTTTGAGTGTTACTTAAATGCGTGGTGGTCTTTCTCTGGGTACAGTGGCTCTCTTACACATGCAAGAAGCACAACTCAACTGAATTGGTGAAACATCCCAAGGTGGGACCCGCCTGAAAAATAAGTTTTTTTCATCGGAAAAGAATAAATAAGTTGATAAACACACTTAACATTACCACATCCCACGTGGACCATTGCCCCTTGAAACGTACTCCATATATATTTGTCTCTCCCCATATAAAAAAAACACAAGTATTATTTACACAACCCATCGGCCTACACGGCCTTGTGTTCGTTAATTATTTCGGTGGCATTGATTCAATCAAGTACGTACAAAACTCTGGAACGGTGGCCCTCAACATGAATGCAATGCAAATATGCCCACGGCAAAGAATGATCGTGACAATAGTGAATGCAAATGACTATCGGAAGGCGATGGGTATGGGGAAAACTGTAACCCAGGTCCAGACAAAAATCTTTCTTTCGTACGGCATTTGAAGATAAAAAAACAAGCGACCGAGTTTACAACTCGTATGTTTTACTTTTGAAAGCCGTTCGATTGGTGTCTCTGGGGTGGTCCAAAGGCTACCTACTAGTGTGTATCATTGATAACAGCGTGTGCACTGTTTGATGGCATTGACATTTATTATCAGTCACGAACCGTTTAGAAGGACGATCGGGTCACAAAAACACGAGAAATCGACAACGATACCAACACAACAATACACGAGAGCCAGTCCAGCCATTACTTGACCGGTTTCGATGTCTTGACGTGGCCAACATCAATCAACAGGGCCATTTGCCTGGCTCTGATACACGGGGTGCTTCAAATAAATGTGAACACTTCTGAGAATTAGCAACAACGCCACGAGACATGTTGTGCCTCTGGGCTCTGGAGACCACCTGGAGAAGTTTCCAGGTGTGTGTTGACAATGATGGTGAACAAGTGGAGACTTTTTGAAGCTCCATTGGAACCTCCTTTGCCAGTAGAAAAATATGATAATTGTTTTTTTACCCTTTTATCTGGCAACAAAACTGACACCTTTTTTTTTACAAGGAGTCATGTTTGCATTGACCACAATACCTGCGGTCGGAATGCAAAAAAAAAACACAACTCTGATAATGTATGCACTGTGTTTGAAATTGATTGGTCCACACCCGAGACAGCTTTTGTTAGAGCCTAGTCTCACATGGTGTTGGACCATGACGCCAAAAGTCATCTGGTCCAACACCATGTGAGACTAGGCCCTAAAAAAAGCTGTCTCGGGTGTGGACCAATCAATTTCAAGGGCAGTGCATATATTATCAGAGTTGTGTTTTTTGTTTGCATTCCGACCGCAGGTATTGTGGTCAATGCAAACATGACTCCTTGTAAAAAAAAAGGTGTCAGTTTTGTTGCCAGATAAAAGGGTAAAAAACCAATTATCACTTTTTGAAGCTATTAACATACATTTGTTATCATGTTACAGTGTACTGTCCTTTCTTTTCCCATTAAAAACGATAGTCCTATATAAGTTCATAATAAAGGTTTTGGGTTAGATCGTGTTATTTATAAATGTGTCGTAACCCTCCACCACCCGACACGGCCAATCAGTAAAAAATGGTCACGTTTACAAAAGACAAATAATTCACTACTTTAGCTCACCGGTGTGTTGAAGAGTGAATCAACATCATTTAAAAAAATTAGTACGACGTTTCGCTGGTAATTACATTTTTACTATTTGGCCGTGTCGGGTGGTGGAGGGTTACGACACATCTTCTTCTTGGTTCTTTCGGTAAAGTCACGTAGAAGGGAAATAATAAAATAATAAAAATAAAACATAATAAAATGATTCTCACGACGTTTCGGCCACAACGCAAGCAGCCGTCCTCAGGTGAAGACCAGGTCTGTCGAGGAGACAGCGTCTGAAGCTTATTAAAGACCACTTCAGACATTATTTGGTCACCCCGTGCCCCTTATAAACCTCAACATCTATCCTACAAAGGGAGAAACACAGACAATGATTTTGTTGGCCCCTATTGAAACGGCTGTACGCCGTATGGCCCTGAACACTCGATTTTACTGCACAATAATAAAGGGGTTTAAACCTTATGGGATTGACAGCTCTGCACCCAAACACCCCTTGCAAGATGCACTCAGATTCAACGTGTAAACGCAGGCGGCGTTGTTGCTGCTTTTCTCCTGGACTCTCTGGGATCCAGTCGAGCAGCAACCTCGTGGACGAGCCCTTACCGAAATAAGATGCCGGGCTTGGGGAAGTCGGGCACGACCCCGACCCTCCTCGCCACCAGCGCCGTCTTCTCCGCCGAGGACTTGGCAGCGGGCATGGTCACCAGTGGCGGCCCGCGCGCTTCCGCACCGCGTGACGTCACCGCGAGAGTTCCCGCCAAATCTCGCCACTCCCCACCCCCTCCGCGCCACTCCCCACCCCTCCCACCCATGACCGCCCCACCCCGCCTCACCCCTCCCCACGCCGCCCCACCCCGCCCCTCCGCGCCCCTCCCCACCCCTCCCAACCATCACCGCCCTGCCTCTCCCCACGCCGCCCCACCCCGCCCCGCCCCACCCCGCCCCGCCCCTCCCCTCCCCTCCCCACCCCTCCGCACCCCTCCCACCCATGACCGCCCCACCCCTCCGCACCCCTCCCCACCCTCCCCACCCCTCCCCACCCCTCCGCACCCCTCCCCACCCCTCCCACCCATCACCGCCCGCCTCTCCCCACGCCGCCCCGCCCCTCCCCACCACGCCTCACCCCGCCCCTCCCCTCCCCTCCCCACCCCTCCCCACCCTCTCCACCCTCCCCACCCCTCCCCACCCCTCCGCACCCCTCCCCACCCTCCCCACCCCTCCGCACCCTCCCCACCCCTCCCCACCCCTCCCCACCACTCCCCACCCTCCCCACCCCTCCCACCAATCACCGCCCGCCTCTCCCCAAGGCCGCCCCGCCCCTCCCCACCACGCCCCACCCCGCACTGCCTCGTTCCCTCTCCTGATTGACATTGCTCGGTCAGATGGGTTTTGTTGTTTGTCACCTCCATAATTGGATGTCACGGTTCGCGTCCAGCGGCCTCCCTGCTTAATACCGCGGGTGCATTATCAAAGCGGGTGTAATACTATTGCGGGTGTGTTACTACAGCGGGCGTATTAGGGGCCGTCCATAAATGACGTCACGCACCTTGGGGGGGGGGGGGTCAGACATTTGTGTGACGAGGGGGGGAGAGAAATGTGACGTCACATCAAAATGCGCAACTTTAAATATAGACAACACGTTCTACTTAATTAAATAGACTTTTTAATAAATGTTTTCTCCTACATCATCAGAATGCAGCACCACATTAAATACGCACTGCAATGACAATAGCTTTAAAGCGATTTGAAGCATGTTTTATTTTTTTTTGGGGGGGGGGGGCAGAGCTTTGTGACGTCATATTTGAGGGGGGTTTGACTTTTTGTGACGCCGTGTGACGAGGGGGTTGGAGTTTGCGTGTCTCTCTCCATGGTCGCGTGGATTTTTCTCCAGGTCCACCGGTTTTTACCTCCACATTTCGAATGAACATGCGTTTTGAGCATTTGGCTGCAATACATTTTCACATGAGCCACTTCGTTGAGCTATAATGTGGCCATGACTCAATTCACCGTGGTAAAAAAAAATATATAGCGTTAAACTGCAGGTTTATTTCTCGTAAAAATAGGGTAGACGTCAAGGATTCATTCGCAAGAGTAGGCCATTGTATTTACGCTTTGTGGTCCAAATTTGATCAATTATAACCCAACAAAAATTACTCAATTGGAATGATGATACATGGCAATCATCATCGCACTGAAAACTTGGCAGTAAGCTTCCTTGACAAAGGTCATGAGACTACAAGAGGGAGACTTTGCGTTGGCAGTGGTGCACACGCACATTTATCATCAACAACCACAGCAACAGCACTCAAACACATTAGTCAATAATACATTGGCTGTAACCAAACACATTCCTGCGGAGGGAGCTGATAGGAACGTTGGGTTGCTCGGTCAATGGCCAGGGTCAACGGCGGCGTGGTGTATTCCGCAAATATGCCCGACTGTGAGGGTGGGCACAAGCCGGCGTGAGTAGTTAAACGTTGAGTTTTATAAGGGCACCACGGGGTGACCAGCCCCTCCCCACCCAACCCCACCCCTCCCACCTCCCACCCAGCCCCTCCCCACCCAGCCCCTCCCCTCCCCAGCCAGCCCCACCCTCCCCACCCTCCCCTCCCTCCCCACCCAGCCCCTCCCTGCACGACGGACACAATAATCCCCTGTGGGCTGGTGTAACCAGGAGGTTCCTTACCAGTAAAAGAAAAGAAATAGCGAATTGTTACTGCCTCTCAACACACTCAACCAGTCAGCGCTGTCTAACCGTGAACAGAGGTGACATTGACCCTTCTGCATAGGCCACGTGCTATGAAGAAGGGCCATTGCCCGAAACATCGCCTCATTATATATCGCCTAATTATATATTCTAAGGGCCGCAGTTTTTTTTATTATTACACGCTTTTATTTAACTCACTCTGTCTTTGTTGTTGTCGTTGTTGTCGTATCCTCAAATCTTGTAACTAAATTTTTACCCACTTCCCAATGTGGTATCGACTGTAACATTGGTATACTTATGTCATACTGATGACAATACTATATTCTATAATAAAAATAAAATAAACATATTTTAAAACATTATTTTTTATGTATTATGTTTCGGCTTGGGTCTAATTGTCCACGGTCAACTGATTTTGGCTGTAATTCAACACGGCCCCTTACGTTATGGAAAGCTTCTGGGCCACTTCCTGAAGTCGTGGAGTTCTTCTATTACCAATACGGTACATATCATTAAAGCGCGTTTAAAAAAAAAGTTTTAAAAATATATATTACTTATTTCTTCTAGATTTGAAGCTTTCGTGACTGCAAGGATTCATACTCTTAGGTTTTTTTCGGTAAAGTCACGTAGGTAAAAATAAATAATAAAAATTATAGAAATAATAATAGAAATTAAATTATAATAATTAGAATAATTTTATAAAAAATAATATAAATAATAATATAAATACAATTATTGTCATTATTATAATTTTATTTCTATGATTATTTATATATTTTTATTATTTATTTTTTACCAACGTGACTTTACCGAAAAAAACTAAGAGTATGAATCCTTTCAGTCACGAAAGCTTCAAATCTAGATGAAATAAGTAATATGTTTTTACTTTTATTTTAAATAATAGAAATAATAATAGAAATAAAATTATTATAATTTTATTGCTATTATTATTTATAAAATTCTCATAATTATTATAATTGTATTTCTATGATTATTTATATTATTTTTATGATTTATTTTTTACCTACGTGACTTTACCAAAAAAAACCTAAGAGTATTACTTATTCCTATTGGCGAAAAGTTTCACCGGCGTGACGTGACCCCTCCCTCCACACCCGACCATGCCAGCTCAGAGGTTTTCCCTCGGGCACCTCCCCCAGCGTCCGCGCTTGCCAGCTTAGAGGTTAGTTTCCCTCTGATTCTCTCTGTCGCTCGCTGCGTCGCTCACTCGAAGGTTCCTTTTCCGTCGCCTGCCTGCACGAAGATGCCGCGAATTGACAACGACGTGAAGCTCGACTTCAAGGATGTCCTCCTGCGGCCCAAGAGAAGCACCCTCAAGAGCAGGAGCGAGGTCAGACCGCGATGGCGATGATGATGATGGTGATGGTTGTTGTCTTGGTTGTATGAACTCCCCTTTGCGAATGACCACCACGCACCCGTTCTGGTTATCTCGACCGCTGTGCTAATAACAGCCGGCATTCGCCATGATTTGGTGATCGTGTAACTCTGCCCCGGTCGGCAAACACAAAACGTCGTCCTCTACTTACGATGGAGATGCGTTACAACGACCCCCATCGTAAGTCAGAAATGTCGTAAGTCGAAGATGGCCTATAGTGATAATTTAGCCAAAACAGAGCCATTTACAGTACAATACTGTATAAAATATATACAGCATTAATTAATTAAATACAATACTGTAGTGCACGGTAAAATGTAAAGTTTTAAAAAACAAGGTAAATTCTTAGCCCACCTATATGAACTGCAACTTCACGCAAGGCGTGAGATGCGTAACATCCCGGCAGCGTCCCAACTTACGGCATCGTGCCTCGCACGCTGCTGCGTTTGCCTACCGCGCGAAATTTTTAATATTTAACAATTTTGTCGTATCGATATCGCCCATCGTAAGATCGAAATAGCGTAAGTCGGGACATGTAACTCGGGGACTACCTGCATTGTGGGTTGACAGTCGTACGCTGCTGCGTTGGTCTACCGCGCGAAATTTTAACTATTTAACAATTTTGTTGTATCGATATCGCCCATCTTAAGATCGAAATAGCGTAAGTCGGGCCGTCGTAACTCGGGGACGACCTGCACTGTGGGTTGACAGGCGTCGTGACAGATTTTCGCCCATTAGTTAGGAGGGACAATCGGGAGAGACGGTGCCACGTTCTGGCAGCGTGGGCCCTCTCCCCCGTGTGAGCATCGCTACCCCACGGCCGCTGTTGACCCATAAGGTTCGTTGATGGTCGCGTTCCTATTATTGGTTATTTCGGTAAAGTCACGTAGAAGGAAAATAATAAATTAATAAAAATAAAACAAATTATCACGACGTTTCGATTGCAACACAAGCAATCGTCATCAGGTGTGAAAACCACTTTAGGTGTGAAAGCCGCCACTTTTTTTTCAAGTGTTCTTGCTGTGGGTTTCACACCTGATGATGATTGCTTGTGTTGCTATCGAAACGTCGTGAGAATTTGATAGTTTTATTTTTATTAATTTATTATTTCTCTTCTACGTGACTTTACCAAAAGAACCAAGAATATGTAGCCCCGCAGTCACGAAAGCTTTAAATCGGTTGCGTTCCTGTTGGGGGATTCACCGGTGCCGTTAGCTGACCACGGCATTGGTGAAGTATGGTCAAACGACCCCCATGACCGACGTGGCGTGCTGTGTTATTGGGACGTTTGGCTGGCAGTGGATGGGAAGGGGTGGGAAGGTTTGGTTTGGTGCTCCATGTTTCGGAAGCTAAGTTGGATTTAGCCTCCTGGGCAGTGCTTGTATTGGGCGACCAGCATGCATGGACAAGGCTGTGTTAGGCTGTTGGTTTGGCCATGTTTGTTTGTTTGTTGTAGTACGGAGTTAGAATGATGGCTTTAATCTAAGTTGTCTTGTGGTTGTTTGTTGTTTGACTTGCATCCCACTGGGATTTTTGCACAGAGAGTTGGTGTAATGGTGCTTTTTTCTGTAAGATTTTTTGCTGTTTTTTCCTGGATTTTCTTTTTGCGCAGTCACTTTAAGATGTTTTCTTGTTCATGTTTTTGTTGCGGTTGCACCCGATTCAAGAGCCGAATGGCTCACAGGGTTATACCAAATAAATGAAAGTGAAAACTGAAACTACAATGCTCAATCAAACGGAAGAATTTCACTAACCCAGTAATTTACATCATCATATCTCATGTCCGGCTTTAATCTTAATACGTGTTTATCCACTATCACTGTGTATGTTTGTTTAAAATTGTATTGGGTTGTAATGAGTTTTGTTTTGGTGGCGCGAAGCACCAATAACAGCGGCAGGCAACGAAGGTGAAAGCGAGCTACTCAATTTCCTGAAGATATAAAAAAAAACTATCCTATAAACTTTGTTTATTTTACCAGGTAAGGCCCACCGAGCTTTACAGCTCTTTTTCTGAAGCAACCTGGACGCAAATGATAGCTCAACGACGTGGCTTATCACGTGGACATTTAGAACAGCCACATTCTCAACACGCGCATTTCTTAAGCTCATAGACTAAAACGTTGGACATCATTCCAAACAACACTCGGCACAATCCGAACACTCATCGGAGAAGTAAACCGACACGGTGCTAATGGAACAACACGTTACGTTATTCCGCCCTCCAGGTTGATTTGACTCGCACCTTCACCTTCCGCAACTCCAAGGGCACCTACACAGGAATCCCCATCATCGCTGCCAACATGGACACCGTGGGAACCTTCGAGATGGTTAAGGCCTTTAACAAGGTGATGGTCTGAAGCTTTCGTGACTGCAGGAATCCATACTCTTTGGTTTTTTGGGTAAAGTCATGTAGGTATAAAATAGAATAAAATAAATCACGACGTTTCGGGCGCAACACAAGTGTCCGTCATCTGATGATGCCCGAAACGTCGTGATTTATTTTATTTTTATACCTACATGACTTTACCGAAATAACCAAAGAGTAAGGTATGGTCCCCAATTCGGCGGTGGATGGACATGTTTGGGTGGTCATGTTGTTGCACTGCAGGCTACTGGGTGTCGCTATGACTGCATGATTTTGTAATCTGTGCACTCGTCTAAATGCTAGCTAGTACTGTATAACTACAGACTGCATGTCTTCATATTGTACCCAATTGTCACTGCAGACAGCTGTTTGGTTATTATGAATGCGGTGCACTTTAATTTTCATTGTGTATTTTGAGTTTAGCGGAGACGGTATGTGGCCTAGTGTTTTAGGGGAGGCCTAAGTAGATTTTTTTTAACAATGTGAGAACTCAAAATACGAGAAGAGTCTGATTTGCAAGAGTGACCTTGATCTCCAAAATGACAAAAAGCTAAACAAAAGTTTGTTGCGAGTAGAGTTTCTATGGCTGTATGTACGTGGCTTTCAGCAGTCCGTTTGTAGCTTCAGTCTCAGTTGATAAAGACGAAGCAATCATGCGTCAATAATAAAGCCATCGGCATGGGGATGTCATATGGTTTTAAATGTCAAGTAGTTCGGCTCGCACCACTCGGATCAGTTTTTCTCGTCAAAATCAGCACCGTTGTCAAAATGTGAGCCTTAAAAGCCCTTTATACCAGTGCGGGCATGCTAAAATAATTGTGAATGTACTTTGTCTGCAGCACACCCTCTTCACTGCTGTGCACAAGCACTACTCTTTGGACGACTGGGTGGAATTTGCATCCAAAAACCCCGACTGTTTGGAGGTAACTACAGTTGGAAGATACTCACTGCTGGTTGCACCGGTGTGATGAAAGCACCAATTTACATTGTATGATGCTAAATATGATCACGTGTACATGCGAAGCCTTTTTGTCAATCCACTGCTGGAGGAGGGCCTCTTCACTTCGTATAGGCTGTGCGAACCAAATTACTCCAATGGTTGCAATCGCGCTTTCGTGGACCTGCCATCATTGTTGAACCGATGTTGGCAAGTCTAAAGTACGGTCCCATCACAATACTCTGTGCCCGCATTTGTGTGTGCATGTTTGCCAACGTACAGAGTGATGGCGCAGTGAGTGCACTGCACTATGGACCTAGAAACCTCGGTTCGACATACTGCCATGCTTAACATTCCTGGAAAGCATGATCAGAATCGGTCCCCGTGCCTCCAGACAATGGTGGCCTGGTGGCCACACAACCCTCTCATTCGCTGTTCAGCCCTTAATAGGTGCCCGAGAACAGCACTTGCCTCAACAGTGTGTTTAAAGGCTACACAGTAGATGTGTGTGTGTGTCTGTGTTCTTTCCAGCACGTTGCCGTGAGCGCAGGCAGCGGCACCAAGGACCTGGCTCGTATTTCAGCTGTGCTGCAGGCCGTGCCAGCCGTCCGCTACATCTGCCTGGACGTCGCCAATGGCTATTCGGAGCACTTCGTCGAGTTTGTCAAGAGCGTGCGCGAAAAGTTCCCTGATCACACCATCATGGTAAGATGATGCCCAGAGTAATTTTGCCACGATTTTTGGACACCCGTTCTAACGCACTGTAACTGTAATCATAGCTTCCAAAGTGAAGTCAGGGGTCGGGGGGGGGGGGAGATATTCCCACCTCCCACCCAATTTGTCAGAAAAATATATACTGTAGCTCCTGCCAATAGATAAACCCACACCATATCGGTTATGAAGATTATTTCTACACAGTTTACACTGGTACTCCGGGATATCCATTTCTTTCCATCGCTAAAATAACACACACAATGTAACTAGTATTGGACAAACGTCCCAATGCTGAACATTATCCGCAAATGGCTCGCTTGCTATTCCACAAAGCGACATCGCCCCATTTTGCTGAAACTTCGGAGGACCCTCTTAAAACGAGTCATGAGACTCTGTCAGCCTTTCCTGGAAAAACAAGAACAATAATACAATTAATCATGTTAAACTAAGTAACCATCATGTCCTTTCCCGTCAGCTACAGCACCTCCATACAGTCGACCATGTTTTACTACACATCTATAGTATCACCTGAGCACTGTCCCTCCAATCTTCACCGTCCTCTCACCTTACACACCCCCACCCCTTCGTGACGTCATTCAAACCCTCTGACCTACTAAAATGTCCGCGCCACCTGTGGCATGTAACCTCCTTATTGCGCTGTGCGTGCATCTTTGCGACAGGAAAAGCACGATTGTGTGATTGCGTGCAGTGTTTGGTTACATAATGTGAACGGCCTTCTGTGTGCACAGAGCAATATAAATCCGCTGAAGCCCTTGGAAATTGTCTTTTGATGTTTGTCGTTCACAATGACGAGGTCATTGGTAGCATGCTTGTTAGTGCTTGTCTGACTGCATCCTTTCAACTAGGTCGCAAAGCGAGACAAATTTGTGACTCAATTCAGTCTTTCATCATTTGCTGTGATGTATTTCATAACCTCCATGTGTTCGTGCATGTAGGCGGGCAACGTGGTGACGGGGGAGATGGTGGAGGAGCTACTTTTGGCTGGGGCTGATATCATTAAAGTTGGAATCGGCCCAGGTGGGTATTGATCATCATTTCGCATGTGCGGAGTGGCGAGTCATTCAGCTAAAGGTGCAGCCCTGCAATTGTTTGCTCATGCCTCTGCTGGTGGAAGAGCCTCCAATGAGAGGGAACACCTCTGGAGGGTATTTGGCCTACTCTTCCACACTGGCTGGAAGAGGTATTTACACATTCACGATCCCACCGCACGTGACCTACCCATCAACTGACTGTGGTGTTCCAGTTTATAATGCTGGATAGATGGCGGCAGGGGGAATTGAGGAAACTTTCCCGTTCTGTTGTAATAATGACAATTATTTACCTCGAAGTGGGCTTGGGCAGGACGCATTACTGCCCTCAGCTGCCCACCACATAGCCCCACAAGCTCTTAACATCTATTTTGCATGGTGGTCACCCATCCAAGCACTATATCCAGGCTCCGACTTTCTTAGCTTGCGAGATCTGATGAGGCAGGTGCATTCTGCATGATATTTTCAGAAGACCTGTGTGCGTATAAATCATGTTCTGTGGCATAGGTGCACACAGCAATGTTGCACCTTACTGAACAGCACAAGCTCCCGTATGTGTGTCTGCATGTCAGTTTGTGTGTGTGTGTTAGTGTGTGTGCGAGTGGGTAGCGGTAGTGTAACGGTTAGTATGCTGCGCTACGAACCTGGCGACCCGAGTTCGATTCCCGCTCACGGCCGACACCAGTGACGATTACCTGAACCGGTCCTGGGCCTCCCCTTGGTCGACTCAGCCTCAAATGAGTACCTGGTGCGGTGTGTAAACATCGCCACTGGGGAGACAAATGCGGCCGGGCGCGGTGCTGGCCACCCACCCCCTCATGTGCCGGTCCAGCCTTCATGGGTACTCGCTAACAGCACTTGCCCTAACAGTCTGTTAAAGGCTATATGGAGAATCTTTCTCTTTGTGTATGTCTCTATGTCTCCCTGTCTGTATTTAACTCTCTGTGCATATATGTAAGTCTGTCTTTACTCGTCTGGGTTTTGTGTCGGTATGTCTGCCTGTTTTATTATGTCTATCTTTATACTTTTTTGTGCAGTCTGCCTGCATGGCATGTCTGTGTGTGTGTTTTTCCATTTGTGTGTCTGTATATATGTCCTTTTGTCTGTCTGCATGTCTGTGTGTGTTAGCCTGTCTGTGCGTGTGTGTCTTACCGCTTGTTTGTCTGTGTGTCGACACACGTGTGTGTAGGCTCGGTGTGCACGACGCGCACCAAGACCGGCGTGGGATACCCGCAGCTGAGCGCCGTGCTGGAGTGTGGGGACGCCGCACATGGACTCGGCGGGCACATCATCTCGGTGAGGACGCTGCCGGACCAGCCAATATTAGGATGTCTGTCGGAGCACGTGCTGTTCGCGAGCACCTATTAAGGTCTGCACCAGTGCAAGCGGAGGTGGTATCACCCAGCTGCCTCTGCATTCCCAGTGCTGATGTTTACAAATCACCGCGGCTGGTAATGATGGAACGAGACAACACTGTTTTTCAGAGCATGTACAGCAAACCCCTTGCCCCTTATGGGGGTTACATTCTTGAAAATATCCACAATTGCCAATATCCACAATCCGCAAACTCAAATGGTAAAACTTGGGTTTGGTTCACGGTTCGTAATACGACACCCCCTCCTTTTGTTTAATGTTATCCTACATCCAAACATTAAACAGGAGGTATTTTGAATGTAAAATACGATTAATGTTTTCTAGTGTTAGAAATAACTTGTACGGTAAATGTACAGAATGAAAAAGAATGAATGTAGCGTGCAATACTGTACACGTATCCACGTACAGTACTGCACACTACAGAAAGAAAAATCGTGCAGCTGAACCTGACTACCTCACTGGACGCTGAGAACACATGATCTGGCCCCTGTGATAGGCCGCGAGCAGTACAGTTACGATGCGCACAGGAATTTCACGGTCAACCGTGAATGGTCGAGCCACAGGCGAATTGTACCTCAATAAGTTTGGCACGAAACTGCCAACCGCGATAGTTAAACCCTGCGAGAGGGAAGGGTTTGCTCTACAATATTTGCTCACAACGTGCATGAAGAAGCCAATTAACAATTTTCATAAGTATTGCTGTACAGAACATTCTTTCACTCGAGGTGAAACACTGCTCATCACATAGCACAATTATAATGGAATTGCTGTAGCGTTAACAACAAAAACTTTTTTATTGATTTCAAAAACTTGGGGGGTTGGGTCACATGATGTCGCCGAGTTCATGGAGGATGCTCAATTTCCAAACGCTGTTGGATCTCCGCTTAGCTTCCGAGTTCTGATGAGATTGGACACATTTCGGGTGGAACAGGTGTCATCTATCACCGTCCTGCGATGTAGCAATCCATCTAGCACCTGCACATTAGCTGATTTCATGGCTCCATCTCTGTAATTTCTGGGCGTGTTCCTCCTCAGCCTACCACTCCGTCGTTCGTATCTACCACCGGCCATGTAGCCCTGCTCGCAATGAGACACGTGCTGTATGACGCTATGTAAGTCGTTTGTATGTTCTGTCTTCATGTAACAGCTCTCGTGCCGACTAGGTGAAACGTGTATTTCTTTATGCGTGTGCATCTCTGGCAGGACGGGGGCTGCACTTGCCCGGGCGACGTAGCTAAGGCATTTGGTAAGGAATCGCAGTTTCTGAATTTTTTTTTACTAAACTATCAAACATATTTTTTTTATTTTACCAGGTAAGGGCCACTAAGCTTTATAGCTCTTTTTTCAGAAGCGACCTGGTCAAAAATGATAGCTCAACGAATTGGCTTATCGTGTGTAAATATATAGCAGTCAAACACTCTAAAACACATGTTTCTAAATGTGATGGGAATAACCAGAAGACCCGGAGAAAATCCTCGCCACTGTAGCGAGATATTTGCGTGAATTAAGCTTCCATGTCACATGCAAGCATGAGCAGGCGTTCTTTGCAAAAACGCACGCACTACCACAGGCTTTCGTGTGTTCACACAAGTTATCGGTGACACAGTCACTACATTTACAGCTCCACAGATGAGATGTGTGTGTGCGTGATATGTGTCTGTGTGGCTTTGGCTTCCACTGGGTCAGCTCAACATCAAATGGGTTCCTGCTATGGAGTGGTCAAATATAGTAGGAATGTAATATTTGTGGTTTGCAGGGGTGTCCTGGAACAAAGTTGGTCATTCATGTATATACAGAGTGATTCATTTATAGATACCCCTTTGATTTGTAATGACTATACTATCACTACAGTATTCCCTCGGTTAACAGTGACATCGATTAAATGTTTTTCGATGGATGTTTCGCCTCCCATAGGACCCCATGGTTTCGATTAACGTAAAAATGTTGATTAACGGTACGCCCACGTTATGCACGTGGGCGCCAAGGTTGGCTAATCCGAGCGCTCGTTAAGTAGGCTGAGCCGTGCCCTCAGTCAATCAGCAACGCCCATTTATGAGCGTTTAGACCTCGACTGGCTTTCTTTACATTCTGTTTTGGCAGTGGAAACAGCTTTCTTGCAAACAGATTTTGGTTCACAGTAGTTTTCGTGGAACGGATTTAAAACGTTTAACCGAGGGACTCCTGTATCTTTAATACTATATTTTTTCCTATTGTAAGCAAATCAGACCGGCTTTATGAGACAAAGTGCTGGGCAGTGATGGCCCACGCCTGTAATCCAGCTTGCCAGGAGAAGGCAGTGCAGCACGTGGACTAATCCTGTGGAGTTTCTCTGGGTGCTCTGGTTTCCTCCCACACGGATACACACTCAGAAATTGGCTGAAAACATCTTAAAATGAAAACAATGCAAGACCCTCCTGAAATAAAGAGTTCTACGACGCAGTGTGGCTCTCCCGGATAAATATGTACTTTTCAAAAGTAAGGAAGGTGTTAAAATGCTTGATGAGTGTATTGAGATTGATGGATGGCATAGAGCAGGGCTCCCCAACCCCCGGGCCGCAGACCGGTACCGGTCCGTGGCCTGTTAGGAACCGGGCCGCACAGCAGGAGGTGAGCGGTGAGTCCGCGCGTGGAACCCGCCCCCATGATTTTATTAATTACTACTTCCATCTGCGCCTCTTTCCCGCACTGCGCACTTGTCTCGGTCACAGTTTTGGGAAGCCCACAAGCTGCTAACCCAGAGCCAACATGAGTAAAAAACAAACGTCGCTGGAGAGCTTCTTTGAAAAGGGGGGAAAGACACAATGATGACCCCCCCCCCACCCGGTCCGTGAAAAAATTGTCTTCCACGAAACCGGTCCCTGGTGCCAGAAAGGTTGGGGACAGCTGGCAAAGAGGATTGAATTAAAAATGTTGTTCTCCATGATGTCCCTTTATTTGTTCAGTGCAGTATCTATATTTGGATCACCCTGTATATTTTACCAAAAAATATAGCTTCATGGGAACACTTTCGGTCTACTTTCCTTAGTTCTTGTTTCTTCAAATGCAAAATTATTTTACTAATTAACTATTTTATCCACTTAATCCTCCTACTCAACAAAAATCTAACACTTTGTGGAGAATTATATTTTGTGGGCTATTAAGTTTTACAGGAAACTACTCAAAAATACATTCGTCAATAAAACTGTCTTCAAAATAAAAAAAACAGGCTCGGTTTCGGGCACATGAGAGAGATCAGAGAGACATAGTTAACAAGAATTGGAGACTTCATTTAACACCATAGGGTCTGATGAGAATTACATTAAAAAAAAATCTGATTACAAGTTTATACATTTGCATATGAATAGTTACCTAATATTATTGAGTATCAGGCAAACCCTTGTATAAGTGTGCACCACTGCCAACGCAGCTAATCTTATAATATATTTAACCAATAAATAATTGAACTAATTATCATTATGATAATAGGCTTTCCCCCTTTTTTCTGGCAACAAAACAGGTGTTAAGATGTTAAAACACCAAACTGAAACCTTTGACAAGGAATCGAATTATTATTTTAGGTTACAATTAAAATCAAGTGTCTATTTTTTGTTGCTGTTTAGCGGCACATAGAATCTAGTGATACAAATCTAGGCTATCGGTTATGGTATGCGTATAAAATATATTTTGGAAATAATTCAGATTTGCGTGCATCGTTCAATGCTCCTATTGTGAGTGAAAACAAAAATATTTTATCATTAAATCCGCAATGATTGGCCAGTCACTAAAAGCGATATTGAAACATGCGCCAAAGAAGGCACAATCCAAGACACAAAGAGCTCTTGCAGATTCATACCTTACGCTGCATAACAAATGTAATGTAGTACATTTGGTGTTCATGCCCTGCTTATGGCGCAGGTCTAGCATGAGGGAACTGCGTTTCACAGACGGATATGGTCCGCCAGTCGGGAACGGTGTTATTGGTCGTCCCAATTGAGTAATTTTGTAGGTACATTTTTCAAATTTGACAGAAAAATTGGACCATAATGCCTGCACATGAGGCCGGAATGTTTGGAATGACAGTGGGTGGATCGTTCAAAGTCTGTTCTCCTTTAACGTGAATCGGATATAATGCTATTAATGTATTAGGGAACACATTTTTTATAACGCGGATGCAAATTGGATATAACGCGATTAAGTGAACAGAAACTATGTCGCGCAAGTACGATTCATTGGTTGTACGGCTGCCTTGGTGTGGCATCACACAAGGCGGGGGGATGCTGCCGGAAGCTTCTAGATGCTACCCACACTCCTCGGCCTTTGTTCAGCCTGCGTACGCATCTCACGTGTTAGTGCGGACTGTGCTTTACCCTATATTATATATGATTTATTATAACGCGATTCTTTTTCATAGCGTGGTGGTCTTCAGGAACGCAACTACTACGGCGTTATTGGAGAATGGACTGTACTTTTTTTACGGTTAATACACCCGCAGTAAAAAAAATGAGGGTGGCCGATTGATCGGAATTGCGAATCTGTGCAACATGCAGCGAACACCTTGCCGCTGGGCCTCGGCACCGGCTGTAATGTTTCAGTTTCGTTAATGTGACACGAAAAAAAGACTTGAAAGTTACGATCACTTATATCGTGGCAATCTGTCGACAGCATTCTCATTACTAAAATAAGCCAAGAATGTGTGTGTCCCGCGCGTGACGTCACTCCACATGAGCCTCCCCCCCCCCGCATGACGTCACTCCACATGAAGCCAACCCCCCCTCGTTAATATTCATGGCTGGGTGAATTTTTACACCAACGCAGAGGATGATCGAGCTGAATTAAATAATTTATTACGCAAAGTCGATTCAAATATTCCTTTTACAGAAAGTCACTACACTAACGCACAAGAAGGTTGCGCACTCCACATGCCGCACCCCTCCACAATAACTATTAGCGGGTGACGTCATTCCACATGGGGCAACCCCCCCCCCCCCCCTCATTAATAATCATGAGCCGAACTATTTTTCTATTAAATATTTCAGATTTACTGCAATATACACTTGTCCTTGGACGGGCAAAAAATTCGTACGTTTTAAGAGGTCAATGTTAACAAAGCTTCGTGCAATGTCAGCACAGCCCGAGACACATCTCAAGTGTGAATGTATAATCTACGGACACATACAGTCCCTTTGCCAATCCACTGCTGGATGAGTGCCTAACCCACATGTGGGTCACGGGGGTTCTTTGAGCATACTTCACGCTGGTCAGCGCGGGTTTGGCGAAGGTGGGGAGCTTAGACATGGGAGCATAGTGCAACGATTAATTTTTCTGCATGGCCCTCTGCTGCCCACCACGTAGCCCTGCAGCCTATCGCACCTGTTATGCACATTGGTCGCCCATCCCAGCACCATCCGGTCTCAACCCTGCTTCGCTGCGATCGGGCACATGGGCACGCGTGAGATAAGAGCGGTTACATTTTTTTGCATTGCAACTTGCTCCAAACAGGAGGGGCTCAGCATCACCTTTACGTGTGCGTGTGGCAGGAGCCGGAGCCGACTTTGTGATGCTGGGAGGAATGTTGGCTGGCCACACCCAGAGCGGTGGGACCCTGACGGAGCGAGATGGCAAGCAGGTGATGACCACCTCTGTCCTGCACCTAACCACAACCTATATAGCTACAGCCAGCAGTGGTGGCTGTAGAAATATTTCTGGAGGGCTGGTGTTGTAGCAGGTGTTGTCAGTGCAGCATTGCACGATTTGAGGTTGCCTAGTGGCAGCACAAGACTGGGAAGGGCAAGGCGGGTTGGGATAGTATCGTGCCATAGACCACTTTGGCTGCTGATTAGTAATGTATACTCATTTATAGTCCTGTTATTAATCCACGGCTGGATGAAAGCATCATCATGTCGATCATGGCCGTTGTGGGACCATACTTCATCTTACTGATCAGTACAGCGTTGTATATATTCATCTTCTTGGTTCTTTCGGTAAAGTCACATAGAAGGGAAATAATAAAAAAAACATAATAAAATAATTCTCACGACGTTTCGTGGGTGGGGGAAACCCCCCACCCACCTACGCATTCCACAAGTAATGACTAATCCCATATCTGCATTTCCCATAAATATGCTAAATTCCTCTTGATATGCAAATTCCTTTGTCAAGGCGCTCTTCCCCCTCCAACCCAGCTTAAATATACGCTCCAAGCCTGGTTGTGTTTCATTCAGACGCTGTCTTTCCGACAGACCTGTTCTTCACCTGAGGACGGCTGCTTGCGTTGTGGCCGAAACGTCGTGAGAATTATTTTATTATGTTTTATTTTTATTATTTTATTATTTCCCTTCTACTTGACTTTACCGAAAGAACCAAGAAGCTGAATCCCTGCAGTCACGAAAGCTTTAAATCCAAGTTGTATATATTGTAAATAATTTGTTATCAAAAATATGGATAAAATACTAAAATAATCTTAAGATGAAAATGTACGTTAAACATTTTAATGTTAACGTAACTGAGTGTGAGTGTAATTTACAAAAATGTGTGTTAAGTGTAATTAGTAATGTGAAAAAAATAATTACTAATGAATGATTCAATTGAATGTATGTGTATGTGATTATGTATTAGTTATCTCGTTGCTTAGGGGTATGTATCGCCAATCGTGATAATATAATTGATTTTCGCTTTATCATTTACTGATTCTCGCTTTAACAATTATGTGTGTAATTATGTCAGGTCTCGGGATTCAGATCCTACCGCAGGATACAGGTCATCATTACGACAATGATGCATGAGTTTAGGAAATAAGCATTCGGAAACCTGTTTATAATCTAAACTACTTTAATATCAATTTACCCTCACATCCAAAAAACTCCTATAATCAGAATACCATCAATAGTGCCCATGCAAACATACATACTCATCAATCCATACTGGATGATTATAAAATCATCAATGGTCAAATCTCACAATCACGTGATTAAAATAAAACAATAGTCTAATATCTCATGGTAACGCGACAATACACAATTCATAATAGTAGGTTTTTACCCTTTTAACTGGTACAAAGGTGTCAGTTTTGTACCAGTTAAAAGGGTAAAACCCTACTATTATATTTTGCCACTGGTAAAAGAGATCTCATAGTGAATACACAATTCCTTTGTTATGGTGTGTGATGCATGCAAGCTGAGATTCTTCTTGGCCCACAACCTGTACAAGGTAGAGTTAAAAATAGCGAGTGAGTGTAAAGTTAAAGTTCCTTCTATCTTATCTCTTCCCGAACAACACACAACGATGTGTTGAACGGCGGTTTGGTCCACAGCCACAGTGCACTCGTGGCCACGCCGCTCGCTGCTCCTTCCCAGTGTTGTCTGTGCATCATGCTCATTCCACAGCTGGACTCAACACTGGTTGAATACGGGGGCCAGACCCCGGACTTTTACCGTTGTAGGGATTTATTCCCTAAGACACATCAGAGCCTGAAGCTCCTCCCACTATCACACTCCTCGCATTCATCTGGTCAGGCTTGGTTAACCTTTTGTTCTGGCTCCGGCGGACATCCTGGCGCCGAGGGTTATCAGCTCGGCCGTACTTTCCCCCTTGCTCCGGAGGTCATCCCAAGACTAGTGTGGACACAGCTGTGCTTAATTGCTCCTGGTGTGGCCTTTTTGCCTCGTAGAAGCTGACCCCCAGGTGTGGTGTGTGTGTCTGTAGCCTTGTGTTTATTGTGAAATGGCCTCGAGATTATCCATGTGTCATGGGAACGGCCTCCTTTCCTCTCTCTCTGTCTTCTCTGTAGAGCCTGATTTACCTCGTTCGATTCTCCCTCCTTCGGCCGCGGTGTGCGATGATAGCCACTGGGAGGACAACGGCAGTCGGCACGGCTTTTGGTTATACCCCTTGCATACATTATGTTGGTCGTGTAGAATTAACAACCATAATATCTAAAAATACCTATTGTTCTGAATGATTCTTAGGTTCAACGCTTAAGTTTTACATGTTTAACCCAGATCGTACGGCGTAACAGTAATTGTTATTAAGATTACGCGCAATAGTCATCAAAACCTTTTAACCTTGAGCTGCATGGTTATATAACAGTACATCCTATCAGCAAGTGAATGTTGAATACCATGATATTTGAAAACATTCCTATGCTGTGGTGATCAATCCAAACTTCACAACTTTTCAAGCCAAGGCTTGTGGATAATTGATACATATGGCAGTACCCAAATAATACAAAATGGCCGAGGCAATTAAATATTGTATTTCTGGGACACTATTTTTTCCAGGGGTGTACTTCGCTCCGCGACTGGGGTACCAATCAATCCGAAATCAGTGCCACTCCGCGATGTCGACACGCCAAACATTAGCATTAAAAATCCATTACCAAAAAAATCAACTTTGAATAGTGCTTTGTGTACAACTCGTCGAGATGAGTCGATTGCCGCATCGCCGACCATCAACAGACTAAAAATGACTACATAACGGACATTATGCGAGAGCCGTGATACTATGGTACCCCCGAGTTCCGCCATAAGGTTCAATTAACCGCCCAAATGCTGAGTCTCCTTTGTGTGAGGGACAGCTGAAGAAGCAGCGGTGCCTCCTTTGGCCTTTGTAGTCTTAAGGGAGGAGTTTCACAGGCTTCCGTCAATGTGTATTTTTAGAACGCGCTAAATTCAGATATATGTAAAAAAAATACCATTAAAAAATAGGCAATATCACTCTTAATATTATTTTTGGGAAAAGTGACCAGTCTCTAGAGTGAAGAGCCTGTGGCTCGGGTGGCTGAGGGCCTTCATGGTCTTGCTCGCCTTCCTACGGTATCGAGCGGTGTAAATGTACTGTAAATGTACACAAGCGGTCCTCTTTTCCTGAAGATGACCGCTTGTGTTGCGATCGAAACGTCGTAGTTTTTTGTTATTTTTTATCATTTTCTTTGAACTTATCTACATGACTTTACCGAAAGACCCAAGAATATGAATTCCTGCAGTCATGAAAACTTTAAGTCAAGATTTAGTGGTGGACCTCTTGAAGCATGTGGAGACAATCGACTGGGATAGGGAGAGATTGAATATCTTGATTTGAAGCTTTCGTGACTGCAGGAATCCATAGTCTTTGGTTCTTTCGGTAAAGTCACGTAGGTATAAAATAAAATAAATCACGACGTTTCGGGCGCAACACAAGTGTCCGTCATCAGGTGGGATAGCTGGTCTGCTGCCGAGGCAGACTGTTTTAAAAGGTTTGAAATGGGTGTAGCTCAAGGGTTATAAAGAAATGGCCGGGGCTAGTGATGTTAACGTGAGAAATTAGCATGTAACTGTAAGATAGAAGAGCTGCCTCCTAAAACGAGGGCATGGAAGTGGCTATGTTAATGTGAGGGATTAGCATGGTGTTAATGTGAGAAATAAGCATGTAACTGTAGAAAGAAGGACTGAATCCAGATGTACCAACTTTGGTAAGGCACTGTCTTACCAACACATACTTTACCTGGAATGGTACATTCTACAGACAAAATGAGGGCACCCCAATGGGTTCTTCCTTATCGCCAGTGGTAGCAAATGTTTTCATGGAAAAATTTGAGACAGATGCCATCCAAACATCCACCCTACGTCCTTCCTTGTGGAAGAGATACGTAGATGACACGTTTGTCATCTGGCCACATGGCCTGCCAGCACTGAACCAATTTCTCAACCACATCAATTCCATACACCCGTCTGTAAAATTCACCATGAAAGTGGAAAAGGATGGCAAGCTTCCATTCCTGGATGTTTTGATCGAGAAGAGACCTGATGGCTCATTTGGACATTCGGTCTACAGGAAAGCCACCCACATGGATGCCTATCTAAAAACTGACTCCCACCACCATCCAGCCCAGAAGAATTCCCTCATCAAAATACTACACCATAGGGCCCGTTGCATCTCCGACCAGCACCACCTAGCCAGTGAGTTGGAGCACGTACACCAAGCCCTCAGGATGAACGGATACTCGGACCGTACAATCCGCAAAGCTGTCTCCCCAGCCATGCGGAGACAACCTTCTGAGGATCCGCCCAAAACCATTACTTTACCATACATAGAGGTTACCAAAAATATTTCCAAAATCTTAAACACAATACAGTACACAAAATCCGTGATTTAATCCCATCTGTAAAAGACGCGATTCCTGACATGCAATACCCTGGAGTCTACAAACTGAGCTGTGGTTGCGGCAGCAGTTACATTGGGGAAACGAAACGACGTGTCTCGGACCGTGTCCGTGAACACAAGGCAGATCTGAAACACGGTAGGACCAATACCTCTGCCGTTGCCGATCATTGTTTTAACACTATGGGCTCACACGAAATAGATTTTTCCAAGACAGGTACTCTGCAAACCTACCGGCTAGCTTCAGAGATTTGTTCATGAAGCCATCCAGATATATAAACACAGACACAACTTCAACCAAGAGGATGGGTACAAACTGAGCAATCATTGGAAGGACGTTATTAACCAGGTAAAGTCTAACTGACTGTGATGTTTCCATCCAACCTGCATATGTCAGCTGTTATTTCGACTCTGCCTCTCTCATGCTCACATGTCTGTTGCATTGCACTCTCCTACTCACAGGCCCTTTGGATTGCACCCGTTGGGTTGCACTCCCCCGTCGAGGAGACCGCTCTTCTTCTTTTCTACAGTTACATGCTTATTTCTCACTTTAACGTCATGCTAATCCCTCACATTAACTTAGCCACTTCCGTGCCCTCGTTTAGGAGGCCGCTCTTCTATCTTACAGTTACATGCTAATTTCTCACATTAACATCACTAGCCCCGGCCACTTCTTTATAACCCTTGAGCTACACCCATTTCAAACCTTTTAAAACAGTCTGCCTCAGCAGCAGATTATGCTTTCCCACCTGATGACGGACGCTTGTGTTGCGCCCGAAACGTCGTGATTGAATCTATTTTATTTTATACCTCCGTGACTTTACCGAAAGAACCAAAGAGTAGAGATTGAATATGTCCGTAAACACTCCAGACAGCTGATCTATGGATGCTCTGAGAGCGCGGCTCGGGATGCCATCCGGTCTGGCAGCCACAGATCGAGAGCCCACAATACTTTTGAGCAGCAGGGTCCCGCGTCGGTGGGTCGGTGTTTTTATCGAAGCGAACAAAAAATGTGTTTAGCTTGTCTGGGAGTGATGCGTCAGTCTCCCTAACGCAACTGGTTTCCCCTTTGTACCCCGTGATTGTCTGGAGTCCTTGCCATATGCGTCTCGTGTCTGAAGCCATTGAGTTGCGACTCCACTTTAGTCCCTGTACTGTCTTTTTACTTGTTTGATTGCCTTTCGGAGGTCATAGCTGGCCTGTTTGTATTCGTCCATGTTCCCGGTCGTCCGACCATGGTTAAATGCGGTGGTTTGCGCTTTCAGTTTTGCGCGACTACTGTCATCTATCCACGGTTTTTGGTTGAAATATGTATAAATCATCACCATTGTAACAACATCCTCTATGCACTTCTTGATGAACACGGTGACTGAGTCTGTGTACTCGTCGATGTTATTCCTGGAGGCGACCCAGAACATTTCCCAGTCCACGGAAGCAAAACAGTGCTGAAGCACAGATTCCAATTGGTTAGACCAGCATTGAACAGTTTAAGTCACAGGCAATTCCTGTTTCAGCTTCTGCCTATAGATGGGTTCCTACCCATCGTTCACGCCTCCAGGATGGAGGCGTGAACAATGGGCGGGGGAGGGCTTTGTATCCATCCCGGAAGGGAGAATAGCAGTGGTCCATAGCGTCGTCTAAGCGTGTGTGGCATCTGATGTGCTGGTGAAATTTCGTGTTAAAATCCACAGCCACAACGAACGCGGCTTCTGGGTGTGCGGCTTCCAGTTTTACTTTTTAAATACCGTACAAATCCTTGAGAGCTGAGTGGCGTCGGCCTGTGGGGGGGGGGGGATGTATACATTCGTGAGGATAGAAGAAAATGGGGTTCGGCATTTTACTGTCAGGTACTCGAGGTCGGGTGAACAGAATGACGAGCGCTTCTCTACATTGCCGTGGTAACAACAAGTTGTTACCAATGAAGTATATCACTCATTTGCTTTTCCCCTGACGCCTTTGTCCTGCCCCCCCCCCCCCCCCTGTGCGATGGAAAATCCACCGGGATGAATCGCTAGGTCCAGCAGCAGTGGGGGGGAGGGTCGTGTTTCAGTCAAACAAACGACATTGTAGTCTTTCACATCTCGTTGGTAGCAGATTATCGATCGAAGCTCGTCCAGCTTATTGACAATGGGCTGAACATTGGCTAGGAAGGTACTGGAAAGCGAGGGGGCGATTGGCCACCCGTATTCTCAGCCTCACCCAGAGCACATCGCCTCTCCTGCACATGGATTATATTTAAAATGTGCCGGCATCTCCTGGGAAGAACGCCGGGTAAGATAAACGGAGCTGCTTCAGGGGCTCCGGACAAAGGCTCCAGGTCAGGAAAGTTGAAATCGAGGTGGGTAACCGATGATGTAATGACCAAAAGTGGTTGGCGGTCATGAGAAATAATAGCAAAGACGTTCTGAGTAAAATAACAAGAAAAAGTAACACAAAAACCTGCAAGGTTGTGTAGGAGCAAGCAATGAGGCTGTCTTCTCTGTCGGGCTATTATGAAGCTGTATTCCGCAAATGAGTTTTGATACGCGTGGCTTGCTGTCCATTGTGTTTGGTGCCAGGTGAAAACATTCTATGGCATGAGCTCAGGAACCGCAATGGAGAAGTACGATGGAGGAGTGGCTGATTACAGGTAAGGAGATGCAAATGAACATGATGCTTGTCTGAAGAATCCTTCGTTTTCACGAACATAGGTAACCAAGCTCTGCCTGTCCAATCTTGATTTGAAGCTTTCGTGACTGCAGGAATCCACTCTTTGGTTCTTTCGGTAAAGTCACGTAGGTAGAAAATAAAATGAATCACGACGTTTCGGGCACAACACAAGCGTCCGTCATCAGGTGGGAAAGCGTGGCCTGCTGCTGAGGCAGACGGTTTTAAAAGGTTTGAAATGGGTGTAGCCCAAGGGTCATAAAGAAGTGACTGGGACGAGTGATGTTAATGTGAGGAATTAGCAATGTAACGGTACGGAAGTGGATATGGTAATGTGAGAGATTAGCATGATGTTAAAGTGAAAAATTAGCATGTAACTTGCCACAGAAGTAGCTATGATAATTTGAGAGATTAGCATGATGTTAAAGTGAGAAACAAGCATGTAACTTGGCATGGAAGTGGCTATGTTAATGTGAGAGATTAGCATGATGTGAAAGTGAGAAATTAGCATGTAACTTGGCACGGAAGTAGCTATGATAATTTGAGAGATTAGCATGATGTTAAAGTGAGAAATAAGCATGTAACTTGGCACGGAAGTAGCTATGATAATGTGAGAGATTAGCATGATGTTAAAGTGAGAAATTAGCATGTAACTGGGCACGGAAGTGGCTATGATAACGTGAGAGATTAGCATGAAATAACAGCTGACATAGGCAGGTAGGATGGAAACATCACAGTCGGTTAAGACTTTACCTGGTTAATAACGCCTGTCCAGTTCTGTCCCAGAAACTGCACCACGGAACCGGGATCCATGTTCCCAAATGCCACAAGCCTCGAGACCTTTTTTATGGGCTGGGCCTTTGACTCACAATATTCATTGTGATTAGCTCATGGAAACCCTGTAGCCCCTAAATAAAATTCAGTCTCTGAAACAAACCGTGATGAATGACTCGTGGCAGGGTTCAATGGAGAAGCGTCTTCGAGAATAAAACATGATAACCTGCAACATCTCATTGTCCACAAAGTTGCCTTTTATTAAGAGTATGTGGATTGAAAAGGCTTTTTGCCTTCTGTGCAGAGATGACACAATAAAAACTACTTTCTATTTAAAAGTGTATTATGGAGTGTTCTGTTAATGTTTACATGGATTATATTTCAAATGTGTATGCGGGTTATTGCACTTTTAAGCATACACCTAAAAAAATTTACATTACCACTACTAAATAGAAATAAGCCTTCAGCAAGATATTCATGGATACGTGCATCTGGAAACCAATGTTCAAATGCAGTTGAGTTTGTGTTCATGTCTTCATGATTGATATCAAACTTAGGAGGTTTGTGTCTGTGTGTGCAGGTGAGAGAGTGAAGCCCTTAACACAGGTCGATGAGCCTGTGTGTGTGTATGTGTTACAGATGCATGGGTTTGCATGTCAATACTGATGTGTGGGCGGCTGAGTGTCCAGTGGAGAGGCACGGCAGGGGTTGGGGCATTTATCTTGCCTGCAAAAATTCACGCCCCAGTTGATGCTTTGCATCTGATGGATTCCAAACCCTGCCTCAGTCAAAACTATGACGTGGTCAACAGTGCGAAAACAATTGCCCCCCCCACCTCATCGCATGCTGCCACTCGTTAACTAATCCGACTTGATGCTCAAGTTACACAGAAAGTCTGCACACCAGTCCGTGGTGCTGCACCATTCCCTCATGTGCCATATCGACCTTAATAGGGGCTCGCCGGTAGCAGTGGACCCCATGATTCCATAACGCTACGTATGGGTCGTCGTCGTCTTTGTCCCCGTGTGCGCGGGCAGGGCATCGGAGGGCAAGTCGGTGGAGGTGCCGTACCGCGGCGACGTGTCCGACACGGTGCGCGACATCCTGGGCGGCGTGCGCTCCACGTGCACCTACGTGGGCGCCGCTAAGCTCAAGGAGCTGAGCCGCCGGACCACCTTCATCCGCGTGACGCAGCAGATCAACGCCGTGTTCAGCAACAACTAGCCGGCACGCGCCCGCTGGAGCGTCCGCCGCGCGATGATTTCAACGTGGCGCGTCGATGGCCGTGGCCCGCCGATGTCTCTGTACTAGGGGAGGGGAAGACGGCTGCTTTATTTTATAGGGCCTACAACTTAATTTTATACAGCCTCATATCAGGCCCATCACATTGCATACCTGTCAACGCATACGGTTTAACCGTATTCTTGTACAGCGAAATTGAGTTTTCAGGTCCAACACAGGCAAAAAATACATGTTGTCTATTTGTGTTTCTCCCTTCTGATGGGACTTTTTAGGATGAACTTTAAGATTTATAAGGGTACAGCGTGACCAATAAAGTCGGAGTTGGTCTGTAATAAGGTAGGCACTGATGGGTTGACAGGTATGACATTGAAACGGCCTACTTAAGATATTGTCACGGCAAACATCGTAGCCACACAAGTTCTAGAGTGGTACATTTTCCACCTGGCCTCGCTGTGATTAGAATTTTTCGTGGAGTATGTTGACTTGCGTGGCCTTGCCAAAGGTATTTAAAAGTAACAATTCGGCTCCGTGTAATAACAAGTTCCCCAGCCCGACGCGATAATAGTATAGAAACACATTCCAAGCGCTTTAAATGATCGTAGAAACTGAATTATTCCTCAGCATACAACGATTCATTAACTTAGATCGTCATGACCATAACTCATGTACCAATTGATTGTTTTATTTATAATATTTTTTTTCTTTAGGCTAAGGTTTGGGGCACAAGACGGCTACAAAGATAGACATTACAACGAGGAATGACGAGATGGAACGGGTAAAGAGGGCAAAAGTAATTGAGTCTCCGGATTCAAATCATGACCCAGTTCCTTCATTCGCAGAGGGAGGGGGGAGTGAATCATTACACACAATCATTTCAAATTATTTGTTGATACTGCCTGCGTTATTGATGAACGCATTGAGTCTTTGTTGTTGCAACTATTCCAGTCCGCTTTTCACCCGTTTGACCCAACCTCGGCCTCTTGACTCGCTCTCCTTTCCCATCCCAAAACCAAGCGGTCAACCTCGCGAAGTTTCGCCTCGCTGGGCTCCTGGCAAAGGTGTTTGAGCTCTACTCTACGGTGCTGCGTGAGCATTTGAGAATCTCAAGGTTAAATTTGGTTGAGTTGGCTTGCGTCGGGAGGAACTCGGCAGGAGAATTGCCCCTTTTGCTGCAGGCACAGGTGAATTTAGACCCCAGACAGACACAAAATGAGGTAATGACCATATTTATGATTAACGAGAAAGTTCATGATTGTATCGCATATAATTTCAACAGTATTATTCCTTCGGCTCTGCCAATTTAGTCTTCACAGTGACTTATTGGTCTAATTTATGTGAACATTTTAGCTTTCCGAGGGATTTAATGTGTCAAACCAGCGGTCCCCAACCTTTCTGGCATCAGGGACTGGTTTCGTGGAAGACAATTTTTTCACGGACTGGGGGAGGGGGGGGGGGGTCATCATTGGGTCTTTCCCCCTTTTTAAAGAAGCTCTCCAGCGACGTTTGTTTTTACTGATTTTGGCTAGGGGTTAGCAGCTTGTGGGCTTACCAACACTGTGACTGAGTGCGCGGTGCGGGAAAGAGGCGCGGATGGAAGTGGTAAATAATAAAACAATGGGGGCGGGCCACGCGCAGACTCACCGCTCTCACCTGCTGCTGGCGGCCCGGTTCCTAACAGGCCATGGACCGGTACCGGTCTGCGGCCCGGGGGTTGGGGGCCCCTGTGTTATACATTCCGGATCTCATCCGAACTACGTGTTAATATTACCAGGCTGGAAAAAAATATTTGGAACGAAAGTTTTGGACATTAGCAAAGGATGATTAATTGACGTAGCCACTTATTTTAATACAACGATGTACTTAATAATAATACGTGGCAGTTGAAATGAGGCATTTAACATAAAAAATTATGGTGACAAAATGTGCACAATAAACATTCCACATGCCCACGTGTTGTATCGACCTAATGTGAGAATGGGAATAACGCGGTGGGTGTTTATTATGGAACAGCACGGCCCTATGGCTGATTTAAATTAGTTTTGTTTGCAGTACCAGTTTTACCATTAAGTTCCCATGAGAACCCACTCGCAAGGCTTTCACCAATCCCACGTCCCAGGTCTGGACTGGCCGACCAGATAGCCAGGCATTTTGTCAGTTGAACTAAACCTGGAGTTCACCACCACCCAGCCGGATGTAAATCACTTGCCGGATGATGGAAGTTGATGTTCAAAAGTTGGACCAAGATTGTTGCTGAATGTCCCGTTGCTTGGCAGTCGAGTTCAACTGCACATGTTACAAACTTCGCAACCAAACCACGTGGCTCAAGAACAGGCATTTGCATTGCCCTCCCAATCGTCACAGGGCGCAGCATCAGCGAAGGTGGCTTCTGATATGTTGCACGTGATGCCAGTGTCGCCCCTTGGGCCATGGCAAAAAAAACACTACCATTTGTAACGTGTGTTATGGCAAAACTTTAGGGTATCGATTGATTAAAAAGGTTAGTCTATGTTTACCGGCTCTATAAATACATCTGTACCATTAAAGTTTCGTCACGACAGGTGGTACCAGAAGTAAAATTATCTGGTCTGTGTTCACACAGCTGGATACGTGCATGGGAAGGCGGTGGAGGGATTTGCTGGCCGAACGGACAATGTTTTCGCTGTCACGGAGTCAAAATGTGCTCAAGCGAGAGTTGAGGTAGCACTCATCTCCGCTGGGAGTCCTGCAGCAGAGCCATTGGTGGCAACTCCACTTTCTTTAAGAGGGGAAAAAGTTTTTTTTCCACGCGCGCAAATCGAGTTGCCATCGAAGCGCTACTCTTAACCATGAACGGGGCCACTGGGTCTCACCCATATCTTAAAGAGAGAGTCCTTGTCTTTAACATCTTGCAGTTAACCAGCATTGACTCGAGCAAGCCTGGCTGCTGGGATACTGTATTTCGAAACCGGTGTAGAGTTTGCTTCTTCTGAATTGTGAACTCCCACGAGGACGTTTAGCCGATGCGTTGTCAGAAATACTTTAGTTTTTTTGGAGAGACATTTTAAGGAGGCATCCGCTTGATCAATTGTGTGATATATATATAAGTTCCTCGTGCTGCCATGATTCACCCCGGGGTCTCCACGCGGTGAAGAGGTCAAGGTTGCACTCTTGCGTTTTTTGTGTTTTCATTCTGTAACCATCATCGCTGCTGACTTGTCCTCTGCTCGATCGCCGGCCGCGATGCGCATCAACACGTGATGGTGGTTCTTCGTTAGCCGTTCCTGACGAGCAACACGCCGCGGCTGAGCGCGAATTTGTTTTCCCATGACGCCGATTAAGTCGCGGACAAAGGAGCCACTTCTTAGGTGCCGATGTCGGCAACGCCGGCGGCCGTCAGCTGATTTCGGCGATGTGAGTGAGATGGCGACGAGAGATGAAAATAGCCGTGTTCTTATGGAGACGCGATGCGGGGGTTGCATTCCAAGTGTTAGCGGCGCTCATTGTTCTCCCATTAACAAGATGCTTTTTATAAAACCGAGGAATTTGGCCCAATTGGATGTCATGGATCTCCTTTCCACTTTTTAAACATAACACGGCTGAGTGCGCCGTGTTATACAATGATGCTGCTATTGATGGTGTAGCAGTTATAGGTTTTTACCCTTTTAACTGGTACAAAATCTGACACCTTTATACAAGGCATCATGTTTGCAATAACCTTTATGCCTTGTATAAAGGTGTCAGATTTTGTACCAGTTAAAAGGGTAAAAACCTATTACTATATTTTGCCACTGGTAAAGGAGATCTCATGGTGGAGCAGTTGTGGAGTTAGCGCGCAGCGCTACTTACCCGGCGACCCGAATTCGATTCCTGCTCATGGCCAACAGCAGTTACGAATATCTGAACCGGTCCTGGGCCTCCCCTAGGTCGACTCGGCCTCAGTTGGGTCCCTGGTGTGTCAACATCGACACTGGGGAGACGAAGGCAATCGGTCGTGGTGCTCGCCGTTCACCCGCTCGTGCCGTTCCGGCCTTCAATAGGTGTTCGTTAAAAGCACTTGCCCCAACAGTCTGTTAAGGCTATACAGGGGATCTTTGCCTTTTGATCTGTGGCATAGTTTCGCGTTCGCTGCGTTCGTGTTTGCCGAGCGCGTGCGGACGGTGTCGAGCGAGAGAAACCAGGTCGGCGCAATCGGTCAGAGACGTGCAGTAATTAAGAGTCAGAAGTCGAATCGATTTCCTATTGTTTTTTTTTTGGGGGGGGGGGGGGGGAGTCAGCGGAATTAGGGATGTTAGGATGGGTTTAACTTCGGCTCTGGTGGCACATGCGACGATGATTGTGACTGATTCCGATGATAGTGATATCTGTTGCTAATTATCATGGTTGAGGATGACGAACGAAGGTGAAATCATTGCTGATACTGCTGATGATGATGCTACTACTGTTGCGCTTACCGATGCTACTGCTGATGATGATGCCGCTGCTGATGCTGCAGATGACCTGGTGATGGGTCGAGCTCCAGTTAAAGTACAGAGAAAGATCCAACCCCATTGGACAAATCAACAACTGGCCGTGAGAACGAGGCACATTGGAGGGCTTCATCTGTCTCACCAGCCTCGCCTGGCAGCCAGGAAGAATCGAGCAGTTCGTGCATTGTGCTATGAATTGGCAACTTCGTTCATAATTAACAATGGAAGCATGAAGACGGCAAAAAAATTAAGTTGATTGGTAAATCGCAAAGCGTAATCATCAGAAATAATTAACCGCAACACGCGATAATCATAAAACTCGGGGAGAAAACATTAAAGACCTTGCAAAACTACGTGCATATATATTCTTGATTCTTTTGGTAAAGTCACGTAGAAGGGAACAAATAAAATAATAAAAATGTAAAACAATACAATTCTCACGACGTTTCGACTGCAACACAAGCAATCATCATCAGTCGAAACATCGTGAGAATTTTATTTTTTTGTATTTTTATTATTTTATTTTTTCCCTTCTACGTGACTTTACCGAAAGAACCAAGAATATGAATCCATGCAGTCACGAAAGCTTTAAATCAATACGTGCATATAATTAATTCTTCCACTGGAACACATTCTCGTTTTAAGTCAGGGGTTGGGAGGTTCCATATGCCACACTTGGAGAAATGTCCTCGTCCCTTTGCAGTACGGAAAAGTTAAAGCTCCAGCACCAGACCTGTGGACCTCATCGCAGAATAAAGATCAACACCAGACGTGCAGTTTATTCGTGTTTATGCAGGAATTAAATACCTCAACTGTGGAACGATGTATGTGTCGATCAGTCTATAAAAAGAGGAGGGGGGGGTATCCCATTGGCCTCGTGATGGGCCGTGGGCGAGAAAAAACAATGGATTGGGTGCCAAAGGAGGGAACGCACCTTGAGCAGGGCACGTCCACTGGATGTGGAGCTCGTTACAGGCTCTAAGGGCAGAGGTCGTGAAACCTGCAACTACGGAGTAGCATGCGACTCTTTAATGACTGCGTTGTGACGTTATTCACATCGCATTGAGGCACTTGAAATTTAGCAGTTTTTTAATAGAATTCGGAAAAAATGCTCATCTTGTTATTTTGGTTGCTGATCCCTTTGCTCGAGGGGGTGTGTCACAGGGGAGCGGTAGAGTAACGGTTCGTGCATTGTGCTACGAACCTGGCGACCCGAGTTCGATTCCAGCTCATCACCGACACCAGTGACGATTTTCTGAGCCGGTCCTGGGCCTCCCCTGCGTCGACTCAGCCTCAAATGAGTACCTGGTTGCTGTATGTAAACATCGCCACTGGGGAGACAATACAAACAAGCGCGTGCATAGTCGTATACACACTTCCCAGACGCAGAATACCGTGGATATTTGATCCATAGCAGCCTTTTAACAGACTTCTGCGAGCACATATTCAGGCTGACAAGGCACATGCCAAATACAAACATAAAACGCACTCTTACGCACACATACATTATCACTCTGACCCCGTTGCTGTATATAAACATCGTAATACAGGTGTAATGCGGGCGTAAATGGGCGGGGCGGATATGACGATCCGAGAGGGAGGAGTCAGGGTACACTCGGAACAACTACATACATGCACTCTCACGCGCTTGCACAAATAAATGCACGCAAAATCACACTCGGTGATGAATAACAAAAGCACGGAGTGTTGACGTTACTACGGCCATCTTGCACAGGGAACTGATGCTCAACAACGGCAGCCATGTTGCATTGGGATTATTTTCCTGTCCGCTGATTGGCTGAGAGTGATGACATCATCCCTTGCAACCACTGTACGACTCCGACTTGGATAAAAGTAATTGTTGGTGGGAAAACAACAGAGTGCATTGGGATGAAAATTATGCTAGAGGCGTGCGGGGAAATTATAATTAGAAACAACGGAGTGACAGCTGAATGATATATATGTAGAACTTATTTGGCACCGTACGTAGCCAACCGCGCTAATCGGCGTGCGGGGTGCTCGGGGCATCCACTGCAGAGATAGAGCCGTGAAATCAGCTCATTGTGCAGGAGTGAGATTGTGTAATACACGCAGCTGTGGATAGAGCAAGGCTGTTGATGTTACATTTAATGTTTCGGATACTGGATGTACAAACGAGGTAGAAAAAAGGCGATAAATAACAAGACGATAACGAGATGGAAATAATATAGATTCTTAAATATCCAGCGACAGACGTATGCACGTAAGTGCTCATTAATACATACAAATTAATACATTTCAACGATATCCAATGTAGACTTGAACAAACCGTTGGAGAAAGTGCGAAACATTGTAACCGACATGACAGTAGTTTTACACGTGGCCGACATAACAAGGCGATAACCGATTGAGAGAAAGAGCGGCCTCATGCAAGGGAGACCCACACAGGATACGCAAGTTCGCTTTCAAGATCTGGTAGGGTGGAGCCGAGCACTGGTGGTGATTCAACATCATCCAACCATCACACGAGCATAACTATCGTATGCTCATCAACAATCACATACGACGACAGTGTTTATCATTGGAAGTTATTAATTACATACAATTATCCTAATTGGTGCTGGCTACGGAGCCGAGGGCTGGTGAATCGCACAAAGTTTGTGAAACTCCCTTCCCGTGGGCGACGAGGTGTCATACCCTGGCTCGCCAGAAGGAGGCAGATGAAACAGTGGACTAATAGCCATCTCATCTTCTTGGTTCTTTCGGTAAAGTCACGTAGAAGGGAAATAATAAAAGAATAAAAATAAACCAATAAAATAATAAAAATAAACCAATAAAATAATTCTCACGACGTTTCGGCCACAACGCAAGCGTCTTCAGACGCTGTCTTTCCGACAGACCTATTCTTCACCTGAGGACGACTGCTTGCGTTGTGGCCGAAACGTCGTGAGAATGATTTTATTATGTTTTATTTTTATTATTTTATTATTTCCCTTCTACGTGACTTTACCGAAAGAACCAAGAAGATGAATCCCTGCAGTCACGAAAGCTTTAAATAGAAATGTAATAGCCATCTGTTTCCATCCGCACCGGAATGAAGTGTTGCCCCCCTAATGCACGTGGGTTTTCTCCAGGTGTTCCTGTTTCCTTCCACTTGTATAACAAACAACTCATCATTCATTGTCTAACACATAACAAAAAATTAACAAACCCAATGCAGGACTGCTCCTGGAAAAGAGTAATATGACCCAGTGTGGCTTTCCTGGATAAATGTTATAAAGAACCATCATGTGATCGTCAAACTCATGTGATTATAACCATCATTTGATCATCATTTCATCATCAGACTGTGACTTGACGTTACAATTACCAATACCATCAGGTGCACGTGGCACCAGAAACTGGAAACCCCTAGGTGGAATTTGTAGCCTCTTCAACCTGGAACCACAAGCTGCCAATTGGAGCACCCACCGAATTTCGCCAGGCTTAGTGGTGAGCGTCTCTGATCCTGTGCTTTGGAAGTAAGGGTTGAAGTCATGCAGAGATTGTGGAACTCCCACACCCGCTGGGCAGCGAGGTAGTGGCCCGTAGATTACAGGAACGCAAGTGGGTTTGAGAGATGCCATCCACGAGTATTCACTGTAGGTTTTCTCCGGATTCCTTTCACATTAAAATTGACCAAATATGCCAAAGTAACATGACCCTCCTGAAAAGTTATTGAGATTCACTGAGGCTTTCTTGGATGAATTTAGAACGAACACGCATTGTCAGCGTATCGATCCTTCCTCCAATTACCCATCACGCACACTTCAAAATTCAGGCAGGCTCAACACTTCCATTACAACCCACAGCACTTCCATTGCGTTTTATTTCCTCCCACATTCCAATTGCGTTGCTAACGACGCCCGGGTCACACGACGAAGAACGTCTCTTCGGAACCAACGCAGTGAGCAATGCACCAAATTGTGCAATCCAATCAGCCAATACCCCCAACAACAACAACAAGCGCCATTCGCCAATAAGTGGCGGTGACGTCACCACGACGCTTGTGCCAGGCCATGTGCACCTTGAGGCCACGTGAAGTGTCGAACGCCCGCTGGCAGGAGGTCACGGGGCAGACCCAGTAGGTGCCACGGGTCGACTGACTGAGATGACCGAGATGACTGGCTGATGCACCACCTGTGCCCCCTACTGTGCCGACTTGCTGTGCTTTAGCCACCCGGCTAAACTTGCTGTGCTTGAGCCACCCCCAAGAACATGACATCACACACACATTACGTATCAGGTCCCTTCGGTTGCGTTTGCATCAATTGGACGTGGCGCAGCCTTCCGTATGCGCCCTGCAGAGTGTTCGCTCCATGCCGCTCAATCAGAAATGTTCAGTCATCAGAGCCGGAATAAGCCCAGTTGCGTAACCGTCCGTGTTGAACGCGACAGGATTCAGTTCAAGAACGACAGTTAATTGAATCGGGGAGGATTAAACCGGCGTTGTAACCCAGTAGCCTGCATTATATCTACGTTAGCGCCACACTCCACAAGAAGCGAATGACTTGGATAGTGTGCGTTTCTGTTTCAGCAAGAGGACTGAAATTACTCTTTTCACTCCTGTCCTTGGAGTGAAAAGAAAAACAAGCAACCCGTGGGCCATGATTTTGGGAGCCAAATTCAGACATTTACTTTTCGTATTTTTCAAATCATTTGTACAAAATCGACCACGTATATTCGTGGCACATCTAATGTTTGTAGCCCTTACATAATATCATGATAATTTAAATCACCACAGTCTATATGCAAGACCGGATTAACCCATAGGCCTATAAGGCCCTCATATATTGCAGGTCCTCCATCACACATTGAAGTAACAAGCTGAGTGACGCTTATAACGGCCAGCGAAACGCACGCAGCTAAAGCTAGGGCGGGGGAAAAAAACATTGAAGAAATGAGTGTAGTAAGCGATTTATGTCTGATTAATGTAGAGTGAGTCAAATACATGTTAATTTTGCATAAGCAAATATTTAAATGTTAAATGACTTCATCATTTTTTTGCGATATGTAATGCATACTTAAGAGGTCCTTCCATCATTCTAACCTTAGGCCCCCTCATAGCCTCAACCCGGCCCTGTCTATATGTATAAGGTACAGACAGTCTTTCAAGAGTACCAGTTTATACTATTCTTTGGGTCTTTCGGTAAAGCCACGTAGATAGAAAAATATTTTTTTTAATCGCGACGTTTCGATCGCAACACAAGCAATCGTCATCAGGTGAAAACATAGCGGAAGAGAGCTGCGGAGGCAGGAATAAAAATGAGTTTATACTCTTCGAAACTATTTGAGATGAAGACGTTCCCACCGACACCCCAGTCTATGCTATTCCATGGAGAACAAAAGCGATTTCGCCGGTGACCCAATCCAGACCGTCGACCCGGGGAACCCCTCGAGAAATCCGGGATCAGCCGCGTGCGCGACTCGAGCCCCGGACCCGAACTCTCGCTCACTCACAGCGGCGGGGAGGGCTCTGGACGGAGAGCGGCGTTCTTCATCACAAGGTCCGCGAGCCACCGGTGACCCCTGGGGTGGCCTTGAGTGTGGCGCCTGACGTGCGGCTCCCGACAATAGACAACGCGTGGAAACAACCCCCATCACATCATTTCAGTTTTTTCAGTTTTCAGTTTCATTTCTTTGGAATAACCCTGTGAGCCATTCGGCTCTTGATTCGGGCGCAACCGCAACAAACAATAAAATTACATTTTAAATTGACTGTACGCAAATTGAAACATCCCCTACAAAAACAATACAATCTTCTAGAAAAAGCACCGTTTGTTTATGCTGCGTACAAAAAATGTGCAATTTTTTTTCTTCCCATTTTGATGTTAGATCACAATAACAATCATCATACAATATAGATTCAAATTTTAAGTATAACTCTATACTACATCAAAAAAATCGGGCTAAACTAAACCCAACAGTGCTTTTAGAATGTGTGACGGCATCTCACACTGATGCTGTCGTATCGGCGGCAGTGACCCCCCGCCGCTTGTGAAAATAAGTGAAGTAACATTGGAGTTGACCATGATGCATGCAATGCCATGGGAGTCGCCCTCCCCCACGCTGCTATCCAACTTATCCTCTCTTCGCAGCCTGCGCCTGGACCCCTCCCGCACAGCGACACCGCCTCCACACTCGACAGCGACGCCGCGTGTCTCGGACTCTCCCCACTTATTTTACCCCCCCCCATCCGACGAACTCTCCGCTCTTTGAATCGCCACGCAAATGGATTTTTACCCTTTTGGGATTGGCCTCCCGGATCGAGGGAAAAGGGCGTCTGTAATAACAATCGACTCGATCGATGTAGCAAGAGCCACATGCCCCGCCCGCTGCCCCTGCAACGTCAAATAACCCAGCGTGTCACCGGATCCATCCTGGATGCCTCCTCCTGCGGGGTCCCTCCCGGTTCATTTGACGCGTCTGTCTCATTCGGTGAAGGCTATTGGACGCATCTGTGTTATATATAACGGGGCTGATGAGCTGCGAATGCTTTGGGCCGCAGGGAGCGACGTGACACCCGTGTTATGCGGGGTCCCCGTGTGGGCTTCTCTATCTTTCTCCAACCCTCCCGCATTCACATCGCCACCTCTGTCCGTCGCTCTACGAATCCTCGCTCCGTCGCTGGGTAGAGATTCAGGGACGCCAGGGAGAGGCTTCTTCAAGACCTGTGAACTCACCACCAACACCACCAACTAGAACAGCAACCCACACAACAACAATCACCAACAACATTCTCAAGTTCCAGCGTGGAACAAGCCTCCAACCCACCACCCTTATAACCACCACCAGCAACAACCACCACAACACCAACAGCCAACGATCATATTCTATTCTTTGGGTCTTTCGGTAAAGCCACGTAGATCATCGTCAACAACAGCATTCTTCATTTCTACCGAACAAGCCTCCATCAAACCACGACCACAACAAATACCTCATTCACACCACCACCAACAATAACGAAACAACGACCACACAATTCTGCAATTCCCAGCGTGGAGAACGCGCGCACCCACCGCGCCACCATGAACCTCTCCGAGGCGCTGTTCCCGAACCCGTTTGTCGGGACCTCGGGTCCAGACGACAACGGGACCGCGTCGGCCTCCGCGAACCGCACCCGCTTCAGCCCGTGCCACAACTTCTCCATCCCCACCGAGGTGTTCCTCGCGCTCGGCATCGTGAGCCTCGTCGAGAACGCGCTCGTCATCGCGGCCATCGCGCGCAACCGCAACATGCACTCGCCCATGTACTGCTTCATCTGCAGCCTGGCCGTGGCCGACCTCCTCGTGTGCCTCTCCAACGCGTGGGAGACAATCGCCATCGCGCTCGTGCACGGCCGCCACGTGCACATCCCCGCGCGCATCCTGCAGCACGTGGACAACGTCTTCGACTCGTTCATCTGCATCTCGGTGGTGGCCTCCATGTGCAACCTGCTCGCCATCGCCGTCGACCGCTACGTGACCATCTTCTACGCGCTGCAGTACCACTCGATCGTGACGATGCGACGCGCCGCCGTGGTCATCGCGTGCGTGTGGGCGGCGTGCGTCGTGAGCGGCACGCTCTTCATCACCTACTGGGACCACCGGACGGTCATCGTGTGTCTCATCGCGCTCTTCGTCACCATGCTCGTGCTCATGGCGTCGCTCTACGCTCACATGTTCGCGCTGGCGCGCTCGCACGCCCAGCGCATCTCCGCCCAGCCGCGCAGCTCCCGGCAAGGACAACAGAACGGCGCCGCCAGCCTCAAAGGCGCCGTGACGCTCAGCATCCTGCTCGGAGTGTTCGTCTTCTGCTGGGCGCCCTTCTTCCTGCACCTCACCTTCATCATCAGCTGTCCCGCCAACCCCTACTGCTGCGCGTACATCGCCTACTTCCCGCTCTACCTGCTGCTCATCATGATCAACTCCGTCATCGACCCGCTCATCTACGCCTTCCGGAGTCCCGAGTTGAGAGTCATCATCCGCGACACGCTGCGTAAATGCGGCCGTGGCCGCGGCCGCGGCGCCAATGGCACCAGGGGCTCCAGCTGCTGCTGCGTCCAAGTCCGCTGAGGGCGCGACCCGGGCGCGAACCCCACATTTGGTCCGCCTACGGGATGTAAGCTGAGTGAACTTACCCCGGGCATGGCAGTGGTGTTGGCGGCGGCGGCGGCGCGAACTTCGCGAGCCAGCGCCGTGGAGCCAAGGGGCTGGTGGATTACATGAAGAGATTTGGGCTCCGAGGTGGACGGCAGATGGCGGTACAGCATGTGTGGTTCGTGAACCCGTTTGTGCGGACCTTTGGGTGTTATCCCCTCGCATGCGAGGTGGGTTTTCTTGGGGTACTCCGGTTTATTCCTACGTGAAGCAAACCCACCCTTTATTTACAAAGTGGTCAAAAATCTCATGAAGCAGGCCCTCTTTAAAGCATACTGAGCCTCGGCCAGGCTTTGTTCGATAAATGTTGTAGTTATTGTGTGTGGAACCGGCTCATGCACGTGGAAACAGATCGGGGCTGGGAGGCAATTCCGATCTCTTTCCCTTCAAGTTTGGGACACGAGATAAAAGATCATCATTCCTCAATCATGGGCTTCTATTGCTAATGGCCCCAACCACTTTCGAGTTCCACGCACCTGGTCCAGTCATCGCCATCCTCTTCAACCCCCCCATTATACAGGGGATGATCATCATCAATCATTTTTAATTCGGATATATAAATGTATTATGAGGCAAAACGCCCCCAACGCGTTCTAGAACATTGTTAGGCAGAGGTGGGGAAATTCCACGGTCTTTTGGCGGGTCCAAGTCTGTCCGTGTTAACGTTACAATGATAAGACGTGTTTTGCATCTACACGTGTAAATTATTTCGGTAAAGTCACGTAGATGAAAATAAAAAGTAACTAAATTAAATCACGACATTTCGGAGGCAACACAAGCTTCCGTCATCAGGTGGGACAACCACAGCAAACAAAAAGAACAGAATGACTGTAGCAAACAAAAATAACTGAATTACTGTAGCAAAATAACCTATAATTACTGTAGCAAAAAACCCAGAATTACTGTAGTTTGCTGTGGTTGTCCCACCTGATGATGGAAGCTTGTGTTGCCTCCGAAACGTCGTGAGTTAATTTAGTTATTTTTTTGTATTTTCACCTACGTGACTTTACCGAAAGAACCAAAGAGTATGGATCATTGCAGTCACGTAAATTTCAAATCTAGAACATGTAAATTCGTTCGCATTTTTGTCACCGGGCGCAGGTGAACAGACCTCGTGTTATGTTGCATGCAGAGTCAAAAAAATGTTTTGAAAGGATACTCGTGTTTTGCTGTTTATACAAATTCTGTTTACAAAACGTCGCGCAACTTCACGATGAGAACGATGTCAACCCTTTCGTGAATATATTGCTGGACAAAGGCCTCCCTGTACCGTGTCACTCTTGGGGAGTATTTGACCATACTTCACCAACGCTGGCCAGTGCGGGTAAGCGGTGGCCCAGGAGCAGATCTGAAATCAATCGCCACTGATTTTGGCCCTCGGGAGGAATGGACTTCAAGTGGCAGTTTTCATAACGCAGTGCGCGGCTGACACAGGACATTATATAAATTGTATTGAGTCTGAACATGGTAACGAATATAATTCGCATTAAATATAAACGAGATACGGATCTAGAAATGTACGTAGGTATATACACACACATATTGCTCAAGGCTTGTTACCATCAAATCGCATCCTAATAGGAATCTGCGTGACCTCTCCACGTTATCCAATCAGCCGGTGCGGGTGGTCAGCTTAATAAAACTACAGCCGGGATTGATCGAAATTAAATTTTGATGGTGTCAAAATCGCTTCAACTTAAATTTGACCCATGTATTTTAAAATAATTTAGGTATTTTTTTTACTTGCGTGAAATTTCGTCTAATCATTGGATGAAAACTCAAGAGGCCAGGATGAATTTTGATTTAAAGCTTTCGTGACTGCAGGGATTAATATTCTTGGTTCTGTCGGTAAAGTCACGTAGAAGGGAAATAATAAAATAATAAAAATATAAAACAATAAAATTATTACGACGTTTCGACTGCAACACAAGCAATCATCATCAGGTGTGAAATCAAATTTTTTTAAATTTTCTTGCTGTTGATTTCACACCTGATGATGATTGCTTGTGTTGCAGTCGACACGTCGTAAGAATTGTATTGTTTTATATTTTTATTATTTTATTATTTCCCTTCTACGTGACTTTACCGAAAGAACCAAGAATATGAAGGTCAGGATGAGTCCCATGTTTGCACAAGTCACCTGGGTTCACCAAAGCGACAATAGTCGAAACAAACAAAACCAATACATTAACAATCAAACAAATATAATCGAGGGAAATAGTAATAGCCTTATAAATAAATTCAGCAGCTGTAATAAATACATTTCAATATCTAAATCAGCACAACCTCCCGAAAAATCTCGTGACTTGTGCGACCACCCAAACTCGAATTCCCTTCCCTCTTTCTCCCCGTCCTCATTTCTCCCGACTCATTTGCTCCCGTTTCTCCAATACTTTCCCACCCGTTGCCCCTTTATTTCTCATTCTCTTCTCTTCCATTTACAGCTCCTTTTTCCTTTGACTCTAGTTACCCCTGACCGCGGTATGTCACGGGAAGAAAAAAAACCGTTGATTGTAAAATAGAATTTGATTGCACTAAATGGATAAAACAAACTTCTAAATATTCAACACCAATTGTAAGTGATACCCATTGCAATGAGCAGTCGACACAAAGGCAGAGGAGCATTGTTCCCTTTTCTGAACGCAGAACAACAAACTCGCACGCAGCCTTGCGTGCGGTCATTCCCAATCCCCCAATGGACGATCGCCTCCCTGTACCATGGGAGTCTATTCTCCAAACTTAGCCACGCTGGTCAGTGCAGGTTGAAGGACCCGCGGACTGGTTCTGACAGCACTTGCCACTGATGTTAGCCGTGCCGATTAATTGCCAATTGTCACGAGTCAACAATCGGTTATTTACTATTTCGTCAGTGCAGGTGAGGTGGAGGAGCAGGACGGATTCTGGCAGCACTTGCCACTGATGTTAGCCGTGCCGATTAATTGCCAATTGTCTAGACTCAACAATGGATTATTTAATATTTCTGCCTTGATCTCGTTCGTTCGATTCGCCCACAACTGTAACATCGTAACTTAATTTGCATACATAGTTAATAATCACGATTTGATCCATGCATGCAGGCAAGTCGTTAGCGCATGCAATAATGGAATACAATCAAAGATTAGGGGCGAATATAAAAATGTTGTACATAACACGGTGTGCGGGGGTGGAGGTGGGAGCTCTGGCCCGTACAGCTACCGGCTGCAATTAATCCGTGACGGTGTGAAACAGTTTAAAATGTTAATCAACGTTCGATGTAGATATTACTATATATGTATAAAGCATGTATTCCGAGGTCGTTAACTTAAATGCCATATTAACGCTGTAAGCCCGTTCGTGTTGATATACGAGACACAGTCCGTTTAAATAACAGCTTCTACACACGACCCTCTCCCCTTACGGGGGTTCACTCTTCCTCCCGTTCCGCATCTTTATCGCCCCCCCCCCCAGCTGTAGCCCTCTGTTGTGCGTGGCTGCTGAAATTGAGGGCAGCAGTACAGGGACTCCTCTTACGAACGAGTTCGGTTCCAGAGGTCTGTTCGTAAGTCGATTAATTTGCAAGTCCAACTTTACGGCATGTACACGAAACACCGGAAATGGCTTTAAACGTTGTATAATCTCATGTCGATGTAGATGCCGCTGGTTCTTCATGTTCTGCAGATGTAGATGCCACCACCGCCATCTGTTGCTCGAACTTACGACTCTCGGTCCGAAAAGGCGACTGGACACACGGACATGTTTGTTCGTATCTCTAAAAGTTCCTAAGTAGAATGTTCGTAAGTAGAGGAGCGCCTTGTTTGGTTAAACATATTGCACACAATTTTCTCTGCTAGAATGCAGCACCTGTCGATGTCTGTATATGCTGCATGTAAAACAAAAAGTGTGCATATAGTACACCGTTGTTTATTCTCCTCTGCTGCCGAACTCTCTCCAGACGTCCGTGCTGTCTACTCCCTTGAGCAAGTAAATGCGAAAAACCTTCCTGCCATATTCTCCAATGAACACATTCCTGCGGAGGGAGCTGGTAGGAACGTTTGGTTGCTCGGTCAATGGCCAGGGTCAACGGCGACGTGGTGTATTCCGCAAATATGGTCGACTGTGAGGGCGGGCACAAGCCGGCGTGAGTAGGTTAAACGTTGAGTTTTATAAGGGCACCACGGGGTGACCAGCCCCTCCCCACCCAGCCCCACCCCCCACCTAGCCCCTCCCCACCCCTCCCACCCCCCACCCAGCCCCACCATCCCCACCCAGACCTCCCCACCATCCCCACCCTCCGCTCTCCACCCAGCCCCACCCCTCCCATTTTTGGATGCACGACGGACGGACACAATAATCCCCTGTGGGCTGGTGGAACCATGTGCTTCCTACAAGTATAACTGAGCGTTTCTTCTATAAACACGGTTATCTCTGCGCGGCGTCTGGAAGTGCGGTCGCATCTCCACGTAATGCTCTTTAAATCCACATTATATCGTATCATGCACAACTGTTTTATCGGCTTACTACTTACCTCAAGCTCACGTGTTTACCGTCCGTATAACACAGCATTTGTATATGTGCTGCACAGTGTTAAGAAATGTTATGTATAAAATAAAAGCAAGGCATAACATCAACGTGTGGTTATTTATTACGAATCTGCAATGCATGCTCCCCTTCCAAGTCATGCATTTTCATGTTTAAAAAATAACCCGTAAAAATGTGGTTTCGACTCTGCAAAAAAACGAACGCAGTCAAACTAATAAAAAATGACAACACACATTTAAAATTGATTTTAAATAACCCTGAGATTTTACGAAGCACCAAAATATATCAGGAGTTACTCTCAGCAGTTACGCACTGCGACGTGTTTTCCAAAAACTGGATTGTAGAAGCAAATGCGTCAACATAAATGGAGAAATCCGTCACCATTTTACATTTGCTGATGTGGTCATTGCAGTATAAGACACCGTGGAAACGAATTACACAACAAATGATTAGTTGGGCGACATGGGACTTACGACGTCACGTACAGCAAGTTTACGAAACATTCACATATCTGTTGGAGGTTCTCGTTTAAGATTTCCGTATAATCAGTCTCCCGTTTAGGAATGCGTTATTACAAAAGGGTGGCAACACAAGAGGTCGCGCGACACCACGCACCAACGACCCATCTACGCACTAATGAGCCATCCAAACAAGATTTAAAAGCACAGAGCTCCAATGGCTTCCTAATATCAGAAGGAAGAGCATACGGCGGCCGTCTGAAACGCGTTTCCGATATTATGAAGCCACTGGGGTGATGCACTTTGAAATCTCGATTGAAAACCAATTTCTTTAGAACTGCTTTTTGCATTTAGTCGTTGTATTTTCCCCGGCAACTCCGAGTGGCACGGTTGGCTACGTACTGTGGGAGAAACGTTCAACATACATCCGTACATAGAGCCAAGATATCACAAACTACTCATTGGCAGTCAGATAAAACGACAGCCACCACAACCTCCACATCTGTCATGAGCACCCCCCCCCCACCACGCAACCCAACCTGTCACCAATTAACATATCTGTCGGAGGTTCTTGTATCCCGATCTTTATTGTCGGTTATCAACTTTGGAATCAAGAGATTATTTTTCCAGCAAGGTAGTGAATGAACGTGACTCATTTCGTCAGTGTTTTAATACAGGTCTGCATTCAAATCTGGACTGATCTGTGAATAAAAGGGTATATACATACATTTTCAAGTGTTTCTTTCAGCTATAAGTTACTGTGTACGTGTATACATCCATGTCAATCCACTGCTGCATCAGGGCATCCCCACAGTGTGTCAATGGGGTCATTTGGCCAGACTTCACACCACACGGCCCCACAGTCCTATGACAACCGGTTTGTGCATGGAATGTGCAACCATTCAAGCATGATCCAGGCTCAAAACCAGCTGAGCTTCTGAGATCAGACACATTCAAGGGGGATTTGGTCATTCCTATATTTACAAGACCTCTTATGGACTGACTAGTCCCAAACAGTAGTTGTGTGGAATATCCACAAATGGCTTAAGACTGCCAAAAGAGTACTGCATCTCCCAAAGCCTAAAAAAGAGTGTGCAATCGAACAATATGGATGGACATACCGTGGCCCACATAACAGGGTGTTTCTGTGGGACCTAAACAGTGAATATTTTACTCCCGAAGGGCGAAAATTTAATGGCGTTGAAAGCAAACTTTATTTCCACGCTTTGCAGAAAAATCAGTCACAGTCTGAACTGCTATGAACTTTACTGCATTTTTGGATTGTTGCAGAATTGTGCAGCGATGCTGTGGTGCCATTTTCATAAGCTGCATAGGGGAGAAAATAGTAATAATGGGGGCTTTCCAGGAAAATATGGACACCCCACTCGTGAATGAACCCAATATTTCAAGAGCACACTGATAATTAAGCTTCTGTGAAGTCTTCTTAAGAGCAATTCATGACATTTAAAACAAAACAAAATCAAATGCACATTAACGCGTGTACGACAAAGCATCTAGAGTTTATTTACAGCCAGACTGCACTGTTTTCGTGTCCATTACCAGAAACAGTACAACGTGAAGGTTCATGTAAAAAGGTCACAATCTTCTGTAAGAAAAAAAAACGAAAATCGTACATAAACATCACCAGCTCACTTTAAAATACGTATAAAACACGACTGCTGGAGTTGTATAAAACATAAAAACATCGTCCACGCCTCGAAATTAACTGTAATAAAAAGAACAGCCACTGTAAAAATTATAGACAGCTTGGAAAGAAAAAACATCAGAGAACAAACTGCTTGGCTTATGAAAGGGGGTACATTTAAGGGCGAGGTTCACGGAAATGTATGCGGATTGGGCACAGGATCGCAGCGTGTGGACAATGCCACGATACTTGTGTACAAGTGGTGGTGGTGGCGAGTGGCAGCAACACCAAAGCAAAGACGCTTCAGTGACAAGATAAATCCGCACAAGTAGTTTTTTTCTTTTACCGTCGCCAGACCTGGAAATTATTTTAAAGTCAATTATTGGGCAGCAGGGGCTGGGAGGTCATATTTGCAACATTTTATGGACGACTTCAAACACAGAAACCGTAATGAAGGACATGGGGCAGTGCACTCACTTTGTAATTTTAAACCTTTAACAGGTGCAGATGGTTCACAAATCCTATCCCGTGATTAATGTTTCCAATAGATGAAGCTCCGTGGTGTGGATGTGGGCTTTGGAGAGTTTTTACTGCCAAAGCATTTCCACTCCTGAGGTTACAGACACCAAAGAAAATTCCAGCACCTGCCATGTATGATTTTCAAAACTAAATGCATCTACGTGGATCATTAACATTTCCTTACCCAATGCATTTTATAGCACAAAAACATTTGCAGGACACAGCACCTCAGTTGTAGATGAAGTTGAACCTGTAAATAAAGATAACACAATCAGTGGATACTTTTTGTTATCCATATGTTACGGATAATTAAAAACTTTGAGTGAAAATAAAGCATTCAGTTTTAACAATGGTTATTTTTCATATCCTGTACATGTGTAATGACAATACAGCCTGCATGCAGTGTGAGTGGACTAGTGGCCACGGGAGGTAATGACAGTTGTGAGTGCGAAGGGACTGGTGGCTACGGGAATGATCGAGAAGGGGGGCGTGGCCTCGGTTGGTAAAAATTAACCCGTAAAAACAAAGTTTTTCACTATAAATCCTTTATATGCGTGGCGGCTAGAGTTCTCTCGTCCGCTGGCTTGAGATGGCTGCCACCTATGGGTCAGATGATTGCCTGCCACCATTAAGCAATTGGTAATTAAATATAATTTATTTTTTCCTAAAAAGTGTAAAATTTTGGAAAAATTTTTCACGAAAATAAATTGTCACGCACAACGAGTCTGTGTGCAAAATGTCAGCTCGATTGGATCACGGGAAGTGGGTTAAAAAACGACCGAAAGATTTGCACGGTCGTAAGCGCGCAAGCAAGCAAGCGAACTTAATATAAAGGATTTAATAAAAGGGAGATGCGCGGAAGACTCGGGGCTGTCGCAGTGGGGGGTCTCCGCCTGATGTCAAGTGAACGTGCCTTCAATAAAGTGCCATCTCAAGAGAAGTGTGTCAAGTCGTCATTACACCTGTAGAGCCCTTTTGCCAATATACTTTCTAGGCGAGGGCCTCTCCGCACCATGTGGGTTGTGAGGTTTATTCTGAGGATACTTGACCGTGTTCTCGTCTGTGTGGGTTGAAGGCAGGTAGCATAGCAGCACAGCACAACAATGGATTTTGCTGTTTTGTACTCTGGTGCTCAGCACATGGCCCAGCCCCATCAAATTCCACCCAATATGAATTCATAACAAATTTATATTTCAAACCTGCTGAGTAGCTGAGGGAGACTTGAGATGATGGGTCCGTAACCGGGCGCATTGTCGTAAAGTTCAAACAGGGGTGCAGCAACCAGCTTGTAGTTCTTGGGGACGGCGAACAGAGCTTCAGAGGTCGAACACAACACACGCAACGTCTGGTCAGCGCTGGAGGGACAACAGACAAGGCCTGGCGTGGTGTCGGCCACGCAACCACACCTCGGTAACAACCGCACCCGAGTACAAACCGCTCACCTTTCTCCGATAACTGTACGAGGAACAGTTTCTTGTGCTCCTTCGGCTTGGTGATGTGCGCAGGTATGTATGGGTACTGCACACAAACGCACGCAGAGAGCAAGAATTTAGCATCGCCTTGATTCTCGTTGATCAAAATCCCAATATACCCCTGCTAGGCTGTTCGATAAAGTGCTTTAAAGCGAGCACCTATGAAGGTTAGGCACACGAGGGGGTGGGGTTTGACCAGGCACCGTGCCCCGCCACGTTTGTCTCCCCAGTGCTTATATATTTACATTCTGCACCAGGAACCCATGAGGACGAGTCAGCCCAGGGGAGGCCCAGGAATGGTTCAGATATCGCTCACCACTGATAATAGGTGTGACCGGGATTGGAATCCAACAGATTTGAAGTGGAGTGTACTAACCACTATACACCATCGCTCCCCACATGACTGCAATAATTACCACCACCAAATGATAATTGCCCATTAGAGCATGAAAACAACACTGACTTTTGACATTAAAGTAGTGTCATTAATGTGGGTTTTTAAGCATTATAGACCATCGAGTGAAAAAATATGTATTATTCGTGTGCAGCACATACTAAAATCCCTTATAAATGGCTGCCTCTGGGCAATCACATAAGACGCGCCATGCGGTTTGAATATTGAACTGGATTCGACTGACGATTTCATGACTTTTTGAATGGATAACAGACTCTGAAAACAATAATCATCAATCCACTGATAAACGAATTACAACGCTGCTTAGAAGCGGGTGTTGGAACATTTTAACAATTAAACGGGCTGTGCGTTCTCACCTGTGCCTGCTCAAAGTTTGGCCTCCACCAGTTGCTGATGCAGTCCTCAATCACCCAGTCCTGCTGCACCCCATCTTGCCGGCCGAGGATCTGTCAAGCGCATGCAGCGGACATCAAGTCATGCCTAACTTACCTGTAGTAATACCTTGCCGAACGTGGGGGTTGCATTCCTGGAAAATGCAATGTTGGCAAAACTGCGTTCTGAAATAATATACTTTGTCTAGATTTGAAGTTATATACTTTATGGGGAAAAAGGGTGGCATTCCTGGGTCCATAAAAATCACCCCCTACCTTTGCTGAACAAATTCTACATTATTTATTATTGTACAAAGGGATGCAGTCGCTCTCCATTTCTTGTGTGTGTATACACACTCTTTATTTTTCAATTTCACCTCAACACAAAACTCCCGTCTACATTACTCTTTGCCCGACTCCGAATTGACAGCCCCGACCCTCGCCCCTAACACTGCATCTCCAAACATCACTCCCCATTCGTCCATATCTTCATGAACCAATAAACGCCCGAGTTTGGCGTAATGGGTGTGTTCGGTCTGTGTACATCACGTTCACTTGAATGTTAATGATATGCCATCTAGGTGTCCGTACGAGTTGATGGCTAGATGCATGTGGTAATTTGTGAACTTTTGCGTTGTGCGTGAGCGTGTTGAGTATGTGCTACATTATCACACGCAAAAAATATATATATACATGGTAAATAAATCGTTCTCAGTGAAATTATTCACACCACTGTACCTTCCAAAAAATGCAGCACTCTCACCTCTTGCAAGCCTATCTAACTGCACTTTTTGCACTAAAGTGATCACCTTCCTCCGCTTTCTCTCACTCGAATCACCACCACTCAACTTACACTTAGGGGCCATCATTAAAAAGGAAGACCACATGAGAGTGTTGAGGAGGGAAAGTGGGGACGAGATATTCATCCGCATCATCTACTGTAAAAGCAGACCACGTGCTACTTGTCAAAGTGGACATGAGAATCTAAGCAGCGTCAAACCGCGCATAGCTTATGGTACTGACGGTAAACGCGCGATTCAAGGCATTCAATAGATAACAGGAAGTCGGTCAAAGGTAGTGGAGAAGACAATGGTGTTGAGCCTGGAATTGAATATGGGGAGGTAGTTGGCCGTGCAGGCATTGCAATGGCTGCATCCTCTGGTCTTACGTCATGGGTAGGAACCAGAGGTCGCAAACGGGTTTTGATTCCTTACCCGTACCCGGCCGCGCCAGGGTCGCAAATGAATACCCGTACCCGGCCGGGTACAGGTACCCATTCCTACCTACCCGTACCCTACCCGAAATGAGTGACAAACAGCTACTCACCAGTGACTCACGGCCTACCCGTACCCGTACCCAGCCGCACCAGGGTCGCAAACGGCTACCCGTACCCGTACCCGGCCGGGTACGGGTAGCCGGGTACCGGTTGCGACCTCTGGTAGGAACCCACCTCAGCCAGCAACCGCTTCAGCCCCTCCACTTCGTCCTCCCCTGGGTTCAGCTCACCGCCAGGCCTATGACACACACACACAACACCAGTCCCGTATTGGTCAATTCCCGTCTCACTTCTTCGGGATCATGATACATTATTTTGGGGGGTTTTTCCTGAACGTTTATTCAAATTTTAAGGTCTGCATCATATCATGAGATGACATAACCATTCGGAACTCCTGCAGACTAGTCCATCACCCAGTTCATGTACGTGCACGACCCTCACAGTTTGAAGAAGGTGGTGCCAAGCTGCAGCAGCAGCACGTGCGGCAGGCGGTGCTCGTGCACGATGAGAACGCCCTCCACCGAGCGCCGCATGCCGATGCGGTCAAACTCTTCACGCATGCGCTGGAAGCGAGCCGCCACCGAGCTGTCCTTCTCGTACAGCGGCTCCTTGGTGCCGAACGTGTAGTTAGTGAGTGGGTACCTGGGCACGCGCCGCACACAGCCAACGCCAGAGATCAAGACCTGTCTCTGACGTTAGGCACTTGGAAGATTTGGTGCCTGATGTACAGCCTCATTTGTCAATTCACTGCTGGATCATGGGTGTCTCCTTGGCGTGCGGGTCAATGGGGTTATTCGCACATGCATATGTATACTCAGAATCATACACTGGGTTGGTTTTTACTTTTTTTTACAAATAAGTTTTATTATTGGTATTATATGTTTTGCAGGCGAAACCAATAACGGAGGACCCGGGGGTATAAAACCCACGAATAACCCGGGATAACAGTTGAAGGTCCACCGATGTCGGGCTCATCAACCCACTTGCTTCACTGCCATCTGCGGGCCACCTTGCAGCCCAGTGGATTTGGGAGTTTCACAAGATCTGCGTGATCCACATACCCTTGTCTCCAAAGTGTGGGAAAACAGTTGGGCACGACCACGGCTATCTCCAAAATCCATTAAGACCAGAAATTTACTTTTCAAGGGAGTCGAAGCATAAAGGAACGTGTATAATACATAAGCCCCCAAAAAAAACTATATTTGAAAAAGTAACGTTTTACAGTTGTTAGGCATTCATAGAGTATTTCCTTACAGAAGGTGATCAGGGAAATTGTACACAAGGACTGAGAATAGATCCATATATTGTGACATCTTGGATACACATTGAGGCAACATTGCACTTGTGATATAGACTATCTTTGTTATGATCACTGGAAGCTTACACGTATTCACAAGGTCAATGACACTATAATTGTATGTGTGTAGGGGACTGTACAGGGAATTGATCAAATAAACACGTTGTAAGAACTGGTGGCGGATGAAAAACAACACGTTGAGAACATTAAGGACACGTGACACACGCGGGGCAAGGTTCACTGTCCAATTAAGGGTTGGGCTGAGAAAGTAGAAAAAGGAGGACGAGGCATTTGGTCGAGGCGCTGGCTGTGGACGATGACGACGGTGAAGAAGTGGGGCTGACAACATCTTGGACGAGTTTGACCTTCAACTACGAAAATAAAGATTTACCCTTTTTATAAAATGGACGTCTCCAAAGAGTTTCTTTACACTGGTGGCAGCGGTGAGATACTGTCTACGGCATCACGAAGAAGGACCCGAAAAGGAGTTAAAATGGAAGAGAAGACACCATCCCTACGCACCCCGGGTCCACGAGACCCGGACACAAGAGCCGAACTCCGCTGGCGGCCACGTTCCCCAAAGAGACGGAGAACCTGCTGCGAACCAGGGGGCCCGAGATGCCACAGCTGGAGAGCTTACTGGACAGCTGGAGTCAAATTGATGAAAAGCTGGACCGCCTTACATCGTTAATGGAATGGCTGCTGGCGATGATCATCGAAGATCACAGCGTGGCGAGCCGGGGCCAATCAGCCTGCGCGCCTGGAGGTTTCGGCTGCATTGCTCGAGCCACTGCCTTCAGAGAAGACACAAGCCATCGCTGCACCGCCCGAGCCACTGCCACGGCTACTCACTACTAAGCCAACCTGTGGCCCGACGGAGAGGATACGAAGACTGGGACCCCTTAAGGAATTCCCCGCCAGCAGAGGCGACTGGACAGCCTTCGTGAAATGCTTCGAAGCGGCGGCGAGAATCATTGGATGGAACGAAGTGGAGGCACTCCTAGCGCTACCCATGGTGCTCAACGACAGAGCGCCGACAGCCTTCTACACCATCCCAGAGACCCAATGCGAAACACTACAGCACGCATACGAGAATATGGCAGAGATCTTCGGGCACATGAGGAAGCAGGAGCGCCGACCCAGATGGCGGCGCAGGTGACGGAGACGTGGGAGAGCGGAGGAGCTTGAGAATCAACAGAGCCACTGGGGACAACAACAGCCATCACCAGCCCCAACATAGCCGGCGATCTACAAGCAATCTTGGGAGAAATGGTGGCAGCCATCCGCGAGCTCGCCAACCCAAGACGCGATCGACAGCAGCGGTGACCATGGCAGATCAGCGGAAGGACCCGGGAGCGACCGGAGATCAATTGCTATCGTTGCGGGAAACCGGGCCACATCACAAGAGGATGCTCGGGTCAAGTCGACCCGGCAAAAGGAAGCCATCTCTGACCACCAATGCGGAACTTCACAAGAAAAAATTAGGGCAAGTCGCGGCACAACGGGCAGCCGGCCAGACCATGCACACACCTCATCGTCAAACCCCCATCACCATCACCACCTGCATACCACTCCATCCCGGCGACCCGATGCGACAAGGCAGGACAAAATTGGACAACTAAAAAGTTTTTTTTCATTTATTTATTTTTTACTACGTGACTTTACCTAAAAAACCAAAGAGTATGAATCCTTGCAGTCACAAAAACTTCAAATCTAGAACTAAAAATAAGTGGACAACTAGCGAGGCGGGTTGTAGCGGCAGTCACAGGGACATCAGTGCGAGCAGGGGCAGTAAGGGGAATGCCCTTACGGCAGGGGTGGGGAACGTCCGGCCCGCGTGCCGTACAAGGCCCGCGAAATCATTTGGTGTGGCCCTGCCAAGGCAACCGCAGGCGGGACTCGAAATTAAATAAATCTAGGAGCAAACCTGGAAAGCAGTTGCGAGTAGTAACATCATCAATACCAGCTGACATCACACGCCTCGCCAAAGAGAAGCAGTTCAAGCCATCACATTAGGGGTGAGTTCATTAAATGTTTGACCAAATATAACAGGCAAATTTTTAAGTTGATAATTTTGTATGGCCCGCGAATGATGTTATAAATATCCAAATGGCCCTTGGCAGAAAAAAGGTTCCCCACCCCTGCCTTAAGGTGTTGGTGGACACGGGGGCATCAGTCACCATCATATCCGCGCTCGTGTTTGACATGCCACCTACGAAGAGACGTCACCGAGAACACAGCAAATTTATCGCGGCAAACGACAGGAGCTTGGGAATATTCGGCAAAGTTGAAATGGAAATCAGATTAAGTGAACTGCATATAGCAGGGCCGTTATTAGTCTCCTCCTCGTTAGCAGTGCCCTGTTTATTGGGAACCGATTATCTAGGTCTGTTACCTATTCAAATCCTAACGGACCAGGGCTGTAGTATCCCAAGGAAGTGGCCTTGGGAAATCAGGGAGACAGCACTTCTCCCCTGTGATATTTCATGGTTAAGCGGTGACTGTCCAACGCTGTTACGGTTAAACAGGATATAAACGTTGTGAGTCCCCTAGTATTAAAAGAGATTATTATAGCCGGGAAAGCTATTTTTTTCACCGGGGGAAGGGAGGTAGGGGACTGTTCAGGGGAATTTATCATATAAAAACACATTGTAAGAACTGGTGGCGGGTCAGATAAAAAAAACACGTTGAGATAATTCAGGACATGTGACACACGCGGGGCGATGTGCAGTCTCCAATGACGGGTGGGGCCGAGAATCTTTGTAAAGGAGGACGAGGCATTGGGTCGGGGCACTGGTTGTGGACGACGGTGAAGAATTGGGGCTGATTACAATCGCGACGAGTTCGACCTTAAACTACGAAAATAAATTACCCACCTTTTTTTAAAATAAAAATGCACGTCTCCAAGGAGTTTCTCTACATACGTATACTAGTTATAATTGTGTTGTTTTCAACGCAAGAGTCTGCACTCAAAAGGCCATCCGCCCTTATGACAGCTAAACAAATCATTTGATGCTGCAACGTTTGCAGCGGTGCACACACATTTGTCAATACCACTGCCTTAAAATAACAACATATATAACAAGACAATGGTCATTCATCTTCCTGCGATCACTGGAGACTCGTGAAGTGTGGCCACTGCAGGCGTGCACGCGTTCACCGTGTCTCTACACGAGAAAACGTGTTGCAAATATAAAACTCGCTGCTTGTGGTCCTCGTCAATGCCTCACGTCCACCACCACCACCGCTGCTGTGTGTGGAGTCGACCACTTGGCAGGCGGACCCGCCTGAAAGTGCGGCCCGGTTTGCCTTACACTTTGGTGACCATCGCAAGGCTCTCTACGCTCGTTCAGCGCGTCCGCTGTGGCACTATTAGCGTGCAGTAGAGGCACAATAGATGGGGGCTGTGTGCCGTGGTGATGTGACGACGACGACGACGGTGCGTGCGTCTGTGCGCGTGTGGCGGGGTCTCTTCAGCACTCACAGGTTGATGATTCTGTCCAGCGTCACGGAGCGCGAGTCCAAGTACTTCTGACCGTGCTGGCTCGTGGTGCGCGGCCACCCGGCCTGAGAGCGCAGCGGCACGTAGCTCATTGTCGCCGCAAAGGGTCGCCGACGGCTACAATGTTACAGGCGCGTAAATCGCCACGCAGGAGGAGGGAGCGCTGGACAATAGCGGCAAATGCGGGGCCCACAGAAGCCTTCGCTAGGCCAAGACAAGGAAACTGGCGCGCGGCGCATTGTGGGAACCGACCCCCTCCAACCCCCCCCCCTACCCCCCATCCCCCCCCTACCCCCATTCCCCCCCCTACCCCCCCCTACCCCCCCTACCCCCCATTTCCCCCCCACCCCATAACCTCACCACGCCCCCCTACTTCCACCCCGCCCACCTACCCCCACCCCACCCCAAACCGCCACCCCCCTCCAACCGCTACCCCCACCCCGCCCCCTCCCCTACGACTACGGAAGCTCGGCTGAGGCGGCCGATTGGGGAAAAACGCGTTTCATTATTAGGGGAGCCATCGGTACGCTCTGCAAAGCGGTGGTTCTTCACCTTTACTCAATAGTTTTTATTATTATTATGTTAAACACATTGGGTTTGGTGAAACTGGGTAGTTGTTACTCACGTGCCCGTGCTTAATTTGTGTTTCGATTATTTATCTCCTAAAACAAACTCCGCCAATGTCTCGCTACCCCCAGGGGTGAAGAAGACCCACTGCTCTCTACAGCACTGCGTGTCGAACTTCTTTCGCACCGTACGTAGCCAACCGCGCTACTAATCGGAGGTGCGATGGAACTTGATGCGATGTTCAAACTGCATGGGCATGGCGGTCGGCACGGCATGACACCGCACGTCGGCTTTCGCGAACAATTGTATCCAGAATGGAGGTGTTTTAATGTACATTGATTACCATATGAATACCCCAACATTATCCATTGTAATTTATATGCATTCATTAACCCCTACTCTTAGGTTTTTTTCCGGTAAAGTCACGTAGGTAAAAATAAAAATAAATAAATGAAAATGTTTTTTTTGCTATTGTCAAAGAAAAATAAATAAAATGTTTATAATTTTTATTATTTTTTTGTTTTTTTACCTACGTGACTTTACCGAAAAAACCTAAGAGTATGAATCCTTGCAGTCACGAAAGCTTCAAATCTAGAATCAAATCTAGAATTCATTAACCCCCCCCAACCCCGCCTTCGCATAGGAGGATTTATTCTAGATTTGAAGCTTTCGTGACTGCATGTATTCATACTCTTTGATTTTTTCGGTAAAGCCACTTAGGTAAAAAATAAAATAAATGAAAACAACTAAATTAAATCACAAATTAAATAATTAAAATAAAAATGAGAACAACTAAATTTAATCACGACGTTTTGGAAGCAACACAAGCCTCCGTCTTCTGGTGGAACCGTTACAGCCAAAATCACTGTAGTAATTTAGTTGTTTTCATTTATTTTATTTTTACCTACGTGACTTTACCGAAAAAACAAAGAATAGGAGGATTTATCTCAAGCCCCCCCCCCCCCCAATATACTGTATATTAAAATTACGGCCTTGATTTATCCACAAATCTGGCTGTCGCCTGATGATGAAGGTTGTAATTAATGGCGAAACGTCGGACTCAAATTGTAATTGTGGGTTTACTCTTCAACACAGCCATGTGCTATACTAGTGTAGCGTCTAGATTTGAAGCTTTCGTGACTGCAAGGATTCATACTCTTAGGTTTTTTCGGTAAAGTCACGTAGGTAAAAAGAAAAAAGAAAAATAATAGAAATAAAAAATCACGACGTTTCGGAGGCAACACAAGCTTCCTTCATCAGGTGTAAAAAGGCCTTGATTTATTATTTTATTTATATTATTTCTATTATTTTTATTATTATTTTACCTACGTGACTTTACCGAAAAAACCTAAGAGTAGTGTAGCGTCAATGATTCGGAGACGAGGTTTGTCGGAGGTACCTTCTTTTATTTAGAACAGGGGTCCTCAAACTTTTTTAACAGGGGGCCAGTTCACTGTCCCTCAGACCGTTGGAGGGCTGGACTATAGTTAAAAAAAACTATGAACAAATTCCTATGCACACTGCATATATCTTATTTTGAAGTGAAGAAACAAAACGGGAACAAATACAATATTTAAAATGAAGAACAAGTAAAGTTAAATCAACAAACTTACCAGTATTTCAATGGGAACTATGGGCCTGCAATTTGGCTAATGAGATGGTCAATGTCCAGTTCCATATTTGTCACTGCTAGTCGTAACAAGTGATGCAAGTGTGCATCCGTTAGTCTAGATCTGGTTGGAGATTTCAAATGTTTCATTCTGGAAAAAGTCTGTTCACAGACATAAGTGCTGCCAAAGATGGTTGCCATTTTGAGTGCATGGTTCCTGAGATGAGGATATGTCTCAGAGGGGAGAGATGCATATCAATTATGAAGGCTGCTTGACTTGAATGCGTCTTTCAGAGAGTCACAATTCTGCAGTTCAGCCAGTTCCATTTGGTAAATTGTATCCACATTTTCAATGTCAATAGAAAATGGGTTACGGAAAAGCTGTATGTCCTGTGCATGGAGATGAAGCTCTTTAAATCCAAATTGGAACTCCTTTTGCAATTTTTCCAGTGAATCCACACATGTTTTGTTTGGGAATGCAACCAATGGTTTTTCCGCTAACAGATTTTGAGTTGTGGGGAGATGGCAGAAGTTTTCCTCCTTCACTTGTTTGATGAGGAGGCCTAATTTTACTTCAAATGCTTTGACATGTGATTGCATATCACAGATGAGCTTGCCCTTTCCTTGAAGTTGCACATTGAAACTGTTGAGTAGCTCTGTTACATCTGTCAGAAAGGCAAGGTGTCATTTCCATTCTGCATCATTGAGCTCTGGTACTTCTTTGTTTTTTTAAAGCAGAAAAGCTGTAATCTGTGGAAGTAAGTCATAGAAACATTTCAAAACTCTCCCTCGACTCAGCCAACGGACTTCTGTGTGATACAGAACATCTTCATAGTCAACATTTAGCTCAGACAGAAATTCCTGAAATTGTCTGTGGTTTAGTGCATGAGCTCTAATGAAGTTAACACAAGATACCACACATTTCATAACAGAGTCCCACTTCAGTGATTTACTACACAGCGCTTGTTGGTGGATGAGGCAGTGTATGGCTATTGGATGAGAATGGTTGTTTGGTTAATGCGAGCAATTACTCCTTTCTTAGACCCCACCATGCTAGGAGCACCATCAGTTGTCACACTGGCTAGTTTAGCCGAGTTCAGCTCCAAACCATTCATAGTTTGGCAAACCTTTTCATAGATATCCTCTATGCCCGTGCTGCATATATAGTACTAATAACATTCCTGCATTTCCCATAAATATGCTAAATTCCTCTGGATATGCAAATTCTTTTGTCAAGGCGCTCTTTCCCCCGTTTCCAACCCAGCTTATATATGCTTCAAGCTCGTGTGCTGTTTCATTCAGACGCTGTCTCCCCAACAGACCTGGTTTTCACCTGAGGACGGCTGCTTGCGTTGTGGCCGAAACGTCGTGAGAATTATTTTATTATGTTTTACTTTTATTATTTTATTACTTCCCTTCTATGTGACTTTACCAAAAGAACCAAGAAGATGAATCCCTGCAGTCACGAAAGCTTTAAATCGAAAGATATCCTCTTCTGTAGTTGTTCCTTTGATGCTTTGCAGTGCAGCAAGCTCTTCTGTGACTTTGAAATAGTCATTCGTCCCACGAATAAAAATTAGAAGTTGTGCAGAATCACGAACATCATTGCTTTCGTCGAGTGCCAAGGAAAAATAGGAAAGTTTTTTTGTGGAGTTTTGCAAATGCTGATGCAAATTGTCTCCCATTTCTTCAATCCTCCGTGTAATTGTAGGTCCTGAAAGACTCACTGTACTAAATAAATCGGCCTTCTCTGGACACATCTCTTTGGCAACAGAAAGAAGGCATTCTTTAACAAATTCTCCCTCCACGAATGGTCTGCCAGTGCACGCTATTAGCTTGGCAACTTGAAAACTTGCTCGTAGTGATTAAATATTTAGCTGCTTCTGCTTCACAAAAGTATTTTGCTGAGTTGTTAATGTATTTTTCAGTTTTAATATTTTATCTTTTCTCACTTCTCCGACCAAACAATCATATTTATCTTTATGTTGAGTTTCATAGTGTCGACGTAAATTGTATTATTTGAACACAGACACTATATTCTGGCATATCAGACACACAGCTCTTTCCTTGTACTGCATGAAAAAGTAATCATAAGTCCACTGTTCTTTGAATATCCTACACTCCGAGTCAATTTTTTTTCTTTCTTGACATCATTGTTTCCTAGGGAGTCAAAATTGCTATTAATAAAATACCAATATATACACAGCGCTACAAAAACAATATACCAGCAATAACTTTGCCCACACAGAGACATACAGACTGCACTGCCCATCAATGCAGTCTGATTGGGGGGAACTCCGCCCCCTCTCCCTCTTCCACCAATGACCGTCCTTCTCATGTAGAAAAAAAGTAACAGACAGGCAGCGGCGGCAAAAACACCCGGCGGGCCGGATAAATGTCCTCGGCGGGCCGCATGTGGCCCGCGGGCCGTAGTTTGAGGACCCCTGATCTAGAACAATCACGGTCTCGCCAGCACACTCTGTTTCATTGCTTTTATGGCTTTATTTTGGTGGTTTCAAAAACATTTTTTGGTTTGGCCATGTTTGTTGTAGTACGGAGTAAGACTGATGGCCTTAATCTAAGTTGTCTTGTGGTTGTTGTTGTTTGACTTGCATCCCACTGGGATTTTTGCGCACAGCGTTGGTGTACGGTGCTTTTTCTGCAATATTTTGCTGTCTTTTCCTGGATTTTATGTTTGCACTTAGTCACATATTCACTTTAAGATGTTTTCTTGTTCATGTTTTTGTTTATTGCGGTTGTACCCGATTCAAGAGCCGAATGGCTCACAGGGCTACACCAAATAAATGAACTTGAATAATCTCTACAGTCGTTTAGCCTGTACACAACACGAGCCGTCTAACACTGACAGCGCTGACCGAGACAGCCAACAACTCTCTGGGCGAAGACGGCGGCGGCGACGAGACGATAGAGACGACGAGACGACAGAGACGACGAGACGAATCCAATCCCAGAAACCGGCAGCCTCGAGCTCCTGCCCTCGGCTCCTTTTATGCTCCCAGCGCGGCCTGGCCCCGCCCTGACCACGCCTCCCTTCTCGAACCCACGCGCAGGTTCGGGGGCTTCCAGACGGGCTCCTCCGTGACCCTTGCCCCAGTTCCTCCGCCCTGCCAACACACACCGTGCTCACACGCCCTCAACGGCGTGTGCGCTGTCTGTCCACCAGTTACTACTGCTGTCCACCAGCCGGCGCTATTAAACTACACTAGGAACGAATTGGCATGTTCCGTTTACGTGACAAGCCTTACTAATTGGCTGTGTCGGGTGGTGGCGGGTTTTAACGATATATTTATATTTACGCGAACCCAAAAACGTCTTTTATACATTTTCAAAGCATATGTGTGTGCATTTTTTTCCACAAGTACGTATACTTAATGCAGATGTCATGCCTTGTAAAAGGTGTCAATTTGGTATTTTAACATCTTAACACCTGTATTCTTACCCATTTCTTTTTTCATCTTCAATGAATCTGATTGTTTTATGTGGTCAAGAAGGGTCATTGCCCGACACGTTTCCCGTTACGTTTTCATTCTAAAGCCAGTGTTCTTCACGAAAGTGTTGATGTTTGTGTACGTGCATCATTGCCAACGCAGGAGCGTCATCAAATCATTCATCAATCTAAGTTGATGAATTTAGTCGGGCATAATAACGGGGTGGCAACCCAGGAATCGGATGCATTCGAGAACGACCACCAAGGAGATGGAGCGATTAAATGTGTTCGTGTGCAGGTGTTCGATGGATTTTCCTCATCTCAGGATTGAGAAATGGCAATGGCCTGGGAAGGCCTTCATCCAGCAGTGGATTGTTCATGACTGGTGATTATAATGCAATGGATCCCGCAGTGGAGCATGAATTTCCCAGTTGAATGGCGTGGCGTGGCTCGGAATGGTGATGTTGGTGAAGGGGCAGAGTAAGACAGGAAGGGTTTCACGTTGATTTTGTCTAAGCAGGGGAGAACAAGAGACCAGTTCGAGTCTCATTCGCAAGAGTGGCTCGGATCACCAAAAAGACTAAAGTGAAATAAATTATCTTCTTGGTTCTTTCGGTAAAGTCACGTAGAAGGGAAGTAATCAAATAATAAAAATAAAACATAATAAAATAATTCTCACGACGTTTCGGCCACAGAGTCTGTCGCCTCGACGGACCTGGTTTTCACCTGAGGACGGCTGCTTGCGTTGTGGCCGAAACGTCGTGAGAATAATTTTATTATGTTTTATTTTTATTATTGTATTACTTCCCTTCTACGTGACTTTACCGAAAGAACCAAGAAGATGAATCCCTGCAGTCACGAAAGCTTTAAATCAAAATGAAATAAATTAACAGCAATGAAGCGAATAGAAATCAGAGGAAAGGCAACGGTGTGGCGTTATAATGCTAAAATATTGCAAACATAGATTACATCAGGGGTGTCCAAACTTTTTGCAAAGAGGGCCAAATTTGAATAAGTGAAGATGCCCGGGGGCCAATAGTTCTTTCCGACATTTTTACCACGAAAGTTACGTGAAAACACACCGTTATAAAACAATTATCATTGTCACAATTACCTTTATTTTTCAAATGACAATGTAACCAAATATAAGCCACTCAGGCAGACGTGAACAACTCTAAATACACAATTCTGACTTTCATTCAGTCAGATGACATTGAACAAACTGTATAGAATACCTTAAATTTCCATGAGTTAAATGAATTTGCCTCATGAACATTTTAAACAGGAGTTATAAGTAATGCAAAGTGGTCTGTTATCATTAAACTTTAAAACAAGTGAATTTTGTCTTTTACAAGATCTTTCAGAAAGCAAGAGTTTGTGTCACATCTACAGGTACATAACATCAACAGTTATAACTAAATCTTATTCAAGAGTTTAATAAAAACAAGTGCCATAAGTCCAAGTGCATTAGTGTGCTTTAGGCTTTTCACTGTTAATAGTGACAGATGTTACCGTTCAAAACACTCAATTTCAGATTGATCAAGGAACAGATAACTTGCTGACACTAATGAGAAGGGTGATACTGAGATCTAGATTTCAGTAAAGAGACCAGTCCAGGCTTGAGGGCAGTGGTTGAGATGCATAAAATGCCACGCAATTTGGAGTCACTCATCCTTGACCTAAATCGGTTCTTATTTAAGTTCATGACTGAGAATGTTTGCTCACACAAATATGTAGAGCCGAATATCAGCATTTTCTTAGCAAATGACCGCATTTCGGGAAACCTGCTTTTTGTCCAGCTGCCGGTAAAAGTCAACAAGGGAACACTGCTGGTGTTTCCCGCAGCACTCATCGTCAAACTGGAGCTCAATGAGCTCCAGATGCAGCTGTAGAGGAGCATCATCAGGGTCCACGGAGATGGGAGAAGAGAAAAGCAACATGTCCTTTTCAATAACTGCAAAGTCCCGAAAGCGTTTGTTAAATTCCACAGAAAGAGATGCGATAGCTGTTGCATAACTCTTCATTTGCGCACCGATGTTGTCCTGTGAGAAACTGTCAATGACCTCTTTTAAAGCTGGGAAGTGCGCGGTGCTGGGCTCTGTTTGGGACAAGTGTCTTTGGAAAAGTTGCAGTTTGGTTCCAAAGGCCTTGGTGTGAGCATATAGCTGGCTCACCACTGCATCTTTCCCTTGAAGATTAACATTCAGCGCATTCAGCCAGAGAGCATTAGAATGGTGCTGCCACCGTGTGGCAGAAAGAGGAATAACATCTTTAAAGTTTAATGATTTATTCTGACAGAGCTAGCGAGCCATAAATAACACATTATAAGACCGAAGCTGCGGGCCGTATGAACTCTGACCGCGGGCCGTAATTGGCCGCGGGCCGGTCTTTGGACATGCCTGGATTACATGTTCAATAATGCATTTCCTGTAGCATGAATTGGGGCGGCCAAATTGTACGATTAAGTTAAGACACGTTGACCAAATATATATGGCGACTATTGAACGATTATGTAAACCGACAAGTATACACGACCCCTTAATACTGGTAGGAACCTCCTGGTTACACCAGCCCACAGGGGATTGTGTCCGTCCATCCTGCATCCAAAAATGGGAGGGGTGGGGCTGGGTGGCGAGGGGAGGGGCTGGTGGGGCTGGGTGGGAAGGGGCTGGTCACCCCGTGGTGCCCTTATAAAACTCAACGTTCGACCTACTCACACCGGCTTGTGCCCGCCCTCAGTCGGGCATATTTGCGGAATACCCCACGCTGCCGTTGACCCTGGCCATTGACCAAGCAACCCAACGTTCCTACCAGCTCCCTCCGCAGGAATGTGCTCTTCCCCCTCAACCACCACTTATCGTTCCGTGTTCAAATTCTCATACGGCTATCACTCATTAACCCAATTCATCAATATTTACTGTCATCAGTTTCGCTTTTACGGAATTCACGCTTTACAGATTTGCCCCCATTACTCAACTTTCATTCATCTCCATTACATTCATATGTACCGTTAATTCTTTGTAACGGTTAATGTGCTGTACAAATCCCTTTTAGACAAGATCATAAAGGATCGACAGTTCAGCATCAAATCGTGATTTATAAGAGTACCCAGACATTTTTTAAACTATGGAATTTAGCGTGGTTAAAGCATTAACAAAGGGTTTGTAGGATCCACATGGTTTTTATTTTAGGTGCAAACGCACTTTGTTGAGCTTGGCAGGCTGCTTGCAGATATCAACCTGGCAGTTCACGAGCATCGGAGAGTTCAAGCCGGACGCCACTAACGAGATACTAGGTAAAAAGCTAAAGTCGGTCGCTTGCGTAAATTGTATCGAGCGCAGAAATAAAGCAATCCCGCAAGGTTGATGGGTTGTGTAAGATCGCATGACAATCTCATCTATTTTACCATTGTTAGCCCACTCACGTAAACTACTGTTCATCCTTAATGACAGCAATATAACATTAATAGAAATCAGACAATAGCTTAAAAGCCATCTTGGCTCAAGTATTCATTAAGAGATCTTTATCGACCCATCTCTCGTCGCATCAAATGGGTTTCTAGATTGACAAAGCACCAACAGAATCAATAACCGAGAAGCAAAAAAAATTCTGGCACAACCTGCTTCCCAAAAGCGGTAAACTCCCTTCACACCGCGACGCAGCAATACCAGTCACAGCGCTGTCCATTACCTCCCAAACAGCTGCGCATGCGACGGAACTTACTAGATTGGTAATCGAAGCGTCGAATAACTCGCGATGCACCTCAACATTACATCAGCTCGCTAACTCGTCCTGATGACCTTATTTCAACAAGCTTGTCTTGTAGTCGAGTTGCTCCGGTATTGAATGTTGGGTTACGGGCAAGACACGTTGTTGATAATGGTCGTGACAAACGGCAGATGGTTGGGCAGGGGAAAAGCACAAATGGGTATGCCCAGATTGAATGCATAGGCTCTTGGTCTGTAGATTGAAAGCTGGGTTTGGCAGGGGGGGGAATTCATCTCTTGGGGCAGGAGTTCAGCATGTCGCCCATTGTCCAACTTGGCATACATGTAGGTGCCCCCCCCCCCGCTTCATGTGTGCAAGTGATATGCAACAATTTGACAGCAACCACAAGCAAAGAAATGAATTAAAATGTAAAAGTTTTATTTACTTTCAAATGTGCAAAAACACACGTTTATGCATAATTACCACCGACTGACAATTTAGAAAACCCATCAGGAATTTACAATACACAATGAAACGATGTCAACATCTCGAACATATTTTCTTCCTGGAGCAAACTTGACCACGTGCTTTCTGCAACAACAAATCACAAGCATTATTACAGCTGCTTCAGCTGTTCGACCCTATACAATGGTCGGTTATATCACGAATTCGGACTTCGTCAGAAAGTAACCAGTCAGTCATGGTTCATCAGACTGGGGCGGTATATACCTCATCATACAAAGCTCCAAACATCTAAAACGAAACAAAGATTGAGCATCAAGTACAATGAGTTCACTCACTATTGTATAAGAACTTGGGTGTAGGAAGCGAGACTTCAGTTTCAATGCAGTCATGCCTCCTCCTGGACTTGTTGAATCCTGTAGAAAGAAGCCAGTGTTTAAACAAGCATGTTAACGGAAGCCTCAAGCTCATAACAGCAGGGTGCATGTCTGTACATGCAATGCCAAGTGGAGGGTATTCAGCCGAGTGACACAAGCATCAGCTGCCCCCAAACTGATTTTGTCATGCACCATTGATGCACTTTTAGAATGTCAAAAACTTTGATCAGCACTTCGTGGTCTACTTTTTAACTTGCCCTCAATAGAGAATGTTATACCACATGCCACACTACAAATGCTGAATTGAAAACAGATATTTCTCATGAAATTAAATCACGGGAGGAATTGTCTTTTCATCCAGATCAAACTTGTACATCACCAAAGAGGCTAAGAGTCCTTAATTAAAGACAAAATTACCGCGTGGAGCAAAGATGTTTTCTAACACAAATCCTATGTTTTGGGCACTTAAAATCAGTGCAGGCAATAGGATTGACTCCCCCTCAGACTGTTCAAAGAACGAGTGTCCTCTTGTAGGGTTGCCGGCTGCAGTGGGTTCACCTTTTCAGGTTCTGCAGCCAGTGCAACCCCTCCGCTAAGAGAGTTCATCATATGGGGAAGGTTAATCCCAAATGCGCCACACAACAGACTAATAATTAATGCATATATGAAGTGTAATACGACTGCTTACCGTGCACGCATCTCCATTGCTTTGCACCTCAAATTAGAAGTCTGAAAAAGATAATATTACAATTATGGAAATGAGCATATTAAATCTCCACTGCCATGTAAGCTGCTGACAGCACATTTTTTTCAGAATAGCGACGATTTTATTTTCAGAGTCCATGGGACTCAAAAAATGCGTAGAGTTTCATCCTCAAAACATGCTGGAGTAGCACGATGCATTACCAGGTTTAATACCCAGTTCGCACCTCCATACAAAGCAACATGCAAAACACTAAAGTCCGACAACAAAGGTCAACTTAAAATTTCAGTCTCTCAATGCAAAAATCCATGCCTCTAAATCAGCCGTTGTTAATAATCTGCTATTGTATTTACCCTTTCATTTCAAGTGCTCCGTCCATCTTCAACTGCTTGCAAGCGCATGGATTCTGCAAAATGACACGCTTATTAGCCTATCTGCATTCAAAAACATAAGAGCAATGGGGACACTTGTGGGCCATGTTTGATCAGTTTTGGTGACTCTGTTAATTTTTTGAAACATCAGAAATCAGAAAAGGAACAATCATCATTTCAAACAAAGCCAGAAATAACAAATATTATTTGCAGTGTTTCGTGTAATATACCTTCAAGGAACTCCATCCAATTCAGATTTTCTCAACTCCTGAAACACCAAAAGGCAATGTTGGTTAGATTTGCCAGTCAGGGTGCAAATCAGGCGATTCGTAGCCACTTTAATCCATGGCATTGCGAATTATCAGTGTGGAAAAAAAATGCTTGTGCACGCACATGAATCTGTGTCAGAACTCCGACATGAACGTCTCATCATATATATTCAGTCGAACGAGACTTCACTTTGGTCATCATCAACAGACGAGTGAGTGAACTTAAACCTCTCCGCATCACACTATGCCTCACCTCCGTTAGGTAGGGGACAGCACGAGCATGGCACCTCATGAAGGGAGGCAAGGCAGCAACCTGGAATATATTCAGAAGGAAAAGTCAGTTTAGAGTTGAATTAAACGAACAGGTGCAATGTAATTTAAACTCCACTCAGGCCAATGCGTTGGAACACGGGTGATGTTTGTTTTCATTACTGTCAAAGTGAGCTAGTTTGAGTCATCATTGTGGAGGCAGGACTTCAAGCAGTGATTTACCAAATTTTTACTCACCATGGCCATCAGCAGTGGGGGCTCTTCTGTTCGACAAATCGAAGGGACCTGCAATGGTAGAACATCGTACTTGGATATAGCATCATGCCACAGCAAAATTAAACTTGATACATTGTGAGCACGTATTGTAATCTTAGTCTTAAGTGTATTTATCCGACTTCAAATCAGGGCAGTCAAATATTACTCAACGGTGAAGAGGTCAGATAAGTGTCTCATCACTACGGATCAGGCATATGCTTGTCTAATGTATGAATCATCATTCATCTTCACCACCTCACAATGGATAATTTTAATAGGCACCTAACTTAACGCCCCCCCTGGTGGCGATATTATTTGCCACGAGGTAAATTGAAAAAAAATCCCCTGAACATTAACAGTGCCTCTAGTGGCAGCAAGGGTCATGCGCAGCAGATGCACACTGCAACAAAGTTAAATGCACGAAGAAAAAGATTAATGTATAATATAATCAGCTTCTACACGCTTACAAATTGAAAATAATTACGTACCTTCATTCGCCAGGCGCAACGTGAAGTTCGCGAGGTTGCCGTGCAGCCTGTGTGACAAAGGCACCAAAGGTTAGAGTGAACAACTCCCCATCATGAACGTGCAAAAATGGCACGTAGAGTGTTGCTCAGCAAAATCCTAGTCGTCTTCATGCGGATCAGGAAGAGAGAGTTCATTTATCTCATCACAGCAACAGTCACCATGCGATCAATATCCAGTTAAAATATTTAGTCAACACTAATTACCCAAAGAACATTCAAGAGGCGACGAGGTGTAGAGGCCTGTGTTTGAAGGACCGTTGCCTAATATTTAAGGCAGCGGAATACGTTTTTGATAACTGTGCACCACTGCCAATGCAGAAGCACACAAATAAGTTGGAGCGCATTGATCAACACGGTAGCCATACGTTGTTTAACCGAGGCAAATGAATAAAGCAGGATGAACCCCCATATCTCACCTGGAGCCAAGGAGTCTCTGTTCGTCTCATAGTGGCGTCCATCACCCGGGTTAGCCCTGCGGAATTCGAAAGAACCTCCTGTTAAACAGCAAATACTTATAATGGGGCCCATGTCAATCCATGGCGCCTCATCTCCAGATCAAGCTTAGATTTCATTGTTAAGAAATTGTTACATTAACTTTCTGAACGCATTTCCCACCGGAATATGGATGGGTTACCCAGATATACTCTTGTACATTTATTTTACCTAGGTGCCCAACTAACAGTTACACGTTACATTATTTCAGCAACCTTCAAGGGCACCCTGTATATATACACACGCCTCCAAGTGAAAGTGGAATATCAAACAGACTTGTGGTCGCCAATGTAGGCAAGCACAGCCTCCATTACTAAAGGGAACGTAAAGGTTCCGTGACCGGATTTGCCCTCGTTCTCTCATCAGTCACGTTTCATCCACACAATAGTTCGGAACAGGTCTGTGGATATCATCACGCGAGAGGGGCCCCCCAGCGGTCGAGTGGAACATGAATCTTGAGACAAGACATTTTAATTAAGCGTGCGTGCACTACAGGGATGGCAAATTGGCCACGTTTTTCCTTCTTTCAATAACAGTGCGCTAATGGCCATACAACCTATACTCGGAATCATAGGAAGTTACTACACAAGGCGGCTACAATGTTCCTTTGCATGAAACAACATGTACCTCTATTTAAACAGCTCCGTGTTGTGCTCTCCATTCCCAGCGCAGTTCTCCACGACAGATTTAACTTTGCCGATCGACACGTTCGGGCTTAAAATGATGGTCTCCAACCTCAAGTCCCTCTTCGTAAATTTTCTGCAGCGCCGAACGTGCAGCGTTTAATTCTGGGATAAAGTCTGCGGCGAACATGGAAAGGGGCATGCATGACGCAGAGCTTTGCATAGAGCACATTTCCTGTCCCGAATGCCTTCTAGCACTCCCGTAACGTTCGACTCGCTACTAGCCTTTTCCCTTCAATAGTAAACTCGCCATGTTGACCCACTACCTGGAAACACTAAGAGCTAACATGAATATTTCATGCAAAGGGACCGTGGCTACCCTCCTGTAGTCTAGGCTCATCGGCAAATAAAGCGACACGAATTCTGGCTAGCAGCCTTCAAGATTGGCATTTGGGCTACTTGGCATATAGCCATAATCTAAGTGCACACTAAATGCATATATGGGAGACATTGGATGGTAATGCAATGAAAAGCGTGCAGTGTTAAGGCTTCATCAAAAGATTTAGCTAGCCAATGTAATAGAGGTTGCAACTCTATAAACGATTGCAAATCGACTCCGAATGAATCGGGACACATCTAATGATCTCAAAACATGCAATTCACGGCCGCATTGATGCGAATTAACAAGTTAAAAAAATGTCCTTTCCGCAAAATTAGCACGAGATTAAAAATGCACGCGTGGGTTTTTTTTCCCCCCATCCGAGATTGGACTTTATTCCACGCGCACTTATATAATTACACATTCTATTGCCAAATCAACATAGTTGGAAAACAGCACGTAATGGCGATCGCAGCTAGACCTCCACCATAAAGCGAAACCCTCCCCCATCCTACCACCGAGGTATTCACTTTTATTTCACAAGCCACGTGGCCATCACATGCCATCTCGGCGAAGTGGCCCATCATTTGGGCGCTTATAGCACCAACAAAATCAATGCACGTTCCTAAACGTGGCAGGGAAAACCAGAGGGCCCAGAAAAAAATCCACGCGACTATGGGAACAAAGGAGATGTATAAACTCCAAATGTACAAGTCAGGGGTCAGGATAAAACTACCGACCTGTCTACCAGGAGAGGAATATAACAGCGCTTTAATAAATGACCATGGGAATTGCTAACCTTACGTAAAGAAACGTCATGTTATAAACAAGTCTATGCAGTAATCGAATCAAACTCTAAGTCAAATGAGACCTGGCGCCACTAGGCCGCGCTTGCCTACAGCGTGGCCGGTTCCGAACGGCCTTTTAATTCAAAGGCGGCTTCTTAACACGGTCAACGCTATCGGTACGCAAGGGTAGCAACCAATTGCTACTTAAACCAGTGGCAATTAAAACAATTATGTTTTAATCGCAATTCTAAAACGACTGGAGCAGAGAAAAAATCCCCACACAAACCTCTCGAGGTGAGACGCGGCTGGCAAGAGAGAGAGCAGTGGCTCCGCGCACGGTATTTATAGGCAGGGTGAGTGGTGTCGTCATCAAAATCGCGGCATCCGATTGGACGGCGCCTGTGGCTCGCGGCCGATTCGAATCCGTGGGGCGGAATCGAGTCACAATATAAGTCGCCGATTCCATGTGTCGGAATCGATAATTGTATCAAATCGTAGGGGTCATGTTATGATTATAGGTTCGTATGAACGCGTGGTGTGTTATGTGAGCGGTCTGCAGAAACGTTAAAACCGCGATAGATGCTGTACGCACCGGTGTGGCAGAAATAATCGATTTAGGAATCGACTAGGGTTGAAGTCTCTGCGGTTGAATCGTCGAGTGCGGTTCATAGTTTTTTGATGTTGTTGCTGCATTGGCAGTGATGTACAAACACACGACAAACTCAACGCATTCGCCAATACCAGTGGCCTGAATGGGAACATATACTTTATTACAACAGGCGACGTTTCGGGCAAGGGCCCTTTTTCATCGTACACGTGGTACATTTTTTTGGGGTAATGGCCTATTAATGCAGCGTTATTGACGAATGGCCTTGTCACAGCGCACGTGCTATGAAGAAGTGTTATTGCCCGAAACGTCGTCAATTTTTTCCTCTTTTAATGCAGCGTTATTGACGATTGTGTGAATTATCCGTTACAATATAGGCAATAGAGCAGCAGGTGACCATCTACCACCTGGTGGCGTGGATGGTAATTACAGATATCTCAAACTCGCAATTAAAGGATGTACTTGTGCACAAATTATGTAACCAGCCCTGTTGTCCATCTATCACGAGATGCGGGACCCCACACGCTGTGTGGGTCGTGAGTTATTTGACCATACTTCATCACACTGACCAGTGCACTGCCGTAGAATTCCCACAACGGAGCCCTGATTGTTCATGCTACATAGGAATGCTTATCTTGAAATCCAACGAAGTGGATAATATAATTTGGTCAGTCATATTAAAACATTGCTTAAAATCAGAATGCTCTGTATACTTTTTAACCACAAGCCCAAAATGCCAACAGATAGCAACACAGCACTATCAAAGTTGTGATAAGAATTACATTTCTTCAATTGAGTTAATACTTTTGGTGATTTTCGAAAAGTTTTTTGGTTTGGCCATGTTTGTTGTAGTACAGAGTTAGACTGATGGACTTAATCTAAGTTGTCTTGTGGTTGTTGTTTGACTTGCATCCCACTGGGATTTTTGCAGTGTTGGTGTACGGTGCTTTTTCTGCAATATTTTTCTGTCTTTTCTTGGATTTTGTTTGCATATAGTCACTTTAAGATGTTTTCTTGTTCATGTTTTTGTTTTTTGTTTGTTGGGGTTGCACCCGATTCAAGAGCCGAATGGCTCACAGGGCTACACCTAATAAATGAACTTTAACTATGAACTTGGGTTTTTCGGTAAAGTCACGTAGGTAAAAAATTATAGAAATGAAAACAACTAAATAAAATCACAAATTAAAGAAATAAAAAATTACAACTAAATAAAATCACGTTTTGGAAGCAACACAAGCCTCTGTCTTCTGGTGGAACAGCCACAGCAAAATGTCTTCAGGTTCCACCTAAAAAGGCTTGTGTTGCTTCCAAAACGTCGTGATTTAATTTAGTTCTCATTTTTTTAATTTAATTTGTGATTTAATTTAGTTTTCATTTCTATTATTTTTTACCTACGTGATTTTACCTAAAAAACCAAAGAGTATGGATCCTTGCAGTCACGAAAACTTCAAATCTAGAATGAGTTATTAATATGCAACACCTTCTTGGTTCTTTCGGTAAAGTCACATAGAAGGGAAATAATAAAAATAAAACATTATAATTTTATTATGTTTTATTTTATTACTTTATTATTTCCCTTCTATGTGACTTTACCGAAAGAACCAAGAAGATGAATCCCTGCAGTCACGAAAGCTTTACATCGAAATATGCAACACGTTTAAGGAACTCTATACGAAAGCGTGATACTTGCTAAACACTGTTAAGCTGCTGTGCCTCTTGCAAACCACTAGGTAATTTCACAATGCCGTTTAGTTTTCAAAAACTGACTACATCACGAATATGCATAATATAAATCTCATAACATATGGCTGCTGATGTATTTGTATAAATTTACAATATTGTTCGAGACTACATTTGGAATTTGTATAATCACCAAACATTAGCTACCCATAGTACTGTACTTAAGTACATCACTCGGTTAAAATAGCTTAAAGGGTAAAAAGTTATCCCCTTTTGAAGTTTTTATAGTAGAAAAAACTGTGCATGTGTTCATTAAACCAAAAAATGTGGAGTTAAATCGACAATAGTGTTTATTTCTGTAGACAAAAACGGCTAGTCAGCCATTTATGTCGATCGGTGGAGTAACACATAAATCAGAGCACTTGTCACATTAAGCTTACAAAATACTGTGAAGTTACCATTTGATGTGTATGACAGCAGCATTCAATGTACACTAAATCAAATTGTGTGAAAATCGTCACTTTCTTAAACAGAGCTAATAAATACATTTTACTTCAGCTAAGAAAAGGAATTACTGTATTCAAGTATAAAATTCTTTATTTAATTTACGAGCGTACCATACAAATGCAAGGGATGAACACTGCCTGGTTACGTTAGTAATGAATAATTAGTAGTGATAAGGTGAGGCCTGAGTGGCCGCAAGGGTGACGTGGTAACCGATGTGTGTGATGGGGTGGCAACACCGATGGGAATGATCGCAGATTCACATGTAAACAAGGTAGCGTTAGCTATGCTATATCACATTCCATTTCAAACACTGCCATCGTTAATGTATATTGCCAGCCAAGCAGTTGCTGCTATGGTGTGTGGGTTCGGCGTTGTCTTATTCTGTCTGCTTCTTTAAGAGTTGTCCTGCTTGGGGAAGAGGGGACCCGTTAAACCTGGAAGAAGAAAAATACCTGTTAAACCGAGCTTTATAAATTGTGGTATTCTATAAACAAGCACATTATTTCACATGTTTTTTGTAAATGAACAATGGTTCGGAGTGGCAATGTACACACATATTTGCAGGACACTTTGATATTATAAATGCACCATATATTTTTTGAAACAAATATAAACTCACGACAATTTGTTTTTCTTTTTAATGTTCATAATAATGATAATGTCCTTTACGTCTCCAGACCGCTTTTCAGGATCTTGCAATGGATAAAAAATATATATTTGAATGTAATGTAGCATTCTATGTAGGGTATAACATAACCAGATGGCTAAGCAGATGCAGCATCAGCTTAAAGGGTGGCCATCAGGTGAGTTGATGTTCGTCAATTTTCATCGGACTTATGGACTCTTGCGATTATATATATTTATTTCACCGACTCATCATCACACGTTGTATGACATCGTTTGAAATGATTGCTGCTGACGCGAAACTACATTCACTTGAGAACCTGTCCGAGTGGACATTTATATGTTATGGGTTGGGCGGGAACAACACAGCATACGGTGTCCACTGATAATAAAAACAGTAATTGTGTGTAATTACCAGTTTGCATAACAATTGTGTTGTGGGTGGGTCTGCATAACGGTCCTGTGTAAAAGGGCACATGTGTAACTGCAGTAACACCTTTGTTTTGTTCTGCACGGGCAGGTAGAGTTTAAACTCTGCCGGGAGCTCGTCTTCTGAGTAGAGGCGGTCCGAGAAGTAGACTCTTCGAACGCGGCAGTTGGCGTGAATCTTCCCAGACACAAAAACAACCGCAAACTTAGTACAACGATAGGACAAACTCACGTGATATTTGCCGTACAAAGGCGACTGAAATAAATGTATGTATTTTTTGTTGTTTATAAAAATTGTTATTACTGGACACTGTGGAATCAACAAAGGTAACAATGCACCCCTATACACCCATCCACCCTTCCTTAGCCTCCCTACCTAGCAATTTGATTAATTTCATGGTCATAATTCGACTAAAGAATTGATTGTTTTTTAAATCATATTTTTCTTGTATAAGTTATATTTTCTGTCTTGCACATTTTGTCTTATATTTTGGATTTGTTACATTATACTAAGAGTAGAATTTGTATTCATTTTAATAGATTCTTCCATGCATAATTTGACACATGAGTGTAAGAATTGGTTTTAATCGTTGAATCAATTAACCATTACACACCCTCTCAGCTGCTACACACCTATGAGCGGTAATATTCACAATGAAAGGCATGATTCTCGGGGATGATTTTCCCATGCAGTGCAGCTTTCCACTGTGAACGTGGTGGAGGGGGTTGTCGGGGGGAAGGGGTACCTGCACGCGCAGAGTCTCGATGTAGTTGGTCCCGTACGCTCTGCGTGTGAAGTCCGAGAGGTTGAACTGAATCTGGTTCCAGCCATCGTCGAGGCGCATGGGCATGGTGCAGATGAAGGGCTTCACGCGCGTTGTGCTCTGGTAGTTGCTGGCTCGGAATCGCCGGCGCACGTTTTTGTCGTCCAGAACCTGTCCCAGGTGAGAGGTCAATTGCGACGATTGGAGGGAATTATTTTGTAATTGTGATGATAAACATTTAATAAATTACATTTTAGAAAAATACAATTTGTTAATATATGAACACTTGAATATTAATTTTCAACATAACAGCAAAAAAATAATTATTTTGTAATTGAGTGTTTTTAAATTACCTGCACTTCGAAGGTGAAATACTTCTTTAGATTCTTGATGATCATAACTAGAAAGGGAAGCTTAATGCCCAGGGTTTTTTTCGGATCAGCAGGGCATGTGATGTACGTGGTACTGCAGTCAGACAAAGGCATGACATGTATATCACTACATAAAGAAAGCCACACACACACCTCCGATTATCACGGTTGGCTACGTATGGTGCAAAAGAAGTTCAACATACTGTACTGAAAAATAAAACAGAACACACTTCACTTTAATCTTAGGCACTATATCAAAAATAATGCCTTTTTGGTCAGAGAGGGTTTACTGAGTACATTTTTCAGGAGGAGTCTATATTGAGATGTTGGTCAATTTCAGAAACGAATGTTTAGCTTTGTGGGGGAGGAAACTGAAGCGCCCCAAAAAAAGACTCTCTCGCATACGAGGGTGATAACATAAGGGAAATAACACAAACATCCACACAGTATAACTTGAGTGTTATACTGTACAATATCCTGCCCACCCCATGTGTGTGGTCCTTAGTTAATCATGTACCTTTACAACGGTCCTGAGACTATTCACTGAACGTTTTATGAAGATAAATTCAGCTCAATTTTCCTTGACATCTTTTTTACCATTTATGTACAACCAAATCAGCTATCAACCAGTGTCCCCAGAAAAACCTATATTATGGACAACCAATGTACACAAGTGTGTAATATTTCATCTCTCAGTTCTTGTAAAATGCATTGCAACCCTTTGTTTTTAGTAAAGTGAAATGCAGCAGTTATTTCGTTTAAAATGTAAATATGATGAGGTAGTATTCAGATGAAATTGCTGTGATCCTGGGTTCAAATCCAGGCAACCGCCTGTAATTAAACTCGGTTTTGAAGTGCAGTGAGTTTATGGTCGTAGCCAGGCAACCAACAACACAAAAAATGACAAAAAAAAACATTTCATTAAATGTGTTTCTTTACATTTGGCTAATAATAATCCCTTGAGAATTTAAAATATATATTTTGACTTGTCATTTGAAAAACATTGCTTTCTATGTCAGGGTGGGAAGGATAGTGCCGCCCTCTACTGTGTACACCAGAAGTTACTTGCAAGGATCATTTGCCGTAGTTTTATGACATCTGACTGTGGCCCATTCTCTAAGACAGAGGATGTTAATGCTCTGCGATGCATCCAAATAGAATCTTCATTTCATGAGAGGGTGCTGATAGCACAGTCGAAATAAAATTGGGGGAAAAAACCCAATTATTGGTATTTTTAAATCCTTTATATTAAGTTCACTTGCTTGCTTGCGCGCTTACGACCGTGCAAATCTTTCAGTCGTTTTTTTACCCACTTCCCGTGATCCAATCGAGCTGACATTTTGCACACAGACTCGTTGTGCGTGACAATGAATTTTCGTGAATTTTTTTTCCAAAATGTTACACTTTTTAGGGAAAAAAAATTATATGTAATTACCAATTGCTTAATGGTGGAAAGCAATCATCTGACCCATAGGTGGCAGCCATCTCAAGCCAGAGGACGAGAGGACTCTAGCCACCACGCATATAAAGAATTTATAGTGAAAAACTTTGTTTTTACGGGTTAATTTTTTCTTTATCTGCACTGGTGATTGTTACCTGACGTTGGTTCCCTCCACCTCCAGCACCAGGGACTGGATGTCGTTGTCTGTGATTCGCTTGATGTGCCCGTTCCGCACCTGCTCGCACGTACACACCAATCACCATCACAGCCAACACCGTCATTAATTGCACCGTGCTTTTCTTTCACAAAGGGCCTGAGAACCCAGCTGACCTGCCAGAATTGAGCTGCACAGCGCATTTTTTTTATCTACAGCAAAAGACGAAAACTGAAGTCACGTCTTCTGCTATTAAAAAAAAGTTTGTAATTAGCTTTTTAAATAATAGTTGTTTATTAAAGTAACGATTGGAAAACTGATTGCACAGCAAAAAATATCACACCTTCATGAGAAAAACTTATCCAGCTTAAGGTCAGTAGCTGGTTGCATTAAATCCCTGAAAGGCAATTTTCCATGAGTGTAGGTGCAATTATTAAAAAGGAAAACCACTTTAAGGTGCTTTATGCAATCAGCAACGACGTGTATTTACTAATCCTTATTTTGAGGCAATTTAGGAGGCATGCCGATTGCATAATCCCACTTCTATGGTCTCCAACTTCACCAATTTGCGTTGACCAAAGTGGTGAAGTATGGTCAAATAACCCCCCAGGAAGCAGACAGCATGGGAGACAGCATCATCCAGCAATGGACTGACAAAATATCTGTATATGAATAGGCAACATACATAATGTGTATTTGTGCAAAAGGAGTAATTTCTACAGTACAGGACTCCTAATTACAAATCAATAATTCTCATAAACCTCACAGATACAGTGATTATGAGGCCTTATGGAAAACCAAGGACCACTGCCATAATCATGATTTGGGAAACAACAATTCAACGTATACAGGGGCAGTGCTGGAAATTAAAGCCGCATAACATTTCACGCCCCCCCTTGTCTGTGTTTTCTCCTCGCACCTGCAACGTAAATTGTTCTTACACTGCAGTAGTGCCACAATCTAATCACGTTACAATCTCAACACGCACAGAATCCCAAGCATGACACTTTTGATACGTTGCATCCCTTAGCAACGACAGCTGCTGCTATTGAGATTGCCATTATTAAGAGCAACCCACGTGGAAGGCAGCAGAGGCAACGGGACGACATTGAAAAGAAGAAGGGAGTGATGGAGGAGGAATGACAAACACCAGCAACAGATGGGAATGCAGAACCACGCCGCATATCCGATGATCGCATATCCGATGATCGCATATCCGACTCGCATGGTGCGGTGCAGTGTAGGCGAGCATGTGTAGGTTTGATGAGAAGTTGTCCTTTATATGATCGACAACAGTGGAGAACTGTAAGTAATCGTGTAGAGAAGAATAAATAATTGTTATGATGCTGATGATGATGTTTCTCACCTTCTTGTCCCATATCTGAAGGGGCTTGCTGCCGATGCTGTACAGGATGGACAGGAATCCGCTCTGGAAGGTGTTTTTAAACATCGTCGCTCGAATGCTGTAACTGCAAGCTGCTTATTCGCGATAGTTATAATTTAAGAACGTTTTGTTTTTAATGTTTTAAACAAAATATGACTTCAAGTGACTTGAAAGACGCCGCTCGATGTCTCCTCGCTGCCACTGCCGCGGGCCGCGTTCGGCCTCCTCTGCGTGGAGCCCCGAGGTCCCCGTCACCCCTAGCAACCAAGATCCCTCCGCGCGGCCTCCGCAACGGACAACCCCCAAAGCCGCACGGATTATTTTAATCGCCCGCTCGCCTTTTGCCAAACGAAGCTTGCCCCGGAGGTCTCGCCCCACCGCACGCGATGCAACGGTGGCGTTAAACCCGCCCGTCGGATTAAACACAGCCGTGAGCCTGGGAACTTGGGCGCGCTCACTCGCGTCTTGCTGCTGCTGCTACTACTACTGCTGCTACTACTACTGCTGCTACTGCTGCCGCTGCGGAGGTTTCTGCACGCGGAGAGGCCGAGCGGTGGGGAGGGGTGGTGAAGCGGCCGCCCCCGCGTGTGTTTACCCCCTCGGGCTCGCGCGCGTTGCCATGGCGAGGGCTGGACGGCGCGATCTCATTGGTCGAAGACTCGCCCCTCCCCCCCACTGCCGTTGCCCTAATAAGGCGAGGCGGTGGGAGGAGCCGTGGGATTTGGCGCCAAAAGAGGGCAGGAGGGCGACCCGCACGTGTTGTGGAAACGCGGGAAAGCGACGTGGTCGCCAGGCGCAGTGCAACACGTGGATACCTGGCAGAGTGGGGAGGAGGAGGAGGCACTTGAGATTGTGTTTATGAGCGCTGTGGTAACAGCCCCCCCACCACTTACCCCTCTGGACAAAGACACGAAGCTTGTATTCAGGTTTCCATTGGGACTGTCTGAATTGAAATAATGGGGCCGTTACACACAATATTGCTGATACGTCACTGGTTGTGTTTGTTTAATTTATGGGTTGAGTAGATTGTTTCCTTCAATGTCTACTCGTAATAAAAACAATAATTAAGTCGTGGAAATTAGATTCAGATATTTCAAAGTAATTATAAATGACACTTCTGATTTATTGAAATACGAGTCATAAAGTACTGTAGCAAATTATAAAAACAGCTTTGCATTGTATGTTGAACTTCTTTTGCACCCTACGTTGCCAACCGTGATAATTGGAGGTGCACAACTTATATCTCGGTTGCATTGTCCGGTTTGTCGCCCTATTATCACTTCTCTGTAAAGTCATCTGTATCATTTCGTTTGTACCAATTTGTTCTGTATTGCTATGGCCATTCATCTAAATCAAGTATGTTTACCTTCTTGATTTAAAGCTTTCGTGACTGCAGGAACCCATACTCTTTGGTTCTTTCGGTAAAGTCACGTAGGTAGAAAAATAAATGAAATAAAACAAAAAATAATATATCACGTTTCGATCGCAACACAAGCGGATAAAACAATCCATCGAAACGTGGCGATAGATTATTTTTTGTTTGATTTTATTTATTTTTCTACCTATGTGACTTCACCGAAAGAACCAAAGAGTATGTTTACGTTTTCAAGCATTTAATATCGACTCTTACACCCAGTATTCGATATCTCATATAAGCATAAAGGCATAATTTAATTTTTTTGCACGTTACTGTTGAATCATCCGTATATTGCGCAACATCCTGTGTTAAACACTGCGGCTTCGTCGACCTTGTTTTGCAACACAGTTAACACGCAAACCATTTCATTCTACTCGAGGCACAATTTCCTCCCCATCTCGCCCCCTTTGTCGAGAAACTACACTTTTGCAGACCATTTCCATAACTAGGGCGATATAGACGGATAACAAGGGAGTGTCATTTACCCTGATAAAGGCAGATTAATCACAGGTTCTCTTATCGTTACAGCCCGTCTCAGGCAACACACACACACACACAAAAAGACAACCCGTATTGAACAAGTCCTTTGCGTTACCATGACCCCCGTCCACCCAATCAAAGCACACCGCAGCCGATGCAACAGCAACACATTTCAAAATCGGGTTCGAACATTTTGTCACAAGTCGCAGACCCGAACACATTATACTCTTTAACTTCCACTTCGACTTAAACGACGGCGTATTCGTGTTACACGCAGAGCATTATCGCACGCAACATTTGCGGTCAATTGCCGGCAGCACGCATAAAGCCAGTGCCATACTCCGTTATCGCCGTTCCAGTGAACTTTTCAAAATGTATACATTGTACTTCTTGTTCTAAGTGTACAGTATTCGTATCGCAGGGGTGTTCCTTGCAATAAACGTAGACAAATGGCGATCTTAAATAAAACTGAAATGAAGGCTCACTGTGACTGGTAAGGGATAACTGGTCAACCGTAGGTACGCAGAAACATGTTTTATTGTGAAATGTGGGTTTCAAACATTGGACAAAAATGTTATCCGGGTAAAATGGCCTAAAAAAATCAACTACGCGTGAAAGAAAACCCACCATGCTCGAAATTAGACAAAAAAAATAAGGAATTGCGTTGGCAGTGATGTGCAGGCACCACACAAAACGTACCACATTCGTTATTAACACTGCCCTATAACAGGCTAACGTGTCGGGCAACAGCCCTTCTTCAGAGAAGAGGGCAAAGCGAATGACTTAGTTAATTTCCTACCCACTCGCTGATTACCCAGCACAGCAAAACACAAAACATCTCTTTAGAAATTTCAATCCTTTGATCCGTGCAACACCGCAAGTTGCCAGGACGCACGGTGGCCGCGCATTTGAAATGCAGCAACGGCTATGGCAACGCGACACCCAACGAGCGCACAATGGGGGGGGCAAAGCTTTATCACGTTTATTAAAGAACAGCGTTTACACCCCGGACCGTCTCCTCTCGTCAAACATCCACGCACACACACGCACACAGTCGCTGTTAAGGCGCATCCTGCACGGGGGGAGGAGGGGAGGGGGACACAGACAGCACCAGTGGGCACATTGCAGGGCGGCGTCAACATTCAAATCAAGTCAGACCATCGCAACAGTTGTTATTACTACTGCAACTAAGAATTTCTTCTCTTCTTTTTTCAGTATTACAAAATGTGTGTACTGTATTGTAAGCAGCCACTGCGACGAACGTGGGCGCACCGCCGACCATTCTCTGCGGCCGTGCGGCTATAGACTTCCCATTTAAAAAAAAAATACTGAATTAACAGGATTCGAGTGGAGGCCCCATTTCGATGTCTTCAAGGTCCTGGTTATTTATCAAGATATCAGGAGCCGCCCCCTCTTCCCACCCCCCTCCTAAACAAAAAACACTAAAACGCGTGCATGTTCAACGACAAAACCTATCATGAGGACTCGTGGGCCAGACGGTTTGCGGTGGTCAGCACTGGGTAAGAGACGTTTGGCAATTCTCGTGACCCAAGCACCTTGTGTTCGTCAATAAATGTCATCCATTGTACCGTTTGGGTGCCTCTGTCCTGAAAATGTTCGGTGTCAACTGGTGGCGAACTTGGGGGCAACTTAACTATCGGGTTATGCCTGCATGGGCCGTTCTTTGGGAGCAACACATAAGCAAGCCGAACTGAACAGGCATGTCTGAGCACCAGGTTGGCCGAAGGCTGCCTCTGCACTCCACCACTGTCACCCACAGTTTGACCATCAAAATGGCAGACGCTTCACGCATAGCAGGGCCCAAGGTGAAGTTGGTGGCAAGAAAAGCTCCCATCAACTAAACGCTGCAAACACCGCTGCCTTGCACGCTGCAACGCATTAGTATTGGGGGGGGGGGGGGGAGGTGTTTAATAGCGCGGTCACGCACAGACCACTCACGGACGTGTCGTTATGTTGGTGCCACTGGCCGCTAAACATGAGCGCTGACCACCAACCTGGTGGGCAGCGACGCCACGCACCCACACCCAACAGAAAATAGAAGTGGTAAAAGGACTGTTGCATTTTCGGTACGGAACTCGAGATACAATACGCACCGTGTACTTTTACACTATTTGGTCAGAATTGCTTAGTCGCGGTCACATGTGCAAATCACACAAGCGCTGTTTTTACCAGGGTTCTCTCTTTTTAATGTGGTTCTTAAACATTTGGCGATCCCCTCCGGTCAATGCACGGGCGACAGGGAAATTCGAGGCGATGTTTGCAGCAGCAGCAGAACGTGAACGGCACAGATTCAAAAATAACAGTACTGTAATTTATATAAAAAAGATAATCGAAATGTGACCGCTGGCCACTCCGATATTCCACACCCTGCCAGCCAGTGGAAGCAAACGGTGTACGCGACCACTACTCAACAGCACAAACGCATTTTCAGCCAAAGACCGGCAAGGTAACACACACACACAGCAGAGGGCCAGGCCTATTTTCAGCAGATGCTTCCATAAACAGTTTGACAAGTTGATTGATCCCCGTTTCTTTATAATTCATTCTCGTTATTTAGTTTTCACCAAGTAGGCTGTTGTTGCAATAACCCATCCACAAAACTATGTGAACAGGTCATACTATGGCTATGGCGGTCTGCCCAAAGGTAGACCTTGATGCGTTTTAAGTTATTTTTTTACTGGCATTAAACCTTTCCAATACATAAACAGCACAGCACAGATCACAACGGGGGGGCCTTTTCTTCCCACGACAATCTAATTTCCACATTGATCAAGGTCCATTTCAGCCTGCTGCACATCGAGTAAGAGCGAATGAAGGCGTCTTTCAAAGGGACATTGGCTTGCATGTCCGCTTGTACAATTGTCCATGTAACAAAATAAAAATAATCCAAAACAATAAATAAACATCAGCGTTCGCAGGTTTCCAGCAGTTGGGAGGATATTCCATTCCATATTGAATTATTCATGTACACAACATAATTAGAAAAAATGATTTCCTTTAATGAAAATATTAGGTTTCACCCTTTTAAAAATTAAGCAATGTTCTCAACGCATTATTTCCACAAGTTGGACGAATTGATATCCACATTTTTCAAGTGCTCTTTCTGAGTATGATATCTATTAAATTCTGGAGTAAGGCTATTGCTAAGCACAATTAACCGTAAAATTAGTACATAAGCATTTAAAAACTGGTTTAAGTTGACATCATAATAGCCCAAAGGCCAATATCAAAATAAATTATCACCTCAGCACTTGCACAGCCTAGCATGTTCTTTGCTTTTGCGAAATCAATCGCCATTAATTTCTCATGATGCCTTTTGCACAGGAATGCAAACCTTCATTTCCGTACCCTATGTCATTACCATACACATCCTGTGGACTGCAGTACTGCTATTTTTACAAAGCCATGAAAAACGGAAATGTTAAGCACCAAAATGCAGAAAACTTTTTTTCTTATTGTAGTCACAAAAGATGCTACATGAATGCATACTTTTTCCTTGAAAACATGGGATAAAATAAATTTGGGGGAAAGAAAAAGGCCCCTAAATAAGGGATTTCAAACACTGGAAAAAAACAACCTCACTGCCTTTAAACACGTGCTTTAGTAAAGAACTCCTTCCCGCCTTATGCATGTTTGAATAACCTTGGGCTCCTCTCAAAGAATAGTCAGGAATCATTTGGTGAACATGGAAAGGGTACAAAATTGTACAGCTCCACCTTTATGTCCAAATGGCAACGCTGGATGCAGGTCAAATCTACAGAAAACTGCCCAACCTTGATTAGATGCCTTTTCAGCCGATACTGAACATGTGAACATCAGCAGTCCCTCCACAAAAGTCCGTCTGCAATAACATATTTGTGTTGTACCCGTGAGGTCTTGTACGAATGTTTAGTATATATTGCAGTATATTAATAAAAAAAATAAGAAAAAAATTTAACAATAATAATTAAACAAGACCCTTAGAAAATTCTAAACCTTTGTACGGCCTGTGCATCACGACAAACTGTAAATCGGATTTCCAACCAAACCTGAGGAAGCCAGCTCACCCGTTCCGGACAACGCCAAAACCTGACCCATCCCCCGCTTGCTTAATGACATTAGTGGCAGGTTGGGAGATTTCTGTTTTACAGTGGCTGCCCCAACCGATTGCTCGGTCTCGGCCGCACACACGTGTGGCCACAGCGGCCCATCGCGACATCCACGGGGCCACACGGCACCCCCCCAGGGGCTACTGCTGTGACCCGCCGACCGCTGCTGCCGTTTGCAGGGGAGGGGTGGCGGGAGCCCCGGCGGGGGACAGCATGGCCCCCCCTGACGTCAGGCTCCCACGTGGTGAGCTCAGGCCTGCTGGAGAAAGAGATGTATGAGGGGGGAGGAAGTGACTAAAGGGCATGGCAGAGACAGCATTACAAACTGCCCAAAATATGCCTGATCTCACAGTATAAGTTGAGTCTGGACAGTGCTTGGATGGAGGGCCATGCTCACCAGTTGTCATAGGCACCTGTGAGGCTACAGGTGGGACAGTAGAGGGGAGTGAACCAAAATCCATTGCTATCTTGTATTTCTTTGCTCCACACCTTCACCAACCCACACTGACCAGAGAAATATGGACAAATAACCCCCACGACCTGCACAATATGGGAAGGCCATTGCAGTCAGTGGACAAAGGGCTGTGAATGTCTGTTAACAGTGCTGATTTAGAGGCCCTCTGATCACTCAATTTCAGCACTCTTCCGCTGTGTTTTTTCTGTGTCCTTCCCCCCAATATTATCCCGATTGTATTATTGGTGTTATTTTATTCGGAATGGCCCGAGGAAGTCTATATCACGTAACTATTTCCGAGATGCCTTTAAGTGACCTCTGATCAACACACTTGGGGGGCAGAACTTTCCCACCCACCCTGCTTCAAGGTAATGCTGTCCAGCGACATTCCTGATGCTATTACAAATATTGTAGCTGGAATTAATCAAAATTCAGTGAATTTTTTGTTGTTGCCGAGTTCATCACACTAAACTTAACCTGGTACAATAACAGCGGCTGCCTGGATTCGAATACAGGACCTCAGCAAGTGCAAGCTCAGCGCTCTGACTTCTGCCCCACACGGCCACCTCCATTTACACTATTTCTATTAAACTATCAATTCAACTATACGTGATGTGCACCAGTGGGCCATCACATGCTTTATACACATTCTGCCACAAGTATTGCATAAACAATTACTAATGCAACACTTATTTGCTTGGCCAAAATTTATTGAAAACACTCTCCCTTTGAACCTTATGGGCAGGTCCCCGGGGGCCCCATAAGCCCCCGGCTCTCGCGTAAACTGCGTTGCGACGTCATTTTATGTCTGTTGAAGGCGAACGATACGGCAATCTATTCCTCTCGACGAGCTCTACACGATGCGCTAATAAAAGTTGTTTCTTCTGCGCATTCGTCCTCGCTGCGCTTGGACATGACAACAGAATGATCCACGCCAGGTGGGTCACGGTGTTTATGTGCGCGGTGGGACGGAGTCGCTAAATTACGATTTTGACTGGTTTATTTGGGACCCCGGGGTCCCGCCATAAGGTGAATTTATCGCAACACTGCACTGCTGTGTATAAATGCGATATATTGAAAATGTTACACTACGGGTTACAAAACAAGCAAGTCTGCAAATATCATTCAGTATCTATCCTGTGTACACTGTGGTAGCCAACATTGAACTGCATATTCAATATCTTTATACCGTATTAAACAGATACAAACCATTTACCACTAAGTTATTGACCAAAATAGGCATTTCAAATCATGCTGTCACTCTCTCGTACATTTTTCTGGCTAAAATAAGAAAATGTCACCCACGACTTGACAACAATGGCAATGATTTGCTAAGTCACGGAGCGATACAGACCTGGGGTGGAGCTTGGGGTCGTGGAGTTGCCAAACAAACCACTCATCGAGCCCTTCCTGCCATGCTCCTTCACCACGGGGTCTGCCAAACACAACACAAACCATTCAAACGACCGCAACTTCACCTTCAAATACATATCAATGATTTGTTTATGCATTATGCTGAATCATTAAAATATGATAAACATCAAATATTTTTTTAGGCAAAATTACGAGGGTCAGACTGAAAATGTCCATGATGTTTAACATGCTCTCAGTGTGAAAATAGTGTTAAATGGTAAAAAAAATCGGTAACCGTGGAAGGAAATTTGTTTCACGTAGAACATGGTTAATATTTTATTATTCCAAGTATGCCTGTGTATGGTCACATCACTTTATTTTCAACACACTTTACAAGCTCTGAATGCCAAGGTCCCAAAGACTAATGAGTAAGTATTATTTGCCACATTGGTGTAATAATATAACAGGCATGCATCATATCAGAGGGACATTAGGAGAAGCAGCAAGATGCATCACACCGTGTGTGTGTGTATATATAAACAACTTGGCAAGGGCAATATGCACGCTGCGCTGGCACCGTGTCAGACGTACAGAAGTATGGATGCTCCATGGCCTCGCGTGGCGTGAGCCGGGTCTGATGGTCGTATCGCAGCAGCTTGTCCAGAAAGTCGAGCGCCTCGGGGCTCACTAGGTGCTGGTTCTCGCTGTGCACAAATCTCTCCCAGCGTTTACGCGAATGCCTGTGGGCACATTGCAACACAAATCAGTTGGCTCGCGTTTGTGTGGTTCACAAGCTGCAAGTGAATCTTTCAGCATCAGTGGTGGGGAACATTTTCTTGATGACCATAAATTACTTTCAAATACCTTTTGTAGGCCAAACATTACATACGTAGCGTTATCCAATAAGAGTTCACCTTTACAGGGTGATTGATGTACTAAAATTACAAATGATTTTGCCTGGTCTAGCCAATTAATGTGGCCAAGATTCTTGCGGTGCTCCAAAACTATCGTTTGCAAGCTATTTCGAAGTGGTAGGCCTCGTGTGGAAAATGGTGGCATGAAATAAAGTAATGGGCTGATTGCAGTTTGTGGGCCATAGATTCCTCACTCCCTTTAGTTGTGAACACACCATAAAATTCCCATAAGAAATGCAGCACAAACCATGCAATGACTATTGTTTCACAAGCCTAGTTGCTAATGAAGGTTTGGTTGATAAAGAAACCGTAACTTAACTACAGCTGAAATGAAGACCTGTGGAACCCACCTGCCCAGTATGTCATTGAAGCGTGGATCAAGATCGATATTGTACTTGTCGATGTATGTGTAGAGCTCTTCTGTGCCCAGCACGCGTGCGATACGCACGAGCTGTAGACATAAACATACATTCACAAAGAGTTCCACTGATGTTTTCAACACACACTTGAGGTGTATAAAACACGTGCAGTGAGGAAGTGTCCAATTTAAAGCTCTTACCTGGTCGTAGTTGTCGTGCCCATGAAAGAATGGCTCCTTGCGGAAGATCATGCTTGCCAGCATGCATCCAAGACTCCACATGTCAAGGCTGTAGTCGTACATCTGACATCACAAAATCAACATTTTAATATCATGGCCTCGCCAATAGCCCTTCTGGGAAAAAAGTTTGACTATGAATGGTGCAAAAGAAGTTCACCATACATACAAAGGCCAAACTGGTAAGTAGCAACATAATTTGCTCATGACAAAATTACACAGAATGCACCTGATCTCATTACAATATCATAATCTAAGTGGTGTGGAGCCAGGACAGTGGTTGGATCGGCGGAGCTACATGATGAACATCAGAGGGCAGTGCCGCACAATCCATTGTTGCACTCTACTTTGATGCTCCTCACCAATACCAACCGCACTGAACATCTTTAAGTATGGTCAAATAACCCCTACAACCCGCACGGCATGGAGGTTTTCATCCAGTAGTGGATTGACATAAGTGCTGTATGTGTACAATGTTATTTGCAGGAAAGTAGTTTGCCTATAAGAACTTATCCCACTTGCCCAATATCCACCAACCTGATAGTCAACCAGCAGCTCGGGGCCTTTGAAGTATCGGGATGCCACTCTTACATTGTACTCTTGCCCAGGGTGGTAAAACTCAGCCAGGCCCCAGTCTATTAGCCGAAGCTGTAGAAAGACATCGGACGTACAGCACATCAGCATGGCTAAGCTGCATTTGCACAAGGCTGTAATAAAAGCTGTAGTGTAAAGACCCACAAATAATTGAGTTGACAGATGTCTATGAAACATAAGAATAAAGACAACTCTCATTAGGGGCCTTAGTACCAAGAGCTGAGAACCTAAGCCTTGTAGCAGGAGTGAAAATAGCACATGAATGTTAGCTGTGAGCAGTACATTAATAAGTAGTTGATCAGCATTCTAACCATCTGCAAAACGAATGCGTTGTTACCTTCCGGTTCTCGTGATCAATCATGACGTTGTGCGGTTTTACATCCCGGTGCATTATGCCCATGCTGTGACAGAAGTCGAGGGCCTTCGGAAAAATGGCAGCAGCAGAATACACATCAGACTTTCTCAAGCACAAAATAATTTTATCACAAAACTATAGGTCAAGTGAGACGTTTCAACACTGCAAATTGCATCATAAAAGAGCCTGCACTTTGAAAACTGAACTATGGTCTTTCCCCCTGACATCATATCCAAAGGTACACAGCTTTTTAAACTGTAAAAATCTACTGTCTCTTCCATAACTGTATTACATCATGCAGAGCATTGTGGATGGGAGATGTTGACAGTTGCACCTCAAGTATTCTTGCCAAGTTCTGTCAGCTCATGAAATACGAATGAAATTACAACTGGACTACACACATTACAAGTATAAGTCAAAGAGAATGTATTCATATTCAGATGCAGGCATTTGTATGCCTTCAGTCTAGTGCTAAGCAACACAAGATAAGGTGTGGGATAGATGGATGGCATTAGTGCCTCACCTTCAGGATTTCATACATGTAGAAGCGAATGTCCTGATCTGTTAGCGTCTGGTAGAGTTGCTGTAACAAAAGAAAAATGTGGCCATGGAGGAGGAAAAACCTTTCAACAGTTTTATGGACATTTTGTACAATGAAATACTTAATATGCAAGCCAGGCTTTTTAAGCCTAAAAAAATTATCAAGTTGAACAGTGTACAGAAATTAATAGCTTACATAATTGTGTATATAGTGAGAACATGCAAAAGCAACAACTGTACACTACACAAAAAAGCTACAAAAAAACAGGTTGCCAAGCTAAATGAGCATGTGGGAGGTAAATGCATTACCTTGTAGTCTGTGTTGTTAACGTATTCAAATACCAGGGCCGGTGTCCGGGACTACAGAACAACACACCACATGCCCATCAGACCATGGCAGCAGGGTAAACAAAGCAATGCAAACTTTCCATGCCATACCATTTCAACTACACAACAAAAAAATGTTAGCTTAATTATTAGCCAAAGCATGATTACATTATTTGTTTCACTTGTGTCCTTTTAAATGTTGAAAGGTTCTCGTAACTGAACAAAAATGTATTGATTTACAAGGTTTCCTGAAGGTCCTTCTGAGTGATGGGGAAAAAAATAGCCTCACAGGAAAAACCCACAGACATCACCTCTGCTAAATATCAGGGTGGATATTCAAATAATTGTATTGCTTAAATTGACGACCATCCTTCTCCTTGCAGCACCATTTGAAGCAAACGATTGGGTTTTCGCCCTCAAGGACACCCTGCAGGCGCTTCTATGCATATTGCTCAGTGTGCCCTGCATCATTGAGTGAAGGCAGCAGTCCTGCTCTGTGCAACAGCGGTCGTACGATTTAACACACACCACGGGGTCCTTGACGATGTCCAGTAGAGTAATTATGTTGGGACCTCCGCGCAAGTTCTGCAAGATCTTGATTTCTCGCTTTATCTTCTTCTTTTTGACTGGCTGCGCACACAAGGGGATTTGCATCAGCCACTGCCAACACTAAAATAGCACGAACATCCAACACCGAAGCTTCAGCGAGCAAGTGTGACTGCAAGCAGTAATGCTTACCCACCTTGAGAATTTTTACCACGACCTTCTCGTTGTTGGTGATGTTTATGGCCTCGAACACCTCACTGTACTTGCCCCGACCCAGCTTCCTCACCAGCTGATAGTCGTCCTGGTTCCTGGAAAGTGTGAACAAAGCTATATTCACAATTCAAGCATGCACCAACATATGGTTTCAACCGCACCACCACACTGAGAAGCACAATGCACTGCACCGTCGTTTCCCAATCGAGCCCTCCCACACTACATGAACCAGGGCATTGTTTATTTATGCCGTACTCCCATACTCAAGGACAGTGGTTCACAGTGTGTCACATGCTCCTGGGATTTTGGACCAATGGTAATTTGACTATAAAGCCAGGAGTCATAAAACAAGGAAATGCTTGACTGTGTGACAGCTATTTGCTTTTAAGCAATAAGGAACTATGGAGCAAAAAAACTCAACACCCGCCTACTGGACTAATGGAGCTACAACAGCCTGGTTTCAAAACAAGTTACTAACGATCTGCATGGTTCTCGCCAACGTCTAGCCTGAGACACAAGCCTAAAATCTAGACAAAAGACAAGCAGCCATAAGGCACGCCACAAAAGGCCGGTCAAGCAGACAGTGGGTGGGTCGAGATAGGGGGATTGTTCTGTTATATGGTAATTTGCTAGTAACAAAAGCAACATGTCAGTGTGCCTGAACAAGAAAGTTAACATTATCATCAATTGCACACACATATACATCAGAAATGTGAACAATGACGAGCAAGATTAGACGCCGATGATTGTGTGCGCGCTTCTTACCCCCACTCTACGACGTGCGCCTCATAGTCCCAGTAGTCTCTCGCTCGGTGCGAGTTTGCCTCCGCGTACAACTTGGGTCGGCTAGCCACGGGGCCCGACATGGCGACCACAAGCGGCGGCACCCTGTCCGTGCCTCAGGGGAACGTGGCTGAGGGACGAGAGAGAGACAGAGACGGGAAAGCCCGTGAGCGAGAGTGACGGTGGAATGAGGAAGAGCTGCTGGCACAGTGTGCTTTGCGCGACTAAGTAGCCCGTGCTTGGGGTGGGGATATTAATGCCGATTGTATGGGGCTCCTTTCATCCTGGAGGGTCGTACTTAAAAGAAGCTTGCCTCACACGTTCCCGGGATCTGATTACGGGGAGCGATGGGATGCCCGCGTGATCTGGGTCTGACCAGGTATTGGTGATATGTTAAATTGGGGACTGGCCAGGTAGCTGCGTGGGGTAATAATACCTGATGCAAGGTTCACGTTGGGTTTTATAATCAGGACGGGTGTAAGGGTCGGGTCAGATACAGGACATAGGTCGAGTATAGACGGACACATAGCTTAATTACAATCGCCAGGCTGGTTACGTGGAACTTACTTATGCAAGGACTGCTTGTATAATAAAGGACAAGCCCAGTACAAAGGCCAGTCCGGGAGTAGGGGCCCACGACAAGGTACGGTTGGATACAGGGATACGGATATTCGAACTCTTTAGAGGATGCGGTGAACAATTATGCCCTGCGATTGGATTCAACCACGGATAAAAAGAGACGTGGCACAGGATAAACGGCCCTGCTACTGGGTATAGCGACCCAGCTTAGAGTATAGCGATTTGGTAAAATAATCTGTTGTAGAGTACAACAGGCCGTACCCACAGAATCCAGATACGAGATAGAATGTGCTATAAGAACCGGCTGTAAGATATACAGCCCCGCTATGGGAAACAGGACCACGCTAGCGCTATTGTGGTACAGTCATACTAAGACTTTACTTTCAGGGGGGGTCCATGCTGATAATGGATCATTTGGATGTTCAGGCCAAACAGGGCCCTGCCGTCAGGATGTACCGGGCCCTGCTAGGGGGCTTAAGGCCCCCCCAAAACACACAACGCCATTAGGGGGTAGAAGGCCTTACTAGGCGGTATAGGACCCGGTCAGGGTAATGGGACCTCGCTATTTAATACAGGATTCTTCCAGGGGATACAGAAACCCGCTGGGGGGTATAGGGCACATTTAAGAGGCAGAGCCCCCTCCGCTAGGGGGTACAGCACCCCTAGAGGACCCAGCTAGGGGGGTATAGACCCCGATTAGGGGGCACAGGAGCCTCAAAAGGACGCTGCTCTCAGGGCCCGGCTCGGGCCGGCACACGTGACCGCTAGGCCGAGGCCTCGTGCTCGCCTGACGGGGAGGTCTCAAACCTCGCCGCGCCCGCGTTTCACGGAGGAGGGCGCCTCGAACCGCGGCGAATTCGCGACACACGACAGCAACAAAAAACCGAGCGGAGGCGAAACCGTCGCGATTCTTTTCTTTCTCCATCGAGTATTATTTCATTCGTTTTAAAAAAAAAGTGGAATGGGGGGTTAAAGAAGCAGCCGCTTACGGTCGCGACGCGCGGCCTCGCTTGCGCTGCCCGGGCCGCCGTGGAGCCGCAATATGGCGGCCGCTCCCTCCCCGAGCCCCTCCCCTCGACTCCCCCAACAGCCCCTCCCCTTCCCTGTTAGCCCCTCCCCTTTCCCATTAGCTCCTCCCACTTTCCCACTAGCCCCTCCCCCTTTCCCACGGCCCCTCCCCTTTTCCCACTAGCCCCTCCCCCTTTTCCACTAGCTCCTCCCACTTTCCCACGGCCCCTCCCCCTTTCCCACTAGCCCCTCCCCCTTTCCCACGGCCCCTCCCCCTTTCCCACGGCCCCTCCCCTCCAACTACTCTCCCTTTCCCTTAACCACCCCCCCCTCCTCCCCTCTTCCTCAACTCACGGCCCCTCCCCCTTTCCCCCCCACCCCCCGTCGGCCCCTCCCCTCCGCTCGAGCCCGGTCACGTGACCGCGCGCGCCGATCGCGGGAAAGCGCGCGCGCGCGCGTGCGCGTCAGTGGGGGAGGGGAGGGGGGGGCAGTGGGGGCGGGAGAATCGATGTGTTCATAGATTACAAGCGACTAAATAATCGATTAAATTGATTGCAATCGATATTTCATCGATCAATTAAATCGCGAGGAAATAATTAAATACAGATTCATCTGAATCGATTCATACACGTTGCTCGCATGGTGTGCTCAACAATCGATATTTCATCGATTATCGCTCGCATGCTGCGCTCAACAATCGATATTTAATCGATTATTGAGCGCACCATGCGAGCAACGTGTATGAATCGATTCAGATGAATCTGTATTGAATGATTTCCTCGCGATGTAATTGATTGTGGCGTTCGACTCGCGATATTCTCGACAATTGATTTTGTTTCGATTTGAAGCTTTCGTGACTGCAGGAATCCATAACTCTTTGGTTCTTTCGGTAAATTCTAGATTTGATTCATATTCTTAGGTTTTATTGGTAAAGTCACGTAGGTAAAAAATAAAAATTAATAGAAGTAAAATAAAACAAAATAAAAAATCACGACGTTTCGGAGGTTTGTGTTGCTTCCGAAACGTCGTGATTTTTTATTTTGTTTCATTTTACTTTTATTAATTTAAATTTTTTACCTACGTGACTTTACCGAAAAAACCTAAGAATATCTTTCGGTAAAGTCACGTCGGTAGAAATTATTTTGTTTCTACACAGTGCTGAGTGTAGCGGCCTCTAGTGGCTGTAGGGAGTCACGCGAACGCATTTTACGAAAAGCATACGTTTTGAAAATTCTAGATTTGAAGCTTTCGTGACTGCAAGTATTTATACTCTTAGGTTTTTTCGGTAATGTCACGTAGGTAAAAAATAAAAAATAATAACAAATAATAGAAATAATAATAGAAATCAAATAATAAATGGTGATTTATTATTTTATTTCTATTATTTTTTCTATTATTTATATTATTTATTTTTATTATTTATTTTTCCCTACGTGACTTTACCGAAAAAATCTAAGAGTACGTTTTGAAAATAAGTAACATTTTAAATAAATTCAAAGCACGCTTTCATGATATGTACCGTACTAATAATGTGTTGTATACTAACCCTTCTTCCAAAATTGAGATTAATAATATTTGATGATATTTTTATATATTATCTTTTTACTTGTTTTTTTAATGAATGAAACACACCAAAGCGCAGCAAACTGCAAAACACCAGGTGTTGTTAAGTAATGAACTGGAGGAGGGCTAGGATGGCAGAATTTGCAACCTTGCTTCAAGGAAAGATAAGGCCTGATGAACGGGCACATGTCACCCGTGCAGGCGGCAGAGACAGTGGGAGTGTCAGCCAGACATAGTTAAGGCAAAAAGCCCAACCATCCTGCATGGTTTTAAAGTAACGTCAAAATTCGAAATTCAACAACAGAGTAGGCTAAATTATCGATCCTCGCGCTCGCTCAAATTGGAGACCAGGCTGCGAGCTACATCAATGAACCATTGCCCATTTGCTAATCCAATACTGAATGTTAATATTACTGAAGTCAAAACGAATTCTATGACCTCAGCACATGGGCAAATAATAGGGCAGTGTCGACTCAAAGGCAATGGAAGAAAACAGAGGCGCCTTTGTCTAAATCACAACCACAGAAAGCCAGGAATCATCACTGATTGTGTGTTAGGGATTCCGAGCTAGTTGGAACACGTGCACACAGGGGGGAGGTAGAAGTACGCCTTGTCCTCCTGCAGCTGAGGGAGCAAAGATAAACCCAAAAAGGCCAGGGAATTAAATTAAGTGGGTCAGCTCAAGGCTGTGTGCACAGGGGAGGGAGCTGATTTAAACAACCCTGCACGTCTGAACGTGAGGGGGCCCTTGACCTGAAATTATGCAGACCCAGCTGAACAACAACGGCGAGCAGAGATAGGGTGGGGCAAAGACTGCGGGGCTATGGAATGCAACTTCGTGTCAGTAAAGCCCTGACAAACAAGTTAAGTTAAAGACATCAAAATACATAATATCGTACATAACATCAATGTTAACGCTATTCACCGTAAACTATATTCCGCTTATATAACCATGCAGACACCAAGGAATACGAATTCCTAGGATCAAGAAACTTACCCCTTAACCTAAGATATCGGAAATAAATTAATAATAATAAGCATATGCATGAAAAGACAAAAGTAAAACTTATGGAAAAGCCAGGATAACGGGATGAATCACCACTAGGTCGAATATAAATACATAATAAAAAAAACGATGTTAAACCCAGGGTCGGAGAGAAAGGGAGATCCCGGCCGTCTTTGTATCCCCGCAGCGCGGGATAGGAGTGTGTATACGCTCGGGGAAACACCTCCACTTGAGTCAAGCACCACGATGGGAAACGACAGACCTTAGGTTACATACAGAATCATAACTGTGAAATAGTAAGGGACAAATGTTAACTTAAAACTTTTTAACCATTTCTTTGTGCGCCGGGTCGGAGAGAGTGTTGCCCCTCCCTCCAGGTTGTGCAACACGAACAAAGACGCCTATGAGACGATTTGTAACGTCTGTGTTTTGGGTTCATGAAGAAGGCCAGACAAGAGATAATATTGCACCCAGACAGAGAGACGACTTCGAGGCAATTTGTAACATCTGATTGTTTGCTCGTGGGTTTTATGGAGGGAGTGTGACAACGGAATATACCGTGAGTGATGCACACAAGGACATACGGACGTACGGACACACACATGGACACACCTGCCTACGGACAGATCCTGACACAGCAAAAATCGAAAGAAGCCCCGCCTTGTGGGCGGGATCCAGGGGGATTTTTCGGCATAAAGGAAAGGATCCTGAGCATTGGAAACTAGTGCGACCAGCGGGTCGGCTCACGTGGGGAGTGCGACCAGCGGGTCGACTCAGGAGCGAGGGCGACCAGCGGGTCGACCCAGGAGCGAGTGCGACCAGCGGGTCGACTCAGGAGCGAGCTCGACCGGGAGGGTCGGCTCAGGAGCGAGTGCGACCAGCGGGTCGACTCAGGAGCGAGCTCGACCGGGAGGGTCGGCTCAGGAGCGAGCTGCGACCAGCGGGTCGGCTCGACTCATCTTCAGCTCGTCTGGGACTCAGCCGAGTTCGATCGGCTTACCAAAGCCGGCTCTCGGGGCTCGACTCAAGCGGCTCCCCATCTCCTCTGCAGGCGGGCAAGACCCGCTTGACAGCTCAACTCGGCCTGCGTGGGTCAACCTCTGCCGAGTCGGAGGTCTCTGCTGCCGCCGGAGTGGTGAGGGTCGCGGTTTGGCGACGAGGCTCCGTGCACACGACGACCCAACACTGCACGCTGCGAGCGAGTTGTGGGCGCCACCTACCGACCGGGTTCCGAACTGCGACAGCGTATCAACGGGCATCCGAACCAGTTCACCACGGTGACAGGGGAGCGACTGATACGTATGACGCGCACCGCCCCCTCACCACACGACCACCAGGCGTCTGTTTGACATAAAGAATCGACTCCGAACACTGACTATTCAAGACAACTCTTACCACTCAAACACACTCGAACCCATAAGCCATCCGTGGCTGGGAAGGCATCACAACGAGACCGAGTGATGGCCATCCGTCGTTTATAAGAGTATTCGTAATTTTTATCTTTAATATTTAGTGGGCTGTACTCTTAATCGCATAAATTCCCAACAGATCCATCAATACGAACTGATTCTTGGCACCTCCTTCCGCCGAGCCACGCTCACGTGGGGAGTGGTGGCCCACCGGATCCTTATCAGGTGATCTGGTCCCCAATTAGTAAACTTGGTATAAAATAACGATCTTCGGAAAAGGAGCACCGTCGCAGGCCCTTACTCCGAGCCGTTCTGTTGTCAGATAACCTGCCGATGTATCTGTTGAGATTGGTGCCTTTAAGAATAATAACTGTTTTTGATTGTGTTTTTTTTTATCGCCGTATAATCTTTCAAGTATCTTTCAGTCATAATCGCCGCACGTACTCGCATCCTCTACAGAATATTCAACTGTCCCGTGACCCAAGGTGCTAACAACGTGATAAGGGTTGCTTATGATCAATAAGGAGTGCGGTACTGCGTGAACAATGTTGAGTATGATCACTCATTAACGTTAAGGTTTTCTTAGCATAGTATTTGCATATTTTAACGACCCTCTCTCTCACTAACAACCATCGCGTTATGCGGGATCCATGTGCCGTTGTCAAAGTGAAATCAAGCAATCGTTGATGATACTGTATTGATGCCGTGTTGACGTTCCGGGATTGAGAGTTCGCATACTATATCATAGTTAAGGTTGAATTAGTAATAAATTGATCAATACAGAAGTGGTTGTGTGATTCTTTCCTGAAATCTATGCATAAGATCTGCTTCTGCGTTGAGATCTGAACTTGGTGACCTTAATAAACACACTAATACATACTCAGTAAATGTTAAAGCGATAACGGGGTGAACCGGGGACCTAAAATATAACCACGAATACACACTCTGGGAATGTTAAAGCGAGAATGAGACGAACCTAGACAACGATGCCGAGTTAATCTAAGTTAATCTTGCATACTTACACCACACCTGCATAACTGCATACGATTAATTGCCTTATTCCGATCGATAACCCACCCTCATCACC